AGGTTAAGCACGATATATTCTACGAACGAATTGCGCATGTTACTCGCTGACCGTGACTTTTCAAGTTAGCCGAGTCTATCCTATCAGGACATATCACTCAGCCTCGTGGACACTCCTATTCGATCCTCTTTTTTTTTTTTTTTCCCCCCTTTCCCCCCCCTCCCTTTTTTTTGATCTCAGGGTTCAGCGATAATGATAACTCTATAGAGTATGGATCGAAAAGTCACATGTTCAATCCACCCAGCAGCCAGAACAGCCAGATGGCTTCTAGACACGCTTATAACTCGAACAACGGAATCCTAGGTATTTGATTAACCGCATTACACGGGGCGTACAGGTTCCGCCCACCTTATTCGACAATATCTCGGAGCCATCTGGCTCTTACAGCAATAACACCATCATCCCAGTCGATAACTGTCGCTGGTTGTTGGCCAATGATGCCGCCTGATCAGCGTGAAGCCTTTGAAGGTTGCTCACTACGATCTCCCACTAACCACCAGCTGAGACGGCTTCGTGCATGTTCGTCCAATCCCTTGGATCTTTGCGGGTTGATCATTTGCTGGACTCTCTGCACTGGCGGTTCAGGCGCATCCGAGTCCGACCCTTGCATGCTCAGCATACCAGGGTTCCAGACATTCTTGCCCTGGGCTTTTTCTTTTTGCCAGGGCGAAGGTATCCTCGCTAGTCTTGGGTATTTGTACAGAGTACTGTGCACAGTAACTAATAGGAGTGGATGAGGGAAGTTGGAAAAAATAAAATAAAAAATAAAAAATAAAGAAATTCAAAATCTAAATCACTTGGCTTCTTCCTCAAAAGTAAAATGACAACATCACAGGCACTGATGTGGTGATGTGGAGGGAGCATTGAACAATGATCTGGTGGGCCGTGGCGCTATACACAGACATACCTTTTTTTTTTCTCTCTCTTTTTTTTTGGCGATAAAAATGATAAATATGGTAAAATTCCCTTGCGGCTGGACGGATGGACTTACCGAGACGGTATCTTTCTTTATCCCCAATGGCCCATGTCATCTTGGCTGGGTTTGTGTGGAGGGGAAGATTGATCCTACAGTAGGAACCTGCGAAGTGAGCTATCCATGCCACGGTAAATTGGTTTCTTTGGCAGTTTGCCACCCCCAATCAATAGGTAGCATCTTAGAGTACGTGCGCCCCCTGCACCGTTAATATGGGATATTAATCTTGAAGTAATCTACATAGTATAACAGGGCAGATGCCAGATAGGTTATTCAGAATTTTACTCCGTCGATGGGCCAAACAAGGGACAACACAACGCCAGCTAGGGAACGGAGCGCACGGAGGAACTCCGCATTCCAAATTTTGGGGGGGAGGCATTCTTATCAGGAGCTGTCAGTTGTGTGTGACTGTCCACTGTTTACCCATCAAGAGTCGGGAGTCAGGACTTAGGACTCCCCAGGCCGAGTTATTGCCAGGTGGTAGATAGCCTGTTGTATACACCCCGTACGCAGTACGGAGTGCTGGTATATTCCCAAAGGCCCAAATGATATCCACTCTCTCGATGAAAAAATATGCCAGTTGAAAAAAAAAATATCAAAGCTCCAACCATCCGGGGCAATGTATTCCGTGGATCTGGGGATTATTGTGGGGAGAACATTATCCGACATCCTCCTGGTTTTGCCATGGGCATGATCTGCCTGACTGCCTCCCGTGAGTCCCGTCAGTGGTCTTCGCATCGCATCGCTATCTATTCTTATCATGGGATACCGGGATTGGTAGCTTTACTATTAGGATCTCGATTTGGGCTACAGAGTAATCAAGATAGATAGATAAAATAGATGGATAGATACTGCACTCCGCAGTAAGCACCGTCAGATAGGAGCTGAGCAGGACTAACTGCTAAGAGATAGAGAAAAAAAAAAAAAAAAAAAAAAAAAAAACAGGGTGAAACCGAAACAATGCAGGGCGTTGATGAAGAAGATAGATCAATACAACCTAGTTCAGGGGGCTGACTGACTGCGAGAATTATCTTAACCACTTGTTCGACGCTCGTTCGGCTGCAGCGCTTCCAGGCGGGTATTGGGTATTATTATTGTGTACCTACAGTCATTCAACAACAACAACCCCCAGCAGTGCTAATAGCGAGCGAAATTATGGGACAATCCTCAACCAGTGATGGCATTTCGATGATTAATGACAAGTTTCGCATCCTGATTCCTGAACGCTTTTTCAAAACAGTTTCCTCGGCGGACTGCGAGCCACGGCATTAAGGAGACTGCGGTCCGAGGCAACCTCAGAAATTGCTCCGTGGATGCGTTGCTCCCATACAAACTGATACAAACTGTGATATTGGTTGGAGTGAGGCTGATGCAATGCTGAGCTTCACTACGGTCATCATCATCATCATTTTCTTTATTGTTCTCCGGCCAGGGAGTACCTTAGTACCCTAGGTACAGTCTCCGTACAATAGTCGTCATTCCGGTTCATTTTCGTCCCCCCCCCCTCCCTTCCAGTACGTAGCCCTCATCTGATGAGTGATGAGTGATGATGAAAGATGAGGTATTGGATCTCGTCTCATCTATCGTATGACTGTGCCAGATTGCATCAGCGCCCTTGCTGGAAGATGATCGAGAGTATCTGTTAGGTCGGGGGTTTCGCATCTTTTCTATTTGATCTTTAAAAAGGGCTGTGGAGGCTTGAAGTCGCCCGTCTTTAACCCTTCCAATCTTCCTTCCAGCCGACAATTTATCTATCTCTGGACAATGCCATGTCCAACCATTGATGCGATCATCGGCGATCAGCTGGTCTGGACTGGGCGGTTCTTCAAAGGCGCCAGCTTTCCCCAGTTCTATGCATTCTATGGCTCCCCCAGACGTGTGACGAGCAGAGTTTGGGGGGAAGGGAGATCCTGTTGACGACTTGCGGATAGATAGATAGATAATACTAAAGTTATGAAAGGTCCTTGTGAGTACTCGTGGGGGTCGTCGTCACATCATCATGATTATCATCATTCCATCATCGTTGCCTAGAGATATCTGGATTCTGGAAATCAATATTACGTCGATCTATCATTCTAAAGGGGGTTGTGGTTCAGGTTCAGATTCATAAAAAACAAACTAGTCACCGGCAAACCACCAGATGATACCTTCGCATGCGCAAATGAGCTTATCACATGGATGAGATGCCACTTTTGATTGATGGCCTGTCTACTGACTTAGACCGACCTCCTTTTAAGATCGCGTAATTATTCGTATTTTCAGGTGCACCCTGTCGCAATTAATCTCAATTACCGGCAAATGATAACGGGCTAGCAGTACCTAAGTAATAGGTAGTACTCCTGAGTGCAGATTCCTGATTTCTGATTCCTTCTTCAAATCTTTATCTCGTCCTCATTTTACCGATCGAGGATAATTCCCCAAATCATCCGCGATAGCCGGAAGCACTGATGATTGTTCGAAGCTAGAACACAGACCACCAGCGCATACGGGATTTACCTAGTAGGTAAACGGTTAGCGATAGATAAAATGCACTTCCGTCAATACTCCGCGTATGGCTTGTTTCGCAATACTCCATACTCCATAGCCCATGGCCATAACCCATTGTGCTTGAGTGTTACACTTACACTCCATGCTACCACTACCGCTCCCTCAACGGCTGACTAACCCCTCTGTATCAAATGCTGAAAATACGGGGCACGCACTTTTCTGGATCACACAGCCACTTCTCTCTTAATCCATTCCTTTTTCATACTGTACACCGGTACAGTCACCAGTGTACTCACTACTCCGTACAACTTCTCCGTAAATCCCTATCAACTCTGGTCCGCCCCACATTCTGCCCTCTTTTTTTTTTTCTTCTTGACTTTCCCTTTTCCTCGTCGGTCTAGCGTCCTGGGCGAAAAGATACGTAAAAGGCTGTTTCCTTCCAAACCGGACATACCGAGTGTGGTCGAACCAGCCCGGCGAACCACTGAGATAGGCAGTAATATACTCCGTAGCTCAATTTCAGGTCTCGAAGGTTTGTTACTTGCAACTCTATAGGTACTCTGTAAGACGAAGGATGAGAGGGAGCCCCGACAAGAACAAGAGAGGAAAGGCGACTCTCCCCCACAGGACACCCAAGTATGTACTCCGTACTGTACTTACCTAGAGGAAGAAAAAAAAAAAAAAAAACCAAAAAGAAAGGCGGTTTTCGCTCTGATTTGAACACGTTCTTTTTTTTTTCTTTTTTCTCGTTCCAAATTTATTTCTTAACTATTAGTATTATTTTTTTTTTTTTGCCTCCCCGATTTTTGCACCCCACACAATACCAAAAAGTACCACCGAATTTTTTATTCTTTTTTTTGTCTTTTTTTGTCTTTTTTTTTTTTTTTTCCCTCTCTTCCCTCTCCCTCTTGTTCTCCGATTCCGATAAACCCCCTCCATTTTCTATACTCTCCCTCTCTTGATCTTCTTCCCTTTCTCCCCTCCGCCGATTCTCCATTTTCTTTCCTCTTCCCCTCCATTCCTTATTATCTTCTTCTGTTCCCTTCTTATACTCGTCCTGTCCCCCAGATCAACTTCTCCAGGTTTTTCTTCCCCTCCTCTCTTTCGACTATCGTCTCTTCAACTTGACACCACTGGATCCCCCCCCAACTATCATCAGACTATCCCGGCTATCCTTCCGAATCTGGGTTCGCTATTACAACACTTCCCACCCATCGCTGCATCCCCATATCCCTATAATTAGGCCTCAGTCGAGCTTGTAGCAAGTCGCTGGATTGGAACCCGTGTGAACAACCTCCATCATTCCCAGTCTCGCAAGGCTTGTGATTCTCCTCGCGGTATTCCGAAGTTACCTTCCTTTGCCAAGGTCAACTCTGGGGCGTCATCGGCTGGGATCGACTTCCCGGATCAACCTACCCCTGTCGCGATCAACACAACTCGGCCTCGGCTTTATCCATCCCTTTGGAACGTGTTAATATATTAACACCGAATTCCCTCCCACCTTCCGCTGTCTCTAGCACGCTCGTCGTCGGAATTTCACATGCCACCTTCAGCCTCTTCTGTGGGTTTCTCAGATTTACTGAACCCTCAGAACCCAACCGAGTCAGCCCCCTCCACACCAGTAAACAAGTCGCCAGCCTCGTCAGCCCCCTCAAGTGCTCAGTCGAACTCAACGATGGCGTCCTCTGTCAGCCTGTTGCCTCCCTTGATGAAGGGCACTCGTCCGGCGAATGAGGAGCCCCGGCAGGATCTTCCTCGTCCTTACAAATGTCCTCTATGTGATCGCGCCTTCCACCGCCTGGAGCACCAGACCAGACATATTCGCACACATACTGGGGAGAAGCCCCATGCATGCCAGTTCCCCGGCTGCACAAAGCGTTTTAGCCGTTCCGATGAGCTGACTCGCCACTCGAGAATCCACAATAACCCCAACTCGAGGCGCAACAACAAGGCCCAGCACCTGGCCGCCGCGGCCGCCGCTGCGGCTAATCAGGACAACGTCTTGGTCAACAACACAGGGTCAATGATGCCTCCTCCCAGCAAACCAATCACCCGCTCCGCGCCTGTCTCGCAGGTGGGCTCTCCTGACATCTCTCCGCCTCATTCCTTCACCAACTACGCGGGACACATGCGTTCGAATCTGGGACCTTATGCACGCAACAATGAGCGTGCGTCTTCGGGTATGGATATCAACCTGCTTGCCACCGCAGCTTCTCAGGTCGAGCGCGACGAGCATTTCGGGTTCCACAATGGCCCACGAGGTCTGCCCCTGTTCAGCTCGCGTCTTCACAATAGCAGCCGCCTTCCTTCGCTCTCTGCCTACGCGATCTCGCAGAACATGACGCGCTCCCACTCGCATGATGAGGAGGATGTCTACTCGCACCGCGTCAAGCGCTCGAGGCCCAACTCTCCAAACTCCACAGCTCCTTCCTCGCCCACCTTCTCCCACGACTCTCTTTCCCCTACTCCTGATCACACCCCACTGGCAACCCCCGCTCATTCTCCGCGGTTAAGGCCGCTCGGCACCAGTGAGCTGCAGTTGCCGTCGATCCGTCACTTGTCGCTCCATCACACTCCCGCTCTGGCTCCAATGGAACCGCAGCCTGAGGGGCCCAACTACTACAGTCCTACTCAACCTCACCATGGTCCCAGCATCAGTGACATCATGTCAAAACCGGACGGCACACAGCGCAAGCTCCCTGTTCCGCAGGTACCGAAAGTGGCTGTCCAGGACATGTTAAATCCCACTGGTTTCGTATCCGTGTCATCATCGACCAGCAACTCGGTTGCTGGTGGTGATCTGGCGGAACGTTTCTAGCCAGTCTGGAACTACATGATATCTTTCATGTGTACAAAACAAAAAAAGCGGCTTTTTGATCATTCCAAATTTCATGCGCACCACGAAACGAATAGACTTGTGCATTTGCCAGCTGGTTTTACGGGCATCATAGGTGTCGGATGGACGGTGTTTCTCTTCTATCATTTTCCCCCCCATTGTTTCCCTTCTTTTTCCATTCTCCTTCTCTTGAATTTCCTGCAGGGCGTCATTGCTTTATAGACGGACGGGACATTTTATGGCTCTTTCAATTCTTTTTTTTTTTTTTCAAAACTTCAATTCTTGACTCCCCCTTGTTTTCCTCTGTCAATCATAGTTCAACTGGAACTGGCTTCTCAGCCGCTATTTCACTATGTTCTCCTCTCCGAGACTGCGGTCTTCTAAATAATCCAAATCATGTCATGTCAAACTCCTACTTTTCATTCTCTTCCTTTGAGATAGACCTAGGTAGTAATCGAATGGGTTACCCCCAGACGCAATCTAGTTCCAATGGCCCTCGTAGCAACGCCACACGCTTGGCTCTTCATGTATTCTGCACGCCTGGTAGCCGCGATTATTACCAAAGGTCCTTCTCTTTGCCCTATCAATTATCATGTGATTCTCTAGCATATGCATGTGACAGTTATAAGCACCACCTTATGGCTCTTATGTCACCCAGCATATTGTTATGCCATCATGTATACATACGCACTAGCCTGCGAACGTCTTTCTCACTACTATACTCCGTATCTCTGCCAAAGTAGATTGGTTTGTTTCGAGCTTCCATCTATATATACTTCTCTTCCATAAGATCTGATGGACTGGTTGAGGCCCTGCACCCGCACCCTTATAAAAAAAAACCCCCAGTCTGCCCTCTGGTTGTGAACGAATCCTCGAGGTATGTGTTTGGGCGGAGCATCAACAATAAATAATTATTCAGCACCTTTGCCAACCCAAAAAAAAAAAAAAAAAAAAAACAAAAAAACAAAAAAAAAGGACAAAAAAGGACCCAATTTCCCGTCAGAAATCCATCGTCTCTGTGAAATTAGTTCGTAGCTGATGTGATTCTGGTCCAACTGCTGCAAATCACACTCGAACTAAACCCGCCAGCCCAACCGGAGGACGTGGCTCCAGTGTTAAGCCCCGAAAACGAGCAGGCCTTGCTAGGCTCTTTTCTCTCGTAGACAGGATTGTTTAGGTCCGGATTCCCTGCTAATTGTTTAGATTAATTGGCAAAGAAAAGAAAAGGAAGGAGAGTGGTCCGTAATTATCAGAATCTTCTTCGTCTCAACCTTCTTTGAACTTCACTCTTCTTTTTCTCCAGTTGCAACATCTCCCCCCGCGCTATCATGACTATTGATACTATCCCGAAATCGATTATGGCCGGTGATTACCCCACCAAGATCTTGATGATCTGAAATTTAAAAGAAAAGAAAAAGAAAAAGAAAAGACGTACCCCTTTGAATGACGAGTTGATGTTGACTGTGTCTTGGATTCAAACAGTGCGAGGTGTCGCTTATAATCTTCCGTAACTGGGTATTTTCTGCACGCTTACCCTACCAGCGAGCCCTGGAATGGGGCAGGGCACGCCTGCGCCAGCTCTCTCGCGTGGACTCTCACACGCCCCTGTCGTGTCTCAGGTATCAAAGGTAATGGATGTTCTCTGCCCATTTCTTGTAGGCCTCCCGATGTGATCTGCGCTGCGAAGGGGGCCCGGGTGATGAATGTGCGGTCGCAGTCACGGGCCTATATAGATGTCTCTTCACTTCTCTTCATCGGAAACCGCCGGCTAAGTCTGTGGGAGCAGGACCGCTCGAACCGTCCGTCGAGTTGTGTTGACTCGAAGTGCCCGGCCCCCGACGTCCCCGGTGTGACTTCTCGTCGTCGGGACTTGTTCCCGGATAACCTCGAGCCCCCGCGCATCCTCCCCGACGCAACAAGGACAGAAGAACAACCCATGGCCCCGCTGCACGCAGTCCCGTCGCTATCGAGCGACGCTGCCTCGGCATCCGCATCACTAGCCAGCTCATCCCTTGACACCGGACTGGCCTCGGCAGTCGTCGTCCCCGAGATCCTACAGGACGATGGGAACGGGATCCTGATCGCCCCCTCCCGCCCCTCTCGCCCCACCCAGCGGCTCTATCGATGCCTCTTCCCCGTCCTCGACTGCCACGAGACCTTCGACGACACCGAACACTGGAGGACGCATGTGTACAGCCACTTCCGGACTCACGAACCACCTGCTACAGCCCGGTGCCCGCTATGCCCAGGCGAGAGATTCGACAATACCCCGCAGCGCCGGGCATGGGATCTCATGCTCGACCACGTGGATGCGGCGCATTACCAGCAGGGCCAGACGCTGGCCGGCAGCAGGCCCGACTTCGAACTGATGCAGTACTTGTATCGACTGCGGATTATCAGTGTTGACCAGTTCAAGGTGATGCAGTTACCGCCACCGCCGTCGAGTCCCGCGTATCACCGCTCGCAGGAGACGGTTAGAGCGAATATCGGCTCTTCGGATGAGCCGTACTGCGCTCCGTATAGTCGGCGCAGGGAACAGAGGATGCGGGGGCAACACCGAGGGGTAGGTGTGGCATAATTTGTGGCATCGGCCGTTGGCCTTTTCAACCCCTTGGTCGAGGAAGAAGAAGGCTGAAGTCGCTTTTCTCAGTCACCCCACGTCTGATGTTCATGAGAGCTTTGACAACCACTCTTTGCTGGTGCATTTGATTCGCCGGAATTCTCCTTCGATTGAGTGTGATGGGGGGAGATTGCCCCTCACTGGCTGAATGTTAGATGTGACCATGATTTATTTTCGGAATTCTGAAGCCAAGCGGTTCTTTTGTCCTCGCTTCTCCCGTGTCTTCTTAAAATGTTCATTAGCAAGTTTTTCCAATCGTTCAGAATGCATCTGGATTTGTCATATCATAAGGTGACAGCTTTGTAAGATGTCTTATCCCTAATACTCATATATGTCGAGAAAGATTCGGTGAGCGTCGGAAGGAGATACATCTCATTGTGATGTATCATGTGTAACCTGGTGATGCATCAACAGAACCTGCAAGGTACTTAGTCGGCCTATACTTCAGCTTCGTGTCAATCAAGGTGATTCTAAACCGAAGGTATCGATCATTTGCATGGGATGGTTGTTGGACCTTGGCAATTGTTCATGCGAGTTGGATGTATCGGATCCTTCCACTGCCATGAGAAATATACATCTAGTAGCAGGCCGTACTTTTGTTGGGTGAGGTGCCATCCCACAATAAGCACAGTGGGATACGATTTAGTACTCGAGCTGCAAAGAGTATCCCAAGCGTTCCGCTGATACCAGGAGGTTTCATCGTAGATCCAAATTCGTAAGAGCACAGAAATAGACCAAAGTGGTGATGTTCATAGTTGTAACCTGATATCCCAACCAAACAAGACAAACACCTCGCCCACTTCCTTCACCACATCTTGCGATCTCCGACTTATCGCTGAAGAAAGCCAGTTTGACGTCAAGTACTAACGACTGGACTGTATTTCCTCGCTATTCTCTATTACCCTCTCTTTGCAGTATGATAAGATTGCTGCGCATACTCCTGATCTGATCCCCCTTCTTATCCGAAACTGCACCGAGCAGCTCACCTCGTTGCAATCAAACGAACGACGCGACCCCTCCAGCCATACTACTCAGACTCCTTCTCTGCTCAGTAAAGAATCATGGAGAGACTCTCGCTTAACGATACTCCCGCCGGCGCCCAGCGAGGACACACGCCGCAGCCATTTCCCCAGCAGAATAAGATGCTGGGACCCTCGGCGCCCATGACACACGGTCCCCCGCAATTACCCCCGCAGATGTTCACGACGGCTGCTCAATTGCTGGATCTCACAGATAGTAAGTTTTAAGTGGTGACTCTGAGGAACGGGGCTGTTGCTCGGGTCGGACTAACCCGCGGTGAACGCAGAGAAACTTGTTCTGGTACTCCGCGACGGGCGGAAACTCATCGGAGTGTTGAGAAGCTGGGATCAATTTGGTATGGACCTGCTCCAGAGGTGCTAATAGACGTGGAGTTGTTTACAGACCGGGCTAATGGGGTGAATATGTTGGTAGCAAACCTTGTCCTCCAGGATACCATTGAACGAATCTACGCTGGAGGCCTCTATGCTGAGATTCCCCGGGGTATCTTCCTTGTTCGGGGAGAGAATGTCTTGCTACTGGGAGAAATTGTATGTCGAATCGCTGTTCCTGTGTTGCTCACTTGCCCTCGGACACTGACTGCCGCATTATAGGATCTCGACAAGGAAGACGATGTCCCTGCTCATGTCCAGAAAGCCCCCTTCCCGGAGGTATTCGAATTGAAGAAGAAGGAAGACGCGGCGCGGAAAAGAATGGACAAGAAAAGCCACAACAAGCTCCAGGGTCTTGGGTTCGAACCCGAACACAGCGGAGAGATCCTGTTTTAACCCGTCGACGCCGGATCGCTTATGTTCAACACTGCCTGTTTGTGCGTCGGCCTGTACGACGTCAGGAACAGAGCCATATCATCTGTTTCGCAAGAAGCAGAGGGCACTCGACTTGTGCGAGGTATGCCCCAGGATTGTTGCAGGAGCCAGACTGTCACTTGTTGACCCTTGGACCATGCGACGCCAGCTTTCGAATGAAAGCCATGCGAGGGTGATGGTCCGCTCCGTATTGAATAGAGCTCAGATGTCTCCAGACTTGATGGCAACGATTTCGGCCAGGACGAGGGACAGCGGATGAGATATGCATATTTCCAATGGATTTGCAGGGCACAAGGCGATGTCTGACGATCTACATGTTTCGAAACGACTTGTTTTCCTCTAGCTTTTATATTTTTTTTTTTTCGCACATTCTGAGCTACGGGGGGGGGGGGGGCGTGGAGTTCATTGGCAAGGATTGGGCTCTGCTCTTAGATACCATCATAGCGAGACTCGGAGAGATATATAAGACCGACCTTTGAATGCTTGATCCACTCGCAGATATTTCCGTGAATAAATATCTCTATCGTGCTCTCTAAATTCACATCACAGCTCTGGTCCATCGGTGTTATCGATAAACCCGCCAAGAATCGCAGTACCTTCTCTGGCCCAAAATTTTGTTCGGACCACTAAAATCGTAGAAAAAAAAATCTCCGCATCCACCACTCTTCTCTTTCTCTCTCTTCAAGTCTCAAACTTCTCAAAAGTATTGATTCCTGTACGCCTTTCTGAACGAGTTTCCCAACTGCCCATAGGTCGGTCCTTCTATCATGGCGACCCTGGCGGAGAAGCTCGAGAAGATCAAGTCTCCAAAGCTGCAGAATCAACACCATGTATGTACATCCCTCCGCTCACCGTACATTTCCCGCCCCCGAGAACGAAGCTTGCTAACAGATGAATCTGTCAATGTGTGAAGACCGCTGTGGTGCTTTCTGCCGTGGAGGATACTCTACGTGATCAAAAGGCAGACTTTTCCCCGACAGCTTATTTCGCAGCCCTTCTGGCGCTGTTGACGCAGTCTGTGTCGGCCACGCAAGGCATTGTCAACAAAGACCTTGCAACTTCTGTCGTCTATCTCCTCGATCTCACAACCTCTTACGTCCCAGCGCCCATCCTCCGCTCGAAATTCTCTCACATCCTCACCAGCCTCGCGCCCGCTCTGTCCCTGCCGGAAGTCGAAGCCCCGCTCCTTAGACCCTCAATCGGCTGCCTCGAATCGCTGCTTATCGCCCAGGATGCGGCCTCGTGGAACCTCCCTCACACCCAGGTCGGCCCGCGACGGGCGATCGCGGGATTGTTGAGTCTGGCTGTGGATCACCGACCCAAGGTCCGGAAGAGGGCACAGGATGCTCTCATCAAGGTCCTCAAGAACCCGCCTCCCAGCCCGTCGCTCGATCACCCCGCGGCAGATATGTGCGCGGAGACCGGCATGCGCACACTCGGTGACAGTATTGCCGTCGCAGCAAAGAGCAAGCGGGGCCGTCATGATTCGCAGAGTCGGGAGAGCAGCGATCCTTTGGTTATTCACTCTCTGCAGCTGGTGAAGACGCTGGCGATCGCATCTGGAGGATGGCCGAGCAAGAAGATCGAGCCGCTCTGTGAGCTGTTGATGAATGCATCCCGGTCCAGCAACGAATATATTACGATGGGTGCTTTCGAGGTCTTTGAGGTTATTTTCTCGAGCATGGCAGACGATTTTTCGTCGTCGAAGCTGCCCCGTCTTTTGGAGGCCATCTCCGAGCTCAAACCCGCTCAGAACGACTCGCAGCTGCTCCCGCCATGGATCGCGGTCTTGTCGCGGGGATATGATGTGTCCGCCCAGATCAACCCGGAGGATACTTTCGAGAAGCTTCCGGCCCTGTTCAACATGATTTCCGGTTACCTTGCGTCTCCTTCGAGCAACATCCGAGTTTCCGCGTCAGAATGCTTGATCTCGTTCTTAGCCAACTGTGTCCCCAAGAGTGTCATTATCGACCCGTCGGTTTACGATGAGAAGACCCTTGAGAAGCTTGCCAAAGCCGCGACGGACCTTCTCTCTGTGAAATACCAAGCAGCCTGGGCCGAAGTGTTCAAAGTCTGCTCCGCTATGTTCGAGAGCTTCAAGTGGCGGTCGAGCCCATTCCTCGATAGCATCGTCAAGACGGTCGGAGATCTTCGCAGTAACGAGTCTTTCCATGGAAAGAAGCAGGCCGACGAGGTCCTCGGCAGCGCCGTTGAAGCCATGGGCCCCGCCGCCGTGTTGGAAATTCTTCCTCTGAACATCATCGAGCAAAGGAATGGTCAGCCTGGCCGCGTTTGGTTCCTGCCAATCCTCAGAGACAGCGTCTCTAATACCAATCTCGCTCATTTCCGATCAGAGCTTGTTCCTCTTAGCGAAGCCCTTTATCAGAAGGTGGTGGATTACGGGTCTGCGGAGAAGAGCGTTGAGATGAAGATCTTTGAGACACTCGTGCAGCAGACCTGGGCTATCCTTCCTGGCTACTGCGAACTTCCGCTGGACCTCGTTGAGGCCTTCGATCAGAGCTTTGCAGAGCTCCTGTCGAACGTTCTCTACAAGCAAACCGAGCTGCGAGTCGACATTTGCAACGCCCTACAGACCCTGGTCGAATCAAACCAGGCCATTCTCTCCATCGAGTCAGAGGAAGACGATCTGATTCTCCAGAGAAGAATCACCAAGGCTGCGGCGAAGAAGAACATCGATCATCTGGCTGGTTTTGCAAGCAATCTCCTGGCTGTGCTGTTCAACGTGTACAGCCAGACACTCCCACACTACAGAGGGTATATCCTGCAATGTATCAATGCTTATCTGAGCATCACACCCGAAAAGGTTTGTTACCTTTCTCCTTCTCTGCGCTCACCGCCATCTAACTTTTATCGCAGGAGCTCAATGAGACCTTCACCCGAGTTACCTCTATGCTCGAGTCATCGGTGGTTTCGGAGCAGGAAGCAGCCAAGCAAGGCAATCAGCAGACCGGTTCGGGAGACAAGATGCCCCCTACTTCTCACACACTCATTGATCTGGTCATTGCTATGTCGATCTACCTGCCTCGCACCAGTTTCCAAAGCCTATTCGCTATCGCTGCGGCCATCCTGAACGGCCAGACGGCTGACCAGCAATTGATCAAGAAGGCCTACAAGCTGATCCCCCGTCTGGCCAGCACGGAAACCGGTCGCACCGCTCTGCTCGAGCGCAGCGCGGAGCTTCAGGCCCTCATCCTCGCTACAGCCGACAAGACACCCGCCTCTGCCCGTCGGGATCGTAGCATGGCGATCTACGAGCTCATCACCTATCTCCCAACATCCGACCTGCACTTCATCCCGTCCATCCTCTCCGAGGTCGTTCTGGGCTGCAAGGAGAGTAACGAGAAAGCTCGGACTGCCTCCTTCGACCTTCTCATTCACCTTGCTAAGAGAACGACGGATTCCGAACGGAATCCTCCTGGCACCAAGATCCGTAACTCTCTGGTGCCACACATGCCCGACGATGCGCCGGACGCCCCGGCGACCATCGAGGAGTTTTTCACCATGGTCTCTGCTGGCCTGGCCGGTAGCTCGCCGCACATGGTCGCTGCGTCCGTTACAGCGCTCTCTCGCCTCTTCTTCGACTTCCACACTGAGATTGAGCCTGCTGTGCGCGTCGACCTAGTACAGACCGTGGAGCTCTTCCTCACCAGCAACAACCGGGAGATTGTCCGCTCCGTCCTCGGCTTTGTAAAGGTCGTCGTAGTCGTCCTCCCCGATGATATCTTACGCCCCCGCCTGAACACTCTGGTCCCCAACCTCATGGTCTGGAACAAGGAGCACAAGGGCCGTCTCCGCGCCAAGGTCAAGGGTATTCTAGACCGCCTGATTCGTCGCTTCGGTGCACCTCTCGTGGAGGGCTTAGTCGGCGAGGCCGACCGCAAGCTGGTAGTCAACATCCGCAAGCAGCGTGAACGCAGCAAGCGCAAGAAGAAGGAAGGCGCGAACGCCGGCGATGAGGACTCGGAGGAGGACGAGGCGGCCGACAAGCCCGGCAAGGCCTCGTACAGCAACGCCTTCGACAAGGCAGTCTACGACTCGGACCTTTCCGACTCGGACGACGACGCCAGCGAGATCGAGGTCGACGAGCAAGGCGGCACACACACCCGCGGTCGCAAGGGCGGCCGCAAATCCAAGCAGAGTGAGCAGTACATCCGCGAGCTCTCGCCGGAGGACAACCCGCTCGATCTCCTGGCCCCCGACGCCCTGGCCAACATCTCCACCACCAAGCCCAGCGTCCGCTTCCTCAACACCGGCCCGGGCTCCCGCAAACAGCGCGCCGCCAAGTTCGGACCTGACGGCCGTCTCCTCCTCGGCAATGACGACAAGAACGACGATGTCGACATGTCCGGCGGGGACGCGGCCGCCGGCACCGGCGAGAGCGGCATCAACGCCTACCTCGCCGCCGTCAGCGGGCCTGACGCTATCCGCCGTGGCCAAAAGGGCCGTCTCAAGATGTCCCAGGCCCAGAAGAAGAAGGGAAGCCGGAATGGCGACGGCATGGACCTCGACGATAACGACGACGGCGAGGCCCCCGCTGCTGCCTCTGCTTCCAAGGGCCCGCACTCCGCCCGTCGCGGACTCGGCGTGCCCAAGTCCCACGGCCCCAGCGGCAACAACGGCATCCAGAAGCGAAGAAACCCCCAGCAGGGAGGACGCGGAGGACGTGGAGGCCGTGGAGGACGCGGTGGATTCAGAGCGGGAAACAGACGGTAATCGACGAGAGCTGAGTCTACCTATCATCCTCGCGTTACGTTACGGCCATGACCAATCAAAAAGAAAAATAAAAACCAAAAACCGGGGGGTGTGAGGACTTTGAACATGAACATATGGGGTATACTTGCATACAGACAAAACAATGGTTCGTTCGTTTTCTGCTGATGTTCTATCATTATTTTTCTCCCCTTAACGGCGTACGATTTCTGCCTTTTGTTTTTTCTTTTTTTCTTTCTTTCTTGTATTCCGTTTCCCCATCTTCCGCTGCTCATCTGTCTGGTCCGACTGGTATCTTATATACCCTTTTTTATGCCCGTGCCCTCCGCAGTTACAGTTCTCTGATAGATGAATGTGATGTCACGCCGAAGGAAGAAATTATCCTAGGTGCTTTGTAAATGCGAGGATGCATTCGTTTATTATTCTTTGTAATCAAGAAGCGTCTAGTCTAGTCAAGGGGAAAATCTGTGGCCTGAAGAAGAATAGATCAAATGTGAAAGACATTTATTGATGAGGTGCAAATGAGATGGCTCAGATAAACATGAGACCAGCCCGGGTATCATTTCTGCGCAGATTGCGACAATATAGGAGTACAAGACAGCGATAGGTCTCTGATGACATGAGATCGCTTGATGGTCAAAAAACCTCAGCATCAGAGACTTTTTTGTACAACAGAAGAGGGAAGAGAACAAAACTCCCCGGCGCCCTGATGCAACGAGTTCTCCGGCCTCCAAATTTAGAAGACACAAAAAAAATCAAGAAAAAGCAAACGAAGAGGAAGGAGAAGCTGCACATCGGCAGATCGAGTCATGCCACATATTCCGAACATTGGTATCATGCCAAACCGTGAAACAAAAGGATGAGAAAAAAAATTGAGAAACAAGGATGGGGAAAGCCCGATATCCCAGAGGCCGACGCTTAGTAATCATTAGAGAGAAGAACAGGGGGGGTATAATGTCGATGTATCAATTTAAGGATTTGCGCGCTTTGCCGAGCCATAGCTGCCACCATCGAACGACGCCTAGAACGGCCGCACGACCATCGTCTTTGCGTTCAGTGCCATCGGGATTGCCAAGAATCATGGCGAAAACCCAGAAGAAAGCAGCAGTCCAAACAAGAAGGAGGAAGGCGATGGATAGCAAGGAAGATACCAGGAGGACCATTAATAATCCACCCACAGAATAACATTCCATCGCCTCCGCAGATGTTGAGCCCTCTGGATCATCATATATCCATTGAGTCGAAGACGAATGAGAACCTGTTGACCCTCGCAAGTAGACTAATCGTTCATGGATATGCAGCTGAGGTACTAGAAGGTCGCAGAGTTGAGCGCGAAACGATGTCGATCGGAGGTAGGGAACGAAGGAGCAAAGGCGAAGGGGGGATACGAGGACGACGAAGAACAGGCCGAAGAGGGTATAGAGGGAGGTACACAGGGAGAAGATAGGGACCAAAAGGGATAATCGGAACTATAGGATGAATCGTGCGTCAGTCAGCGACCTGCTGAAATTTGGCGCACGGCCTCAAGAACAGGAGGTGAGAAGGGACTTACCAATAGCGACAGTGCATCCTGGCTATCATTCGCAGGAGCATCATCCTCGGGGATGGCTCGCTTGTGAATGCGGGGCGCACTGTGTTGATAGGGATCGCCAGACATATACGATGAGTGATCAGTCCAGCTGCCACGAACACGGTCCTCTTTGCGCACAACCCCGTTACTATTGGAAGTCCGAGTCAATATGGGAGCGTTCTCAACGGAAGAAGAGGAGACGAACGTCACCGGGGCCACCACTAGCTGCTCAGAAATTGGATAGACGAAGCCAACGGGCAGCTGACTGTTGTAGTTGCCGCCTTTCTGTGGTTGTTGCTCGTGCCGGAGGAGATCGTGCGAGTCGACGTGACCGACGGAGTTCAGATCCGAAGGGGTTACACTGACAGCGCTCTTCTGTTGCTGTGAGTGACGAAGAGAAGACGATTCGGACGGATGATGTGTCGCTGGTATTGTGATCGGTTGTTGTCCATCATGGAGGTATGTTGTTACGAGCTGGCCATTCTCCTGGTAATAAGCAGGGGAATGGGACATCTCTGGCTGTCTCATGACAGGCGAAGCGCAGCGGTGGAGAAAAGACGACGGAGGTGAGGAAGAAAGTCGGTGGGTGAGAGGAGGACAGGTGAAAGCCAACGAGAGACACTTCGACTCAGAAGGAATACGGCGGAAGGTGCACTAAGGTGGTACAGGAGTACACAAAAGCAAACCAGCACAAGTTCACCACATGGCGTCAAGCGCTCGAGGGATGGTTCTGATATACTTGATAGACAAGAAGTGGTTCCTTGACGACAGAGGGGAGGGATAACCGATTGTACCAGCGAGTGGGGGGGGCAGGCCGGAGGAAGAAACCAAGTACTATCTGGAAAGGGATGGAACAGGTGAGGAATGAGAGGGCAGTAGCGGAGGAGCAGAATAGAGCCTTATAAGGGTGCCATGGAGACACACAAGGGCGATTTCATGAGCGGAACCCCCAAGAAAGAGGAAGGAAGAAGGCAGTCTTGGGAGGGGGGAAAGAGTGTCCTGCAGCGGAGAGAATCGCTGCGTTCGCCTGCCTTTTTTGCGCCAAGACGCCCAGCTGCCGAGACCCTTGGCATGGGCGATGTCAAAGAACCGTCACATTATCCGTCAGCCAATTTCGTGATGGATGTTTGGCGCAGGAGTCGAGGAGTCATCGAGGTGGGAAGATAAGAGCCAAGAAGTATGAAATTGGAGACGAGAGAGGTGATTGACTGGAGAGACGAATGGCCTTGGTTATTTCCATGGCGTTCCTGTAAGGGTTCAAGATCAGAGGATGAGCTGGTTTCCCTTTCCCCTAGTGCGAAATACTTAGTAAGTACTTAATCACCAATACTCCATCGAAATATCCGAGACATTGTCAGTTGTCAGTTGTCAGTTGGGAACATCAAGACTATTAGTCGTTTTGGTACTAGTAGAAACTCCTCTGTAGTCTAAGAGAGTAGAGAGCAGAGACTCCATACAAAGAACGAGAAGTGGAAATTTTGTCCTTCTCTATTCGGAATGAGCTCTTCCTCTTGGAGCTGGGGCTGGATCTGGATTCTGGGAAGTGAAAACGTGACATTTTGGGGGTGGGTGATTTTCCATTTCCAGTGGAAAGGAAGAAGGGGGGGAAAGCCACCACAAGAGACTGACCTTAGGTAGGTAGCTGGTACAATACGGTATTCAACTTACGATGGCCAGATGGGCCGCCAAGCTGCCAAGGGTCTGCGGAGATCAAGCGTGGGGCTCAACAGCAATCTATTGGCTGAAAAGCAACAAATGATGACCATGATCCGCGTTCGGAGGTGGCATCACAGGCTTGGCAGCATGGCTGGCCCAGATCCCGTACGGTATCATGGTATGGCCACCCCATGGCTGGTTACGTTGTTACGCCGTACTATCCGACCCTTAGGTAGGAGTCTACTATGTAGGTAGGACTTAGGTACCTAGGCAGTTGTACTCCGTAGTAAGTACCTAGTCTCTTACATACTCCGGATTGTCCTGTTGATTCGTCAATGGTTCGGTCTAAATCTTCATACTTAACGACGTTGATCCCTTTGGAATTATCAACTAAATAATTTCTCCCTCTTTTCCTTTCCTACTCTCATCAATCAACCATGTGAGCAGAACCGACCTCGGGAAGGAAGTTCAATTCTCTCTACCTCCACTCTCCAGAGAACCTTGTGCCGAGCCGCTGGCTGTCTGGCCCAGCTCTGCCGAGAGATTGGCAAGCGGTATATTGACTTTAGGTATCGAGCTCTCCTGTCAGCTGTATCGCCTATCTAGCCTGTGTCTCTCCAGCAGAATTTTGGTGCAACATGTCTCAAATAATATTAGGTAACCACATCATGTTTTCTTGGTCGGATGCCTGATTTTTCCCCCTTCTGCCCTGTCTCTGTGCGGAGGTGATCTTGTCGATCATCCAGGAAGCTCCCCAGGTCGCTACCTAGCTTATTTACCCCATTGCTATAACAATATGACGATTCCACTTGCAATGGAATGATGAAAACGCTCTCGGGAGGGGGAGTTTTGGTGTTGCAATCTCATCATTGCTCCCCCCCCCCCCCTGCAAACGGTCGGGATTGAGCGAAACACCCCGGGTTGCTGAAACGCCCGACCGAGCCACCTCTATTCCGTTTGGCTGTTCCTCCAGGATACCGCACCATATGGGCAGGTGGCTTTGCGTGCATGGAGTGGACATGGCATATCTGGAGCGCGAGTCTCATACTGCATTTGTCCCTCGTCCCTACAGTCCAAGCAAGGGTGAGCTTATAATCCTGGCCAGGATTAGGCTCTCGGTGGCATATATTGCGTTGTGGCATGGGAGAGAGAGAGAGAGAGAGAGAGACAATTTTTATTTTTCCTCTCGTCTCATTGTCTGGGCGCAATGCATCTGTTGGCCGCTTCGTTGCCCGTTTCCGAAACCACCGATCCAGACTCTTCTTGGCTGTGACAAATTAGCAATGTGTGCCTGGGAAGTGGTCCAGTGATTGATTCTCCCTGTCCAGGAAACATAACAACCGGGAGCCTTCCCGGTTCCAAGATTCCAGGGCTGAGCTGGTTGCCTGCGTGGGATTCGCGTGATACATGGCCATTAGCCACCTATGGCTGTGATTCTACATTTCTGGGTTCTTGAGTGCGCCCAGCCACGTAGATATGGACAACAAAGTACAAATTTCATTTAACAGCTATCTGTGCTCGGGGCGCGAGCTCAGAACACTCGGTGTCGATTGTCCTCTGTAATGGTATCACAGGGCAGATATCAGTTTCTATCAAGTAACTATGACATGTGCTCATGTCAGTTATTGTTCTACACCATAGACCGCACCAGGAGTTCATCTGCGATAATCTTGTTTTCTATCAAATGATCGTCACACGATCAGTGGAGGTTTGCACAGACTCGAAACCCCATCGACACCAGTAACCATCTACGGAGTAGATTCACGATTTTTTTTCTCAGTTAAACAGCATTTGGGGCAATAATGACTGTTGATCATCTCCAACCTGATCTCTTCAGGCCACACCTCTCTGCCGATGATTTTTGATCTCCGGATAATTCCCTGTGGAAGCGACCATGAACCAGCCCGCTCAACTCGCTATCAGAATTCCATATGGTTTGCTACTACTACCTCTTGTAACTTGAAAATCACTACCGAGTTCATAAAACAATCTCGACCTTGATTAAAGCCTCGTTTGATGACTGGACTGTCAATCCAACGGTCTCACCATCTCGGTAACTAGATTAAACGACCCAGTAATGCGGGGATTTAAGCGAAACGCCGTCAATAGATCAAGATCCTGGTCTATCTAAATATCGACTGGTAGACTCTCCGTTTACCCATCTGGTTAGATCCAGGGGCCTTTGCGTGGGGTAGTTACTATTTAATGCACTTCCGTCGACTGACTGGCAGTTGAGGAATAATTGTTAAGGACACATAATTCAATATACTACTCCCTATATACAAGAAGCGATTGAGAATCTGCTGCTGGTCTCGCGTGATGCGATCTGGACCTGGATGTTTGTTCCATGTTTGAAGCTGGTTGCATCGCTCGGTTCTGACCCCTAGTGAGGGTCGTCAAGTCTCTCTCCGTCTATGCGATTTAGATGTGCGCGTGTGGATAAAGTAGATCCAGGCATCGAGCTTGAAGCAAAGCTGTCAAGATTAAGCCCTATTTAATGGATATGATCAGACTATAAGTGGTTGATTTTCCGGTCTCGATTATTTTATGCAAACCCACCATTCCATCTAAACTCATTCTGAGACATGGCAAGGATGGAAGGGAAGATGCTCGTTGAGAACTTGTTCCGCTGTTGCAAGATGCAACATTGTCGTTCGAATGAATAAGCGTTACTGACCATCGCAGATGTTTATTATTGCACTCCCCAATTTGAGATTGATATTCTTATGTTCATCCTGGGAGCTTGGACGCTGGTAAACTCGAGTGAAGTATGTCCAGTCCCTGCTCATGGGCTTATGGCCGCATCAGGTAATGATCCATGGGCATCCAGGGCCTCCTCGCCGAATAGACACAATATCTACAATATAAGACTTTACTTCGGCCATTTATCCGGGGACCATGCACCTAAACTGTTCATGACATGATGCTCGTGGGTCTTGTTCCAGAGAAGGAAATGTTTTTCAAGAAAGACAAACTTGGTATGTCCTCATTGACCACGGAGCGGTATTAAGAACTCTCTCACATAGAGGATGCTTTTATATAGTACGGCCTTGTCTCGGAATCGAGAAGAGAACCTCGAATCCTGAAATGGACGTGGTGTATGCAAGTCGGCATCTCTCGTAGTGAGAGGCAATGGCTTTTTAAACCTGGCAAACCCAAGCAGGCTATGCATTGGTGCAGATCTTCATACAAACAATACGGAATGATGACTTACCTCCGCTCGGATCAAATCTCACGAAGTGGCGATGGCAATACCTGCTCGAGGAATTATGGCCTTCCTGCAGTTATGGGAGATGTATCCGCCCTCAGTCCAATGTTGGGTCAGAATATCAATGGTAGAGTATTTGCTGACACCATTTCACGCATGCTCCCAGGTCAGTCAACGCTTCCATGGCATTTTCGACCCAGTGGTAGGTGGTGATTCCGCTTGCTCCTCAATTCAAGATAGCGCATCCACTTGGACATAGCCATTTCTCTCTTTCAGCCCCGGTTATATTTCATATAGTAGATGAAGAGTCCCATACTCAGAAGAACCCTGATATTGGCTGTACTGTGATAAGAAGACACGCTAAACATCAAAGCCACGTGTGACCGAAGAGGCCACATTGTCAAAATGAGGATTTTGCTGTCCTTCTGCCGCAAGAAATCGACTAGAACAAACGATAGTTAGTTGATGCCCAATTATTATTAGTGAAGTGTTTTGTGAATAAGTTCTTAATTTGGCATGTGCCATATTGCATTTCATGAAGATGATTAACTCAGTGGAGAAGAGTCCTTAGCCTGGCGATTGCATCGGTCCAGTGACGCACTAGAAGAGTACACCTGTTTTAAACACTAAGTTTAACTTGGGTGTTAGTCGAGTCTTCCGATACCGAATCTGCACTCTGAAGAGCCAACAATCAGCAGGGATCCCTGTTTTGCAGCTGCTGTGGTTTGTTGTTGGCCAAATCCGCAAGTGAGGGAATGCTGGTCCAAAGTCCAGCGTCAGACAGCCGGCATATGAGGGTTCGAGCATCGGGCTGATGCGGCCTGAAAACTTCTCCCCAATCAATTACAGGATGATATTCCACCTTGTCAGCCCAGTGGCTGCAGGCTGGAAGGAATGTGCCTTGCTAGTGCTTTGCTAGTCTTGTCCGGTGGTAGTACTTGGTGGACTGCATCGTGTATCTTGCATGGTTGCTGTGTCACCCATGGCTTGGAGGTAAGTGCGTCGAGCAACCAAATAATGATATTGACACTGGGTCTTGTTGTTGCTTGTCCTTGACCCCCTTGGATTGTCTAGTAGTAATCTTTTCTATCTGTTTTTATTTATATTTATATTTTATTTATATTTTATTTTTCGCCTTGTTGATTGTTACCTGAAGGGTTAACTGCCCAGAATATGAGTTCGGGCCAGGGATATATACTTCGTAACTGTGAGCTGATTGCGATAATTACTAGATGTCCATTTGTAACTTGTTACCTCTAAACATCTAAGATTTGCATTTCTATCATAGCACAAACATTCTTACTTGTGTTGCGAGATGAGATTTTGACGCCGATCTACACCATGGGCCACTTCCATCCGATCGAGCATGCAGCTTCGTAAGTACAGACTCTCTACATACAGGATAGACTACAGACTACAGACTACAGAGAGCATCCATGCACCCTGCAGTGAGGATGCACTAAATAAAACTAAGCTAAAGCGCTAGAACCTAATCTATTTACCGAGTAGCGTCTGTCTAATGGAATTATGGAAATTATGGGATCTCTGGAATCTGAATCGAGTCATTAGTTATCATTCTCTGAGAAAGTACATGGTAGTGGCAGTAAGGTACGGATCGCTACGGATGTTCTTCCGCACTCCGGGTGTCTATTCGCACAGTACATATCTCCAGAATACAGATCACAGAAATCTGGAGTCACTCGCAGATGTCAGTCTTCCAGGTGATCATCATTAACTAGGATAAGCAAGTTCCCTGACAAAAGGATCATCGTGGCTGTTTCTCGATCCCTTGCTCGTTGTGGCTTTTATTGATTGCTAGTACGGAACACGGCCTTGTGTTCTTCCGCTATATTGAAGGGATTCTCGGATGTGAGCAGGAAATGAAGACATTCCAATTTCATGATCTGTGTTTAGGCCAAGCAATGCACCCCGCTCGTCGGTTGCTGTTCACCTGCTGCGACAACGAAACTTTTTTCTTGCTACTTCTGTTATCGAGTCCATACTATTTCGAATGTGGGGGCTAGACTGCTAAGTGCTAACTTTGAAAGATGAGAAAGGGAAATGAGACAATCAGACAAGACTAAGAGAGAAAGGGCGGTCTATTGTGGGCGCGCTGGCACGAACACCCCTGAGTCTGGCGGAGTTCTTATTAGTCTAGGGAGTAGGGAGTATCTAGGGCCAGAGTTAGCCAAAGTGGATGTATCAAGAAATCGAAGATCGCAAGAAGTGCCGCCGACTGATCAGAATTTCGGCCGGGAATGGCCCCACCATCTGGAATTTGTCGATGCGAGCCAGTCGTCCGTGTATTTAGGAAGTTGAGGCTATATATATATGTATATACTCCGTATACACACAAATTATCGTGTAGTCCCTAGAAAGTAGAATATTAATACATACTGGAAAGGATGAAGGCTCCCCCGGACTAGTCTATTCGTACCGGAGCATGTGGCTCGGCTGCTTGGTGGCTGGAGTTCGGACTTGTGGCACTGGCAGCCGCATCTATGCTGTTTGTTTCTCACTTCTCCCAAACAAGCGGTCGCTGTGGAGCTGCAGCAAGCTTGTTACCAGTAAATGACGGAAGGGGCAAAAGGAGAAGAAGAGGGAAAATATCTGTCTCCGGATGAGCTGGAAAGTGTAATTGCTGCAATGAAATAAAATAATAGCCACACACTACGGAGTACTACTTAGGAACGTCCTTTCCTTCGAGTAAATCAACAAACCTGAAGACAAGCGTTTCTTGGAACAAATCTATCATACTATCTCTCGCCGAAATCTACTATCTAGAGCAAGACAGTTGAACAATGAACTTACTCAACTAACAGAGTCACTGCCGGAAATATGCATGCAGATCGTGTTGACATCTGAATGGCACAGACATCCTTTGCTGGTGGGTGGTACTGCTGCGGTGTGTTGGAAGTCTGGGAGATGAAAACCAAAAAGAGTTGGACGGTTGGACCGGGAATGACGCCGATTATTGAGTGACTCGGTTTAACAATGGGCAAACCCATTGGAGACGGCTGGGTAACAGTCAATTGGACTGGATCGCGAGGGTTCTAAACTCCTGATGCACTATCGAATGCAAATCGTCAAGCACGTAACCGTAATTGTACTGCATAGCGCATACCAATCTGAGGTCTCCATCTAACCTCGTACTGTGTACGTTATTAGTCCGTATGTACAGGGGATTTCTGGATTTATCATTTTATTGGTTTTTGGTACCTCGTTTTATTTGATTTTATTTGTGGTGTTATTAGTATTATTATTATTATTATTATTATTATTATTATTCTTTTCTGGAGGGGGATGGGGGCCAGCTGCATCACTGGCACACTGCAAAACCAACATTGTGCAGGTGGTCAAAGTGGAGAGTGCGCCTCATGCCTGACTACGTACTTGACTAGTCTGTCCGGGAGCTTAGTACGGAGTGTGCTACTGAGCTTATGACCATTCGCCGGTCCTGTATGGGGTCTCGGGTCCCATCGTTCCCCAGCCAGAAATTATTGGCGGCTCCGTAACTATGATGCACTAAATTGCTTTTGGATAAAAAAGAAAGAAGAAAAACTCAATTTAAATAATTGATGATTAGTGCGGTGACTAAAACTCATGGCACGGGGGAAGACTCGGTGGGTCCTTCTTCCATGGCCCACCTGCAGCCCCTCGGCGAGTCACAACCGGAGGTTCGTGCTAGGCCTTCCCCATCACGGCAGTGCGTTGCTGGCTCCGGCGCTTGCGTCCTCGTCAGTCAGTGACAGTGACATGCTACGGGCAAATAATGGCTGGTTTGTACCTAGAACCTAGGTACTACTAACTACCAGGGAACTTTGTCCACAGTCCACTGCACCAAGCCACCAACATTCAGAAAAGAAAATTCCAGATGTACCCCATAGTTACTCCGTGCCTAGTCAACTTTCAACCTTGAGCTTACAGTCATCAAGATTATGCTATTTTTCTGGGAAGAATCTCTCTTCCATCGCAACCCTTCCCAATGAGACTTATCTGTTTGGTGATTACAGATGAAGTTAGTACTACAGAGCTTTGAATCTAATTCTGCCCTTAGTCCTGGGAATATCTGTTTCATATTACAGAACCTCACCACCTTGGGTCATTTATTAATAATACTACCTTACATATGGTCTAGTCCAGCGCAGAAACTGCCCTATTATTAGCGTGTTACTGGCTGAGCCCCGCTTGCCAACCCGGCACTAAGCCTCCCCTACCTTACTCCCTGACTCTGACTGTCTGACAGACAGATGTCAGACTCTGAGATAGCACCACGGTTTCGCACAACACAGACGGCGGCGGGGGCATATATAAATCATTGGAGAATAGGAAAAAAAGGAGATTAAAAAAAAATCATGAAGAGCAATGTAATTTTACAACAACAAAGATGAAGTAGAATCAAATTTTGAAATAGTGGAGGTTAGATCCGATAATTCTGACGCAGAGCACCATGGAAAAAAAAACAATATACAAAGCAGTCACCCTGGTTAAGATGCTTAAAATGCATTTATCCTGGTTTAATTCTCGCAGTTGTCGTGCCTGGACGCCTTGATGTACAGAGAGGGGGGAAAAAAAAGAAAAATACGAGAAAAAAAAAAAAAAAAAAAAGACACATCCAGCAGGTAGACAGGTACTAGGTACTTAGCTGTTTGGGGCCAATGCACCGTTTTCACCACCAGAGTCTCAACTTCCGGCGCACGGAAAATATTAACTGTAAATACCCGCGGACACGACTCCAGATTGTCCCCACCACGCTAGGCTGTTCCTGGCCTTCAAGCTGCCTGTCTTTGGCTTGGCGCCGGACAACCGCCATCTCGCTCTTTTCCGTGCTTTCCTTCGCTTTCGCTGACTGCTGAGGAGCTGCACAACCACTAGCGTCTCTTGGCGGAATTCGCTCTCTTACCACCAGCCCCTCGACCTTTCCCTCTTTCTCTCCCTCTCTTCCTTCTCTCTCCCTTCTTCCTTTCTTCCTCCTTTTCCCCCTCCGGCTTGTCTCTTGACTTTTTGTTGCCTGCGCATCATCATTTTCCCCACTCTGGTCTACACATCCCTTCTCATTCAATTTACCTTGTTTGGTTTTTCGCACCTGAATCCTCCTCTCATTATCGTGTTGGTTTTTGCTGTCGCGTTCGTTCCTGCTTTGCTTCATTGGCGCCGCTCAGCCGCATCTCAACTCAACCCGCTCTCAGTGCAACCTCGCACTATTTGCGGGCGTCGTGTGCTGTAGCTTGACCTTCTCCTACAAGAGAAGTCTTGGGTCTTGTTCGACTCGGGTCGGATTGTTTTGGTCGAGAACCTACCATCATCGGCTCACGGCACCCTTCAAATACCGACCTTGTTGCTTTGTAGCGAGGTGTATCTGAAGGGAGTCGTCACGAGAAATCGCATTCCCCTTTACGAGCAATTGCAATCCTGTAAGGACTCAGCTGTGCAACGTTTCGGTTACACGGGCACGGATTGCATCATTGTTTAGCGAAATCTATGGGCGATCAAGTCACAACAGTGCCTTAAATCTCATTTTGTCGCGAATTGAATTGAGTTATTCTTCTGCAATATGGCTCATGCCCAACCATCGCCAACTGGGGGCGTGACCCCCCACCATGGCCACCTCGCAGCCCATCCGCAAGTCAACGGCCACCTTCCGCTGCAGGCTCAAGGTCAAAAGGGACCTCCTTTGTCCACTGCTCAGAAAATTGCCGCGCTTAACGAACAGGTCTGGCTCCAAATTGGTACGAATATCTCCGTCTTGCCCTTTCTCGTCTGAAGGGCGCGTCCTCTTCGCGTAATTTCGGTTTGCTAATCGCCTTCTCTCCTTATAGGTAGCTTGACCGAGTTGATGGGCGATCTTGATGGTGCCATGAATGCTTACGAGCAAGCGCTCCGGCACAATCAATGGTCAATCCCTGCTATGAATGCCATTTCTTGTATCCTTCGCACCAAAGAACAATTTCCGAAAGCGATTGAGTATCTTCAAAATATCCTGAAGCTGGATCCAACAAGCGGAGAAACTTGGGGAAGTCTAGGTAAATATGCCTTGTAATTTGTGCATGTGGTGTTATGACAGCAACTTACGATCGCGCCAGGTCATTGCCATCTGATGATGGACAATCTGCAGGAAGCGTATACCTCGTACCAGCAGGCACTATATCATCTGCGTGATCCTAAGGTTTGTCCCTCAGCCTGATCTCTGTTCTTTCTGTGACCATCTGGAAGACTAACTCTGAGTTATTTTGTAGGAACCCAAACTTTGGTATGGAATCGGTATCCTGTACGATCGATACGGATCCCTCGACCACGCCGAAGAGGCCTTCTCTCAGGTCATGCGAATGGCTCCCGACTTTGAGAAGGCGAACGAGATCTATTTCCGGCTGGGGATCATATACAAACAGCAACAGAAGTTTAACCAGAGCTTAGAGGTATGCTCAAATCTACGCGGATGGGCATTGGCTTTTGGTTAACATTCCATCTTAGTGTTTCAAATACATTGTTAGCGACCCACCTCGGCCGCTTACAGAGGAGGATATTTGGTTCCAAATTGGCCATGTTCATGAGCAGCAGAAAGATGTAAGTCGTCACTTGTCACCAGGTCGACTTGGTGACTCTGCTGACATTGCCACAGTTTGATGCCGCTCAGACGGCCTATAGAAGGGTCTTGGATCGCGATCCTAATCACGCTAAAGTACTGCAACAACTCGGCTGGCTTTACCACCAGCAGAGCAATAGTTATGCAAGCCAAGAAAAGGCCATTGAATATCTTGAGAAATCAGTCAGTGCAGGTAGGCTATCTTCATCTTTGCTTTCTGAAAACGAAACGACACTGACGAGAACCGCCCCATCTAGACAACAGTGACGCGCAGAGTTGGTACCTGCTTGGACGTTGCTACATGTCGCAAGCCAAGTATCCCAAGGCGTACGAAGCCTACCAACAGGCTGTGTATCGGGACGGGCGCAACCCGACCTTCTGGTGCTCGATTGGTGTCCTGTACTACCAGATTAACCAGTATCGTGACGCACTGGATGCTTACTCACGTGCCATTCGCCTGAATCCGTACATTTCAGAAGTGTGGTACGATCTGGGGACTTTGGTAAGTGATATGCATGGACGGCTTGAGGATTCTCTGCAATATACAGGACTGACTAGTTTGTTTGATAGTATGAATCATGCAATAATCAAATCGCGGATGCTCTTGACGCGTATGGCCGCGCCGCCGATTTGGACCCGACCAACGTCCACATCAAGGCACGCCTGCAGCTGCTCCAGAGCCAGCTATCGGGCTCCAATCAGAACGGCGCCCCGGCGCCCGCACCTCAGCCACAGGATGTCCATCCTCAGGCGTACCAGGCTCCTGGTGTTGGAGCTCCTCCAGCTCCTCAATGGGGTGCACCAGCTCCAACTGGAGGTCCTCCCCCGCAGCCTCCGGCTCCCCCAAGGCAGATAGCTGATTGGAATCGCGGTATCAACGAAGTCCAGTCTCAGAGCCAGGCGCAACCCCAGCCAGCAAATGGATATGATCATCGTGATGCAGTCCGGGGCCCTGTGGCACTTCAGCAACCAAGCCCGCGCCAGGAGCCTGGAAGGGCATTCCCTGAAAGTGTTCGTGCTCAACCCGCAGCTCGCTCCCCTAAGACTGTTGCCGGACCTAGCGCATTTGGACCAACACATGCGCTACCTCAACTGCCTAATCCACCACCGCCACCCCATGACCGTGCTCCTGGCGGTACTACTCCATTTGGTTCTGCTGCACGGGGACCGCTACCGCCAGCCCCTGCTTCCGTTCCACCTCCGGCTGGTCCAGCTGGACCCAATGGCACCCCCGCCTCTGCTGGACCTCTGCCGCCGTATCCTCGCCCATTCACTCCGCCAACGGAAATTAGACCCATTCGGGAGGAGCGGCCATCCTCCCCCGGCTCCACATATCCTCATCAGCAGTATCACCATGGCCCCAGCGTATCTGTCCAGGTCCCTGGCAGCACTGGCATCGCAGGGGGTGCTCCTCCTCCAGCATCTGCGATCACTGCTGCAGAAGCCGCTGCACGTGAGCGTGAAGATCGCCCGGCGTCAGCTATGAAGCGTGCACGGGAGTGGGAGACTGAACCTGGCCCATCAAAGAAGGTTGCTAGCGAGGAAAACCGTGCACGCTTGGACGATCAGGCGACTCGTCGTGTGACCCCTCCCAACCGCATGCCATCGCCGAATGAGCTCCAGCGTCGGGGTTCCTCCGAGGCGCGACGTGAAGATCAGCGCCGTGTGAATGAAAGCTATCATCCCTCGGAGGCGGCCCACCACCCCCCCACTCTGCCATCCATCCAGCATATGCCCCAGAATGCGACTGGTTCCAGCCTTCCTCCGATGAACGAGGGTCCTGCTCCATCTACCAATGGACCTCCGCCAGGTGCCCCTACACCTCAGGTGCAGGTGCAGGTGAAACAAGAGCCCCCCCGAAGTGAGCAAGTTCCAGCTCATGAACCGGCTGCGCGTAAGATGGACGTTGATGAAAATTACGACGACGATGGGGATGATGAGAAGCGGGCCAGCACCACGGCCAAGGCAAGTCCCACCGCTGGCAGCAGCAGCAGTAATGGAGTGCTGAACGGTGGCTCCCAGAGCTCACAATCGAAGCAAGAGTCCACAGCTTAAAAAAGGTTCTACCTCCTGCCACCAACGACTCTCTTCTTTGACGACTGTCGGCCAGGCACCAGAAGCAGATGCATGCTTCAGAAGATATCACTTACGAACAATCTTTCGTTCCCTCGTTTATCACTTCGAAAATTTCCCTTTTTCCTTTCTTCTATATACTTCTATTCGTTCTGGTGGCATTCAGCTTAGCTATTGTTTACGCATTTTGATTTTGTACTTTATGAACGCCATCGGCATAGTAGCCAGGATGAACTACCTTAGTTGCTTGCTTTGTGTTCTCTCCAGTACTTGACTTGTTGCATTTGCCTTTGAATCCCCATCTGTTTAGATAACTCTTCTCTCTCATGCCCTTCCCTCTTCCTGTGAATGATTGAAAGTCTCTTATTTCTCTGATGAATGACACACCTCATACAACCTTGTATAAGAACAAATTGACATTACCACGACCAATGGCTTTGATGTCATTGTAGATAGCATCTTTGATTATGATGTTCTTGAAGTACTATGCCGTGAGTAGGTGGGTGCAGGGTGGTCATGGTGTTAAATTGACTTATGCCAATGCTCTGGCCGTCAACGCAAACTGTTCTCTATTATGGAAATGGAAGGAGGATTTGATGTTGATATCGGATATTTAGCTTTTTTGAGAACGATTAATCTACCTTACCTTGGAGATTGACTTGTGGGACGTGGCATCTGCCAAATCACAATAAAACTCCCTTTTTTTGATTTTGTGGGGACAGAGACTGATGCATGCCTTAGGAGTAAGGCAACTAGGCCCAGGGCTGGGTGCCTGAGGCCCTGGGTCCAAATGGGTCGCTTATCCGCAAAGGGAAATGTGGCGCCAAGACTTCGCTTAGGTCAGCCCACACTCGTTAACCGTGCAAAATACGACCTCCGGCGAACTTCAGAGATAGACACTCTCACCAACTTCGACGACTAACGACAACAGGGTCAAGATGTAAGTTTTGCGCCCCAAAACGCGTCAATTCTCATCTGCGAGAATGGAATCGCTAATTTTATGTCTTTTTCAGGAGTCACCGGAAGTACGAAGCGCCTCGGCACGGTTCGTCAACCTTTTTTCCTTCTGTTTCCCCTCGACGACATCAGATTTTGAACGATATTTGTGTGTGTGTGCGGTATACTGACAACCACTCTTACAGGCTCTCTTGCCTTCCTGCCGCGCAAGCGCGCTGCCAGACACCGTGGAAAGGTCAAGAGGTTAGTTGGAAATCCGGATTTTTTTTTCTTGAATGAGATGGGGAAGAAAATTTCAATATACTGAGACTTCGACAGCTTCCCCAAGGATGACCCCAAGAAGCCCGTCCACCTGACGGCCTCCATGGGCTACAAGGCCGGTATGACCACCGTCGTCCGTGACCTTGACAGACCCGGTGCCAAGATGCACAAGAAGGAGATCGTTGAGGCTGTCACCATCATCGAGACTCCTCCTGTACGTTCACTCGAATTCAGGCCTTTCGTTACTAAAAAGGTCGATTACTTACTTTTTTTCCCCAGCTTGTCGCCGTCGGTGTTGTCGGTTACATCGAGACTCCCCGTGGTCTCCGCTCGCTCACCACCGTCTGGGCTGAGCACCTGAGCGACGAGGTCAAGCGCCGCTTCTACAAGAACTGGTACAAGAGCAAGAAGAAGGCTTTCACCAAGTACGCCAAGCAGCACGCCGAGGAGAGCGGTGCCTCCGTCACCCGCGAGCTCGAGCGCATCAAGAAGTACTGCACTGTCGTCCGTGTCCTCGCCCACACCCAGATCCGCAAGACCCCTCTCAAGCAGAAGAAGGCCCACTTGATGGAGATCCAGGTCAACGGTGGTGCCGTTGCCGACAAGGTTGACTTCGCCCGCAACCTGTTCGAGAAGCCCATCGAGATCGACAGCATCTTCGAGAAGGACGAGATGATCGACGTCATTGCCGTCACCAAGGGTCACGGTTTCCAGGGTGTCACCAGCCGTTGGGGTACCAAGAAGCTTCCCCGTAAGACTCACAAGGGTCTGCGTAAGGTCGCCTGTATTGGTGCTTGGCATCCTAGCCACGTCCAGTGGACTGTTGCCCGTGCCGGTCAGATGGGTTACCACCACCGTACCTCTTGCAACCACAAGGTCTTCCGCATTGGCAAGGGTACCGACGAGGGTAACGCCTCGACCGAGTTCGATATCTCCAAGAAGCAGATCACACCGTGAGTACCCAGTCTTCCTATGAGCATGAAACCCACAACGGTTCGCTAACAATATTTCCACAGCATGGGTGGTTTCGTCCGCTATGGTGAGGTTAAGAACGACTACGTCATGGTCAAGGGCTCCGTCCCTGGTGTCAAGAAGCGTGTTATGACTCTGCGCAAGACCCTGTACCCCCAGACCAGCCGGAGAGCTACCGAGAAGGTCGAGCTCAAGTGGATCGATACCTCCTCCAAGTTCGGCCACGGTGCTTTCCAGACACCCGAGGAGAAGCGTGCTTTCATGGGTACCCTCAAGAAGGACCTTGCCACTTCTGCTTAAGGTGTTTATGTCGGTTTGGTGTAGTGCAGCTTATTACTTTTTTCAATAAAAAAAGCGGAACAATATCTTCAAATTCTAGGTTCTCAGCTGAATGAGTCATGTCTTATGTTTCTAGTACTTTTGTAGCCTCAAGTATGTTGCACATTAGTTCTCAAATGTAGTATCCGTGGCTAGGAAGCTATTCAGGAGCATCCGCTTAAGAGTCGTCGGGGGTTTATGGCTCAGGAGAAAATTCTGCGCCAAATGGGCCGACGTTCCTTTTCGTCATCGCGTCTGGCTTCCTTTTATAGCATTTACATATTTTGTATATCGCAATAAAAGTTGCGCTTTATGTTTCCCCCCGGAAATACTTGCCATTAGCCTTACCCATATTTCACCCACCCTCAGAATCCGAGCGCAACGGTCGCCTGTCTTGTTACTGTTAGCCGCGATGTGTAAGTGGCAGCTCAGCCGCAGGGTACATTGCGTCATTGATCGCATGTCCCTTCGGGCTTCAACTCCAACCCCATCGTCGAATCGGCCCATACGTCTCCTCCTTCAATATCCTTCTCCTCAAACTCAAATTACTGTCGTCAAAAATCACCATCATCGATACCTCTCTACTGTCACCCGACGGCTAGTCACTCCCCACCCTAAACGAAACCATCACAAAGTCCTTGCACCTACCCCGCGCCACCAGACCGTCCTCTCCCGAGCCATGTCTTCAGACGACGCCTACATGTCCTTCCTGAACAAGGCAAACTCAGACCTCAACAATGCACGAGCAGAACAGGCGCAGTCGTCCGCCGTGCGCACCGAGACCGTCGACGTGGGCGTCCAAGTCCTCGCTCCCCTGAGATCCGTCGATGCGTACTACGTCTCCGAGACAGATGAGCCCTTTGAGCCCGTCACGCTGAAATGGGAGGGCGCGAATAAAGGCATCTGGCCTAGTCCTTGTACGTCCCTCTTCTCTCCTGATCATACTCACCCAGATCACACCATCCATATTTCCCTTTTACGTCGGGCCTCTTTGCTAACGATCTTCTGTGAAACAGCCCAGCTATCCAAGCTGATCTCCCCCGATACCGACCTCTCCTCGTTCATCGAGACCCTGACCCCTTCCACGTTTGATCCGAAGAACCAGTACTCGTCTGCTCTGCGCGCGGTGCGCGCGGCGGTCACGCAGGCTTCAGGCAGTGGCGAGCCGGCAATCAGTGAGTCTGATGTCGAGGTCAAGGTGTATCGGGTAAAAGTTGGCTCGTCGCGTGTGCAGTATTACATTCTGAGCTTGGATGCTGAGGGGGGTACTCTTGTGGGGTTGAGAGCGAAGGCGATTGAGTCATAGGAATTTCTTTTTCTTTTCTTTTCTTTTTTTTTTCCCTTTTCATATGGAGTGCGTGTTGCTGGGATGCTGTGTATATTTGATGATGAACTTCTTGACGTAATTGCAGAATATTTTGGAGTCAATCAGCCTCTTTTCGTCGTGATTTTCTAATATGGGTGTTGTAGCTGTGGGTGGATATATATTTCTTAGAATGAACCGCGCCCGAGCTCTGCTATGGATGCGATAAAGCAGTAAATGCAGCAACCACAACTATGATGGCAACAGACGTCGAGATTATGATAGAAAGCATAGAGGCAGTTTTATCGATCAGGTTGTGGATGTCTCAACCTTGTCAACATCCCCAACACATTTAAAGCATGGGATATTCGCCGAGGAAGGATCATCGCTGATACATGGCTCGCATAGAAGATTTCTCGATACCCTAACTATGATAAAGGGTCATCTATGTGTTGCCTTACGGCCTACGACGGGTGTTCCATCTTGATACAGTAATTCAACTGTCCTGACAAAGAGAAGTAAGAGAGGAAGTGAAGGTCTAGGAAAGTCCATATGCATCGATTGTTGTGTACGATTAGAGCTCCTACTTTATCATCATATAAATCGACCGCGTGGCAATCAGTTCTCGTGCTGGATGAGAATGGAATATCTACAGCGCAACTTGGATCGGTGCTATCCGCAAGGCTGATCCCACCCTCGACTGGTTCGATGAAGGATTTCTTCGGAATGACGGGACGATTGGCATGTGTGTGCCTTGGTGGAGGAATGGAAAATCACTGCAAGTTTAGCACTGCAGTGGAGAACATCATGATGGTGAATATCCAGTAAGCATCTGTTTCCAGTGTTTGAGTTCTTGATAGTCCTGGAAGGGTGTTAGTTGTTGAGCAGGACATTGACTATATAGCACGGTAAAAAGAGCGGGAAGGGCATTGAATAATCGGCTGGAGCATCAAAGTCAATAGTGTCAGGGACGAATGCGTTGGAATGGTCCGGTTCAGCCTTTTCAGGAACTGTATTCTATGCCTCTGAGGAACAGATGTGAAAGCAAGGTACCTATTCGGGGCCTAAGTCTCAGGATTAGTATATTGCCTACAAGGCGAGGAAGCCAAGATGCAAGCTTCTAGATCCTCAGGCAAACCTAGGATCTGGAATTCCTGGTTGGTCCGTCCTGAATTTATGATATTTGATGGGGTAGCCGTCCCTTGCTCTATATGCGTTGTAGTGGGTAGTGGACGATCAGGATTATAGAGAGAAGCAGGCAACACAGGATCATAACCTAACCACTAATGATGCACTTCAATGTTTTGGCCTCTGCTTGCTATAGCTCTTATTTGGCTGCAGATGGTGATAACTCACATTAATGATGCTCTCAATCAGTTTGGCTGTTTAACAAAGCCTGGAGTCACTTAGCTGGTCTGCGTTTCTGCCTGAGGCCCCACATGTTTATACATACCAACCCCCATTATTGAACTTTCTCCTCCATGCCAATCTCTCTCCTGAGCAACCGGTTCTTTGGAATTTGTCTCTACTAAACTCTTCACGCTGCGGCGACAGCTACACAGGATGCTTCTTACTAGATCATATAGATCTGACAGTCAAACAGTCATTTTGGATACATTGGGTTCTTACCGGGGCTCGACACCAGCCATCATACGCAGCCACTGCTATCTTACAGTTTCCTCCTGGCGTCCAATTCTACTCGAGGATCTGGAATTATGGCTAGGGAGTGTAGATCCCAGCTGGATGGCTAGAGTGTTGGAGCTCCGAATGATGTCCTGCTTAACATACAGCATTCCTGGAGATAGGTTCCTGGTTTACCCCTGGTAACCATGATGGGGACTGCCTCAATCAAGGTTGCTGTGCTCGAGTACATACTGTACTATTATTATTATTATTTTTATCATTGTTTAATGGAAAACATATTGATGGCACTTTTTAGTGGATTCCCTCCATCGTCTGCCAGGAAGAAGACGAAGAAGAACGAAGGAAAGGCAGGACTCTGCCGAACAATCAAGGACTGCCACGGTTGCTCTTCTATCCCTTCCTTCAAACTGTCTCTGAGGATTTTCTCGTTGCAGTCGTGGACCTAGCCATATTCGAATCTTTCCACCCTTCACACGCTCTTTACTTGGTTTTCCCATTCTGTGGTTTTGGCGTGGCGCAATCTCCTGGCCTTCCGCTATTGTTTACACTGTCGCCTCCTTCTACCCCGGATGAACTACTGACCACTTTTTTCCTCTTTGAATCTCTTCCTAATATTGTATGAGATCCATCGCTCACTAGGGAACCTAACCCGTCCACTATTTCCTTCCCCCCCCAGCGGTGCTCGTTTCGAATCACGGACCGCAAGCCAGTCGTTACCGTGCAGCATAATACCAGAGAAACTATCGACATTGGCTCTGTTTGACAGATTTCGAATGATTGGATGATTTCTCCAGGTCTTGGGCACTCTCACCATATTTAGGGAACTGTCTTTCGGCAATGGTTGCCAAATAGAAGAAAAGATAGATGTCGTGGCGAAGAAGTGATCATTGGAAGAGCAATATCTTTTGACAACAGTCATCTTGAGCAGCGATCCTTGCGCGGGAATTGATCTCTAGTGAGGTCAGAAACAGACCTTCAGGATGTCCGAAGATTCCTCTATTCATAGCAATCACGAGACTCCCCACATTCGAATCAACTCTGGCCGACATGATCCCTTCAGTGACGCAGAAGATCGTTACTCGTCAGTACCAAGCCATCAAATTGGACGAGCTTTAACACCAGGCGTGGCCCTTTCGCCATCCGCTGGCACACTTCATACAGTATACGAGTCATCAAATTTACAAGATTCATCCGAGTTCCTTCTACCACCACGCCCTCATCGCTTCAAGGAAGAATACGAACCATACCGCTCTCCAGCCCCATCGATATTGTCCTCGAGAAGAAACAGCTGGAGTTCAGAAACAGGAAGCTATGAGACGAGGATCCATCCTTACAATCCGTTTGAAGACCCACGCGCCCCGTCACAAGCGGACAGTGACGAGATTGATGTCAACACACAGACCGTCGCCGAAAAATATAATATCATGCCTACGGACGGCTTACTGCTCTTTCCCGAGGATGTGGAAAAGGACGATCACCTGCATAATCCAGATCCAAGTGACCGAGAAGGACAGTGCGACCTATGGAATCGCCGGGGTATAATCAACGTGGCAGGCCTGATATTGCTGACCTTAGGCTTTCTTATCCTCTTTATTGGATATCCAATGATGTATGTTCTCTTACGCGGCGCGGCAATCGTCGAATGCATTTGCTAATATGAATGGCTCTATAGAACGGCTATGAAAGGCACTGTAAAATCCGGGCCAACGTGTGATCCGAGAGACACGCTTTGCCTCGATGTGGGAGACCGCCCATTGCTTTCGAACATTCGACGGGGCTTGATAGACCCGGATACCCCTAAATCCGCGAGGAGTAAGAAATCTGCAGATGGGAAGGAATGGAAACTGGTAGTAAGTCATGCACAATCTGTTTTATAGGACATTGGGGCATATTAAATGTCTTTGATATGGCTAACAAGATCACATTCAGTTCTCGGACGAGTTCAATACTGATGGACGCACTTTCTATGACGGGGATGATCCATTTTACCAGGCTGTTGATATCTGGTATGGAGTGACGCAGGACTTGGAGGTCAGCACTGTATCTTCCCCGTACCTGGGCTCGACTAATCCCGTCCTCCTAGTGGTACGACCCAGACGCAGTAACGACGAGGGACGGAGTCCTAGAAATTCGCTTTGACTCCTTCCCCAACCATGAACTAAAATACAGATCAGGAATGGTACAGAGTTGGAATAAACTATGCTTTACAGGCGGTCGCTTGGAAGCGAGTATTTCCCTGCCAGGATCTGGAGACGTATCTGGTTTCTGGCCCGGATTTTGGGCGATGGGAAACCTTGCGCGGCCTGGGTACGCTGCGACCACAGAAGGGATGTGGCCATACAGCTATCATGACAAGTGTGATGCTGGCATCACACCAAACCAGAGCTCCACCGATGGTATAAGCTATCTTCCTGGAATGCGCCTACCAGCCTGCACGTGCGCAGGCGAAGAGCACCCAAGTCCCGGTCGATCAAGGAGTGCTCCGGAAATCGATGTCATCGAAGCAAGCGTAATTCCTTTGAACGATAATGGAAATGCTGTTATCGGGTCAGTATCACAGAGCTTGCAAATGGCGCCGTTCGACATTTGGTATATGCCTGACTATGGTAAGACCTATCCACACTGAGCACAGGGACCCCGTTCTTTGTCGACAACTCTGGCCTCAACTGACATAATCTCAGAATTTACTGCTGTTTATGATCCCTATGTTACCCAGATCAATAGTTACCGAGGCGGTCCGTATCAGCAAGCCATGTCTGGTCTCTCAAACCTCAACAACAAGTGGTATAATGGCACCGAATACCAGGTTTATGCATTTGAATATACGCCTGGTGCTCATGGAGAAGTGACCTGGTTTGTCGGACCAGAGAGAACCTGGACACTGGATGGTAGAGCAATCGGCCCGAATGGCAACATTGGCCAGCGCGTGATTCCTTTGGAGCCCATGTCGATCATTATGAACTTGGGTATGGCCTACAGCTTTGCCGGAATCAATGATACCATCCAGAACTATATGCCCGGCATTATGCGTTTCGATTACATTCGGATATACCAGGACCCTGACAATATCAGTGTCACCTGCGACCCTCCTGGCTATGAAACCACTGAATACATTGCAAAGCACCCAAAAGCCTACCAGAACATCAACAAGACGACATGGTAAGACAAGTCTTCCTTGCTCAGAATTCAGCCTGACTGACATGACTCTCAAGGACCGACGCTGGATACGAGTGGCCAAGCAATTCTTTCATGCATGGATGCTCCTAATGCGGGATGAATATCGCCTCTATCCGTCTAGAAATCGACTTCAGACCTTTTGGTAAGATGTCAGGATTGCTCTTCTGAGCCGAATCTGCCAATCCAAAGGGTCTATCCCCAGCAATGGCGCCCTATTCGCGCCCCTCTCAAAAATCAAAAAATCCCCTGTGCAAACAACTTCATTAGCATCAAATTTGGCGTCAGGAGTGGTTGAGCACCGATGCACTGTGTACGGTTTATTCCATTATCATTCACATCATGCCCGATGTCGATCATAAGCATGTTTTCTCGAGTACTGCCTAGGGATCTATGGTGTGATCCTTTCAGTGCGGCTTCTATCTTCAATTCTCTATTTCATATTGATTAAATATCAAGCATTAGCATTACATTTATTCCGTCTCATTCTGGTCTTGTTGATGCAGTTGTTTTTTCACATTCACCCTCTTAGCTTCAGAAACCGTGTCTCCCAAAGGTCAAGTATAGTAAAACAATATCACTTGCGCTTCACACACAAATTTGTTCATGGAAAGAAAAAAGAAGCTAGAACCTAAGATATTCTACCAGGATTGTGAGCACAGCGTCGGCGCGACCATTTGGTGAATAGTTGACTAAGCAAAATTGTGATGCATCCATAACAACACCAGAAGTAGCCATTCTGCTTCATCAAACTTCGTATATCACCATCATTGGATCCGTTCAACCTATGAGCAAATCAGCACCTAACAGTTTGTAGAGTGGACTGGGTCTGAGCTTTGCACTCTCTGTAAATCTCCCTTCTGTTCTTCCCGCCTCATCCTCACCGATGCAATCCAGCTACCTCCGTACAACGTACTGAAACTATGTTAGTGCGGTCTTGATTCCATCGATGACTTACTCTCAGTGTTATCGGGAATCTATACTGATCAACTCTTGAGAATACCTATCATTTATTCCACCTTCTCTATGACTGCATAGCCTGCTTGGAGAACCTTGCCTGCGAAGATCTGTGATCTGTATCAATTCCTCCATCACTAGCGACTGGGGAAAGATCTACATATCCACCCCTAAAGCATCAACTCCAGCACCAAAAGCACAGGACCAGCATGTTCAACCCCAACATCCCCATCACAGGACACCACGGCCGTCCCATCGTCATCGACGACAATGACGACGAGGACAATGGCGGCATGCAAGTAGAATATTCATCGGGACTACAGCATCCCCAGCACGGGATGATGGGATACGGTAAGCTCTTCCCCCAAACCACCCAGCCAGCAATCAATAGATAAAACTTTTGAAGCTTTGAATATGGATACTGATGATCTCCTTCAGGACATGCCCCAACACTCAACCCCCAAGATCGAATCTACCCATCCTACCACGCCGCCATCGAGCAGGAGAAGAAAATTCGCAGCCGGCTGCGCGAGGAGCGCCATGCCGCGCTCTCCGTGCTCCTGGACCGCGAGTTACTCACCATCCAGGCCCTGGCGAATCAGGAGGTTAGTCCATCCATCCATCCATCGCTTTCTCCTCCCCCCTGCCGCGCTGCGGACTCTTTCCAAACGAGACGGAATGAAATGAGATACAGAACGAGTAGCTAAAAAAACAAATTAGACACTCCCACAAGCCCGCCGACGCTTCCTCGCCAAACTCATGGCCCCCGAGGACCCAGACGTCGCGGCTGCCATCCGCGCAGACCGCTTCATCATCCATCACACTTCGTCGTCGTCATCGTCTTCGTCATCCTCGTCCGCCATGATGGTCAGCCGGCGCATCGTCGATGTACACGAGACCGACGATGCGGGCTGGCGTCGTCCGGACACCGGCGCGGGCGCGGGTGCATCGGCGGCCTCGTCGCCTGCGTCCTCATCACGGACGAAAGGGAAGATGACCCCTGACCGAGCCCGGGCTAAGGCCAAGATGTCATCGGGTCGACAGCAGCAGCAGCAGCAACAGCAGCGGGAGAGGGAACGGAGGAGGAGGTGGAGCGGTGCCGAGCGGGAGGATCTGGATAGTTTGGCTTCGCAGAGATTCTCGCCTTGAATTGTTGCGAGTTTTAGCTGTGAGGTCGAAAGCTATTATGACTGGGAATTGTTGCAATTTCCCACGAGACCACGAGACCACGAGAGTGGCAGATTCATCACGCTGAAAAGACTGAATATGAAATTTGCATTCTCATTCGCTCATTTTTTACATACCAAGAACCTGCCATGGCATATCCATAGAACCCAAGCCATCCAGAAATGCCGCGTACTGTACATGACCCAAAAGTAGAAGCAATAAGAAAATAAGGCCCAAACAAAAACATAAAAGAAAAGGATCAAGCTGGAGTCGTGTGTCACGGTTTAAACACCTCATATATACAGTTCAAACCGAGACCTCCTCCGAAGCTTTTAAGAGAGACCACTGTAAATCTTGTTTCTCGCACACCTTCCGCCCCTGATTCATGACTCAACTGGGTATCAAAAATAGACATCTGTTTTGTCTCTCGTTTTGCAAATGCGACACTGGAGACTTTCCCAGTATAGCCATTCACCTATATGACCGTTGTCGAGCCACTGAACAGAAAATCATGGTCTTTTCTCTTTGAGAGAAAACTTGGAAGAAAGAAAGAGCAGCCTAGAAGCTTCCTTGATGCTCCATACTTAGAGCATTATGGAATGTGCGATCAACAGACCGTCTGACGTCGCAAGAGATTGATTCTTGCGGCCTCGTTTGAAATTGGAAAACGCCACGCCATAGTCGGGTAGTAAGGAGGCGAGTATCAATAGCCCCTTCTTATGCGCTCGACTTCTCAGAATGAAGCATGCTTTCAGCATCGCCAACCTGCTTGCGCTCCGAAACTTCGTTGTTCCGCATCCGGGCGGCTTGAATGTTCATCAGCGTCAATCCTTGGGATGATGGCGGGTCGGGCTCCGAATAAAAAGGATGCAGTCTGTGGCAAGTGGAGAACCGAACACGACCATCCCTCATGACTGGTAATTGTCATTGCAGGGGCTCCAAGCTCGAGGAAAGCCGATTCAGGTGGAGATAGACATCTGTTCCATATCTATGATGAAGAGATGTTAGCACAAGGATTGAAAAACATCGGATGACAATGCTAGCTTACCCTTCCATGCTGATCAGCTTGAGGTCGCCGCCAAAGTATCGAGCGTACAGACGACTGATTGGCAGACCATAGCCGAAGCCAGCCATCGGAGCCTTGAAATCGTTCTTATCGAAGTCCGGGTCCAAGTTGGGAGTCTGATCCACAGTGGTGTACATGTAGGTCCAGACTAGTGGGATAGATGAACGGGGAATACCGCCGCCTTCATCAGAGACCTTGATCGTGATGTCCTCTTTGCCCTCGGCCACGATGACCTTGGTAACGGGAAAAGCTTCCTTGTCCGCGCCATGGGTTTCCACAACAGCACGCAGCGAGTTCTTGAGGGTCTCGAAAAGCATGTGCGACAAGTGGCCAGGGACGTACATAAAGTTCAGGTCATCTTTGCAGATCAATTGAATCTGAGGAGCTTCGAATAAACCATAGTAATCTTCACAGACAAAACGAGCGTTATCAATGGCCTCGAGAGCCACTTCTCGAACGTTCGTTTTAGTACAGATGATACCAACATAATTCGGATGGCGGACATGCGTTTGTTCTGTCAATGCGATGTGTTGGCCGATTAACATTCGAATACCGATACGGGACATATAGAAGCGATCGAGGAACGACTGGACAGTGGAATCAATTTGTAGACGTTGGCGTTTCCGCTTCCATTCCAGGATACCTTGGGCGACAGTAGTCACGACACTATCGTGCCGGCGCTTGATGTGTTGTAGAGTTTTCGCGAATCGTTGGTTATAATCATTCAATTCCGGTGGCCAGTGACCATGGTCATCCGAGGGGACGAAGTATCTTCGGGTGGCAGCTCCTTTTGCATTTCCATTTCCGTTGGTGGGGGACGACCGATATTGTCCTTCCTTGATACTGGGATTCTGGGTGGCTTCGGAGAGGATCTTGGAGACACCGTGCATTCTCCCAGGACGTAGCAAGCGAGCTTTGACTTCTTGGGTCAGAGTCGGTCGGGGTAGGTTGATGATTTCCTTCAGCGCACGTGAGCTTCTGCTTGCTCTGGAGCAAAATGGGGGAGATAATGTGTTGAGTGGGGGTCATACCTCGAACGACTGAGCGTACCAATCTTGCACCTTCTTAATCGACGGCATTTCACTCAATCCATCGGGAAGTTCTCCAAGATCCTGCACGCGATGCGCTAAGCGAATCGGCAACTCTTCAGAGAGGAATTGTGAGGCACGAAAGAGGGTCCCTGTTTCATCGAGGATTCCAGTCAGTATTGGCCACGACTTCGTAGATGTCTCCCGAGAGATGTGCAACAATTCTCCAAATGCAGCGGCTGAGGATACGTACCGGTCGATGGTCTGTCTCCGAACTGCACCATCTGTCGGAGAGAGACACCAGTAGCGGGGAAGCTCGCATAGTGCCTGATGGTGTCCATCAGCCTCTCCGACGGTTTCCACATACTGTCTTGCAATTCAGGCCAGACGGCCTGACGTGCACGGTTTATTAATCCTGAGAAACCGAGTGAAACAACTGGAAGAGCGATGGGAACTTGAGTTGGCATGCGGTGATGAAAGAGAATTGAAGAATGTGTGCTCTCGCCTCGTTCCTCAAGATACCCCGGATGTCGGCTGCCGAGGCTGTTGAGTCACAAGGAAGCGGACAGGGCGGTAAGAGCTGTGAGGGCTCCGATTCGGAGATGTGGAATCACTGGAATGGAGGGAGGAGGGGTGTGTTTTTTAGTAGTAGTTGGACATACGGAGTATGTTCAACAGTCTGGGAGTCCCGGTGGTGGATAGGGACCACGTCAGGAGATCCAATTCTTTCTCGGTGCTGAACAGGATTTCTTCAGGATAGAAAGCGATTCCCTCCCAGTGAAAGGGGAAAAGCCGTCTGATTTCTACTTTCTACCGGCCATCCGTCATTATTGCCCTCTGGCTCTATTGCGGAGCCCCGGGGTCACGTGTGGGGGGAGGTGATCCCGTGCTTGGCCGAGGGACAACGGCGAGAACAACAGACTACAGACTACAGAGCCATCGCTGGAAAGAATCAGCCGATTCTCGCTCTCCCTTCGCTCTGGGCAGTGACTCCCGACTTCATTCTGCTTCAGATCTATCTATCTATCTTCTTTCTCTTGACTCTTGAGGTTTCCCTTCATTCCCCTCGTCTCTGCTATTTTCCATCCTGGTATCTCCCCACCGCCCCTCACTACCAACTTCGTTACCAAATACCAAGTCCCAGCGGAAGTGTCGGTGGTTGAGACTTGAGAGTAAACAATAATAATTATAAAGTTCCTTCTTCCTCCGGATTTCCCCTTCGCCCGAGAAGCTTGACTCGTGTTTTGCCGGCCTGCCATGCGCCCTCTCACCCAAAGCCCCCAAATCTCCAAAAAAAAAAATCACAACCAAATCCACCGGAACTTTGGGGGGTTCATTCTCGACCTGCTCTAAGCCTCTAGTTCTCGGTCACTCGGTGTGCTAACCGCTAAGTGCCAACTGTGTGCTCACTATCGCACTATGCTTATTGCCTTCCCCCCCCCCATTTTAAGGCTAATCATCACGCTACTACTGCAGCAGCTCTTTCAGGGAAATTGCGCGGCACGAGACGCGGATGACATTCCATATCCCCGCGATGCTATTATCTAGTCTCCTGGACTAGAGGGCCTTTGTTGTTCATCTGTGGTCCATAGACGGCCTGGACGGAATCGCTTGTCCGACGGTGACCTGAGCTAATCAGCTAAAGCCTAAAGTCCCTGGTCCCTACAGTCTACACACTTTTGCTCCGTAGTCCGTACTGTGCCTGGAGCCTTGGCCCCTAGACCTGGGGGAAATATCTAACCCGATCGATATCTGTCTCCGCCGCCGTGTTCTTCAGGGACAGCTCTTTCGCTGCATTAGGAGGACAAGTTCAGTTGTAGTAGGCATCCAGGAACCTGAATTTTGCTCTTCTAGTGTGTCTTTCCCAGCCAGGTCTTCACTCCGGGGCTTCTCTTTGGGTTCTTCTGAATGGATTTTGGCCCTGAGTCTCTCTGGACCCTGAGGACTAGGTAATCACGGTCACGGAGCAAACAACGACGTTGATGTATCCCAAGGACCAATTGACATGCATGAAACGGATCCCCGCCAAACAGGATCTAAGATCTTTCATTGATCAAGAGCGATAGTGATCATGGAAGCGCTCTGGAAGGGCAAAGGAAGCTGCGTAGAATTGTAGACTATTTAAACGACACAGACAACATCACCATATCATCAATTGAATTTCCATCCTGCTCTGTCCATCTGTCCCTTCCCAGAAGCATCTCGTGCACTGATCAGACAGGTACCTTTGCGCTGCCGTGATCATATCATGACGCCGTGCAAATGATGATTAACCGATAACCCAATTCGTTGCCAGCTAAAAATAAATCAGAATAACCACAGAGAAACTCAATGACCAGATGAGTTGTCTGCATCGGACTCAAATGCAGCTTTTCATCATCCTCTTCATCGTCACCATCATTCCACCATCATCGGTCTTATCGATCGTCCCGGTTCGGTGGCTGCCACTTGGCGCCATGAGATTGTGAGATAAAGTATTCCCTACAGAGAGCAGCAAGAGCTCGCGCTTTTATCTGGTCCACTCTCATGCTCTTCTTGCCATCGCTGACGGCGCCAAATCCGAGGGAATCGTGCCGGTCCCTGGGCCTAACAGTACTCGTCGGTTGAGGCGCTTCCAAAATTCACGCCAAACGGGAAGCCCAAGACAGCCGTCTCTCCTGACTTCGTGATCTTGCGCCGCCCGAAACCTTTTTGGCAGTGGAGTCTTCATTTTCCTTCTTGACACCTGTCTGGCCCACCAACCACAAGGATTGTCAGTTGAGAATCTCCCGGCAGATTTATCTGACTGGTTGTCGATTCACCGCAGTGGGTTGTCTTGACCTTTGCAGTTTGCAGTTCCCCTGTAGTCACGGATACTATGCACACAAACCTATTTTTTTTTTTTTTTTTTTTGGCTTCCCTTTTCCGTGGCCTGTTTCCGTGGCCTGTTTCCGTGATTGCTGTTTCAATCATCTCCAACCACCTCTTGTGTCCCAAAGTGGAAACGAGACAAGAAGAGCTTGGCTGGCCCAAATAGGCATCAAGTAAACAGAGGTATGGATCATTTCCCTTACAACAGCAACCTCCCTTGCCCATGGAATCGAGAACCCATGGCTCACAAGAGTCTGGGTGGATCTTGAACCACCCGCCGATGAATTGTTCCTCTTTGTATGGTCTCTCTGGAGCTCTCTGTGATTGTATCATCATTGGAGTCCTGACTGTAGTCTCGACTTATCCCCGATCAGCCTCTTTGGGGGCGAGAAAGGATCAAAAATGATGCAACCGTGTGCTCCGCTGCGCGGATAGATGCTCCACGCTGGTCAAATTTTTTTATGTTTTTATTTTTTTTTTGCTTGATTTTTAGTGATGTTGTCTTTTGGTCATGCATTCACTAATCAGCAAGTGCGATAGAGAGGAAGGATCCGCAAATTGTGGTTAGGAATTACCTATTTTGCGCTCATGCTGTTGATGCCATATTCCTGATTGTGACTGGCTCAAGTCTAGAGAAATTGCCCCTCTCAAATTGCCAGCCATTGTGTTTCATTGTGCGTGTGGCTCGGGCAAGAAGCCATTCATATTAATTAGTACTACTGTCATCAATCTTGGTGTTGCAAGCGGTCACTTTTCCGCACTTTTTCCCTTTCTGACAAGCGAGCAAAAGGAAAGAGAGATTAAATTCGCAGGAGACCGATGAGATAGGAGGAAAAGGCCACGACGACGGTAACGAAGAAGAGGAAGAAATAGCAAGCAGACAGGCAGAAGCAAAAGCAGAAGCAGAAGCAGAAGCAGAAGAAGCAGAGGAAGCAGAGGAAGAAGATCAGAGGTAGAGGCTCAAGAAGAACCCCAATCAGGAAAGACCCTAAACGACCCAGTTCGCTCTCCCAAGAAAAGGACCCCTCCTTCTATCTTTCTGAATCGCCATCGACTCTCTTACTGACTTCTACATCGCCCTCCGCTATCAGTTATACCTCGCTGCCTATTATCCTGCGCAATCTCTTGCCGTTCGAACCAATTCTTTGTTTCCTTTGTCTGCCTAATCCCTTCTCATCGAATTTCTGCTTGCGCTACTCTAGACGAAAGAGTATTGGCAGATCTGAACATCGTTCGATGGGTACATCTCTAAACGTCTCCCCTACTCTGCTCGAATTAGACTGCATGCTCAGATAAGCTGCCGAAACATGTCCCGTCGTCGAGCCTCAAACAGCGAATCAATAGCCTCATCGTCTACTATGAATGAGGCAGTTGCATATCCATTCTCCGGTATGCAGCAGAATCATTTGCCGCAGAGGCGTGGTCCGATAGAAGGGCCCAATGGACGCAGGTTAATTCGTAGGGTAACCTGGCGCTCATCTACCTACAAACTCATGGCGTCCCTCTGGGTCCTAGGCGTCTTTTACATCGTTTGGCTCATCAGGGATCTCTTCTGGTTGCCTTTTGGTCCGTCGGGAACGGACTCTTTTACTGGAGATGCGGCAAAAGAGTGAGTCTTTGGCTATGCTTTTTGAGCTGTCATGAGCTGTACTCATCAACCTCCGTTTCCCCAGCTTCTTTGCTCATTACACGGGTCGCCAGGAGTGTGGCTTCTCATCAGTTGATGTCTACAACCCACCAGAGGGCAAGGCATACTGCCGGACTCGTGACTCATTGCTCAGTGCCATGAGCAACGGAGGACGGCATGGCTTCGATGCTGCCTATACATCACAAGGTAAGGGAGAGGACCAAACACCAGAATGCTCCCTTTTATGCGATTACCTCGCAGGTGGCGCTTGATTCCTACGGTCATTTTCCACTGACTGACAAGTATGAAAAAGGCTGCGTATACCGTTGGTACACTAGCTCCCAGATTTGTGATATACTGCAGAGATTCGACGGAATCGTGTTTATTGGCGACGAATCCCTGGCTGGCGCGTATGCTGGATTCAATATTCTCCTTCGAGAAAATCTTCCTTCAGGCTCCCTGCGCGATTGGGAGATGAGCAATGAGTACATCACCCAATGTAAATGTGACTCGCAGCTCAACAACCCGTCCTGCTGGCCGAAGCGAATCAGATCTAGCGAAGAGGTCTTCTCTCAGAGCGACAAATCGACATCTCGAAGTTCTTATGCCTGCTCAAAGCGTAAGCATACAGATTCAAATCGTCCGTCAAATGCTCACAGAAGCTGGTGCTGATTCACTCGTTCTTTAGACGTTCCACACGCTTTTGTACAAGTAGTCGACTCTCCTTCCTCGATGAGCTCTCGCGAAAAAGTCCAAAAACTGCTGTCCCTAGCCGATGGCCAAAAGAAGCCTGTCCCTGTGATTCACAGCGTTTCGCTCTCCGCGTCCTTCTCCCTGCCCATAGCCAAGAACAGCATGGATGAATGGCTAGCCCTTGCAAAGACCACTAACCGAAACACCCCTTTTCTCTGGATAGGTCCTACGGCCGCCGGCCATCAAAGGCCTACCACCGCCAACAACATTCCTGCCAACAGCGCGGTATGGCAGTATGCCCTGGATACTACCGGTGCAGCTCGGAGTAGAGGCATGGATGTCCTGGGCATGTATAATGCTACTTTGCAAGCGGCTAGCTGGGATGGCAAACATTATGGAGAGAAGGTGGCGCTGATGCAAGCGATGATGGTAACCTCTTACACCCCACAAAGGTTGCCGTGATCTCTAATCCCTCTTGTCTACAGATCATCAACTGGCTATCCACTCTCTAAGATGTTCAGTGATTATATCTTCGGGGAATATAACATCGTGTGGAAAGTTTCGTCCAGCAAGATCTCTTGCCGATGATGAAGATGACTTCCGAGGGAATGGAAAGGTAGGGCGGTCATATATTTGTTTTCTTTCCCAGTTCCTCATATCAGCTTTACAATGCTCTCATCTCGGTCTTTTCTTCTTACCTGCATCCATCTTTTAATTCTTCCTTCGGGTCTCACATCCTGAACTGGTCCCGTTACCTTTGGGATTGCAGCGCGAGATGACCTTTTCAGTTTTTTTCGCTCAGATTTCTTGTATTTTCTATTTAGTCGGCTTGATTTTTTTCTGCTGGTTAATCCTAGCCGCCGTCTCAGCGTTTAGATTTCATTCATCCCCCCTTTTTCTCTTTTCCCCCCCCGCTTCCTTCTTCCCCCATCTGCATTTGTCTCTTTCCTCATCTTGGCCATTTGGTTACATTTGATGCATTGTTATGAGCATGGATGGTTTTCTGCCTTTTTGTATTGCTTGGTTGGTGAATATCCCCATCCCATCACTTTCTGGTGACAAAAGAAGGGAACTGGTCAAGGAGAGAACCGGAGAGAAACACCAGGGATTTGGATTATGTTAGTTCCTCCCTCGAGGCTCTTAGGGCAGATTGAAGTAATCTGATAATGTTAATACGTTCGTCCGGTGATGCTGTACTTGCTAAACCTGGACAATAAAATCTCGAGACATATCCCCAGCGAGAAACCTCTGCTGCCTAGCTCGTTCATTAGACTCATACTACTCTTTCAGACGGTCGGTACATAATCCATTGTGATGGCATGCAGAAAGAGTACTTGGAGAGATTCTGTCTCCTCGCCGTAGGCTTTTCGAGTGTATTGGGTCATCCAAACATTATCCCATGTCATTAGTATATACAGAACCCTAACCTATCTAATTCAAAAAAAAAAGCGCTCGCCCTTAGTAACCATTGTATTGCTCATCAAAACTTTTCTGCACGGGCCCAATATCGGTAGTTTTCGCCAATCATTGCACCGGTTTCATTCAGCGCCGGAGAGCGAATCGGCCCGGACACAAGTGTGGATATAGTATCCGCCGAATGAGAGAGTTAAGGGGGAAAAGTAGTCATGAGTGTCCAAGTGACGTTCGGAAACAGGAAGCCGGCCTTCTAGACGTGGAGGTCTGAGGTCTCGGCCTTGAGGAGATGCTGCTCGTAGGGCTGGAGAGCCTTCTTGACCTCGGTCGAGGTGAATTTCTCAACCTGCTGGGGCGCACGGCCGACGAAGGTGCTGGGGTCGAGGAGGGTATCGAGCTCGTCCAGGATAGGGGCAAAAAAGGCGGTGCGACGGACGCGCTCGATCAGGTCGTTGTCCTTTCCGAGCTTCTTGACGTTATCCGAGGCCTGGTGAGAGAGAACCCCTGCGAGATTTTGTTAGTGGCGCAAACGTAATGTGTTCATGATGAAGGGGGCATACGAATTTCCTCGTGGGCATCCTGACGGGACAGTCCCTTCTTGACGCAGGCCATAATGATCTAATTGGTTAGTATCGTGTTTTGTCACTTTCTTCGAATCTGTTAGGAACTCACATTCTCACTGGCAAGAAGTTAGTATCTTTTGGAGACAAGGAAGAACAGAACCGAAGGTTGAGACTTACGTGGCCATGAAAGGAAGCTCATCGTTCACATGACGTCTGATAACTTCGGGGTACACAACGAATCCAGAAGTGACATTGTCTGGAAAGCTTGTTAGCCGCTGCCTAAACAGACTCTGCTTGGAGGGGTTTACTGAGAAGGATGAGGCAGGCATCAGCCGAGAGGTAAAGTTCGGGAATACTGATACGACGGATGGCGCTGTCATCCTAGAAACGGTCAGATGTGATATTTCAATATAAACCATAATTGACAGCATCAGCTTACCAACGAGCGCTCGAACCACTGTGCGGAGTAGGTGTCCAGCGCATCTTTGGGCAGGTTCTGGAGGTGTCTTCCGAGGGAGCACAGACGCTCGGAGCGCATGGGGTTCCGCTTGTAAGCCTGGATGGCAACGTAAGTCTCTTGCTACCCACCGGGGAAATTTAGGCACCCAACTAACCATAGCACTGCTGCCAATCTGATCCTTCTCAAAAGGCTCCTCAACTTCCTTAAGCATAGCCAAGTGGCGGATATCGATACCGATACGCTCACAGGTGGATCCGAAGGAGCCGAGAGCATTACCCACGTCGACATCGATCTTACGCGAGTATGTCTGACTGGAAATGATGAACGCGGAGTCGAAGCCGGCCTTCTGGGTAACGAGCTCGTCCAGCTGCTCGACCTTGCTGTGGTCGCCATTAAAGATCTGGAGGAAAGAGGCCTGGGTACCAGTGGTACCCTTGACACCACGGAAACGAAGATCATCGCGGGCTCTTTCGAGGTTGCGCAGATCCATCAGCAAGTCCTGAATCCACAAGCAAGCTCTCTTTCCAACAGTCACGAGCTGGGCAGGCTGGCCGTGGGTAAAGCCCAGGCAAGGCAGATCCTTGTACTGCTTGGCGAAAGCAGAGAGCTTGTCAATCACAACAGCAAGCTTGGGAATGAGAATGTCCAATCCGTCACGAAGGAAAATGAGATCCGCGTTGTCGGTGCAGTAGCAGGAGGTAGCACCCCAGTGGATGATTCCGGCAGCCGCAGGGGCGACTTGACCGAAGGCGTGAACGTGGGCCATGACATCGTGTCTCCGACGCTTCTCCTCCTCGGCAGCCACCTTAAATTCGTCATCCTGGATCACAAGATGAGCCTTCATCTGCTCGATAGCCTCATTGGAAATGGCAAGGCCGAGTTCTGCACTTATTAGCTCTGTAACCTCCACTGTGGAGTCTCCTCCGATCGAGGATGCGGAGTCCTCCTGTCTATATAGAACAAGTGACTCGTGTACGTACCCTTCTCGGACTCCGCAAGCCAGAGCCAGAGCTGTCTCCAGGTCGAGAACCGGTTCCTGGGAGAGAAAAGATACTTCATCTCGTTGCCTTGAATTGACATCAGTTAGTAAGTGAAAAGCGGCACTGACTCAGCTGCTGCTTTAGGGAAACAGGTCGTAGGGCACACTTACTCGCATAACGCGAGTTGAGAGGAGTCTGGTACACATCATTGCTTGACGACATCTTGTCCGAGGGAATTGGAGCCTTTCCTATAGAGCAACTGGGAGTTGAAGTGCAGAAGACAGATGATCGACGATATGTGCGTCTCCCCAAGGGAAATTTTACAATTTGCGGGCCAAAGTTTAGCGGGGTGGCTTATCAGTCACGTTATCAGGAGGGGCTATCAAGAAGTGGTATGATGGGATCGTCCCATGAATCTTATCGAGACAAATGTGCCTGTGTATGTATTCCAAGAAGCAGCATTACTATTATTCGAGGTAAATAGCTCAATTAGCAAGGTGATCATTAAGGCATCTCAAGCCTGAGACACCATATTTCCCACTGTCCCAGGACCTACTTCCAGTGGGGAAGATGCCGGTTTCGGAGATACTAGGTACTCAGAGCGCAACCAGCCTCTAAGCCAATGCAGCCAGTTGTGCAGAAAGGCTTCCCTTGTCGTATTTGACATACTTGCCTCTGCCTTTATCGATCTCATGGTAACGGTCCCAGAAGCGCGCATATAGTGGCTCCAGGACTGCCTGCACTTCGCGAGCCAATACCCCACGCACTTCTCGTTCCATGTACAAAGCTTTGTGGCGGTTCACCAATTCATCAAAGCTCGCGTTGAATGACTTGAACTTATCCTTAATGGCATCCTTGTCCTTCGAAGAGAGCGACTTGACTATCGCGCTAGAATCAACAAGGCCACCGGACGTTGGTCGAGCTCCAGCACGAGAGGTATATTGTACATCCAAAAGATATTGGGAGGTCTCCTTCCAAGCATCCAAATAGGTAGAAGTGGCCCGCTTACGGAAGGTGTCTATCCGCGCAATGCTGTCCGGTGAGCCCAGATGCCGTGCTAATTCGGGGCTTTGCCGGATGGACCGATCGACGATACAAAATACATTTGATAAGAAAACGCCCTGGACGGCTTTCGATCGATGGAGTGCTCGGCCCCGAGCTTCTAGGGCGCTCATCAAGGCCTCAATCATGTCGAGAATAAAGTGTGACAAAAGAGTCGAGCTGTCCGGGCTGACGTCCAAAGGAGCCGTGCCTGACGCATTCGCGGTCGAACGCCAATTGCCGTCGCCGAGAGATGTTAAGATGGATGCTAACGGTCCAGAGTAACCGGTCAGCGTAGCAAGGGAGCTCATGACCTCGCCGACAAGAGGTACTGATCCACCGTCTGGAGGAAGTACAGGAATGTTCGCGGCTTTCCGTTTTGTTTCCTCTAGTAATTCCGAAAGGGACGATTTTGCTGTCTCACGAACCGGTCGAAGAGCCTCGATGAACAAACTCTTTAGCTCGCCAGTCTTTGAGTCAACGCGATATGACATGGCCGTCACTATTTCGATGATCTCAAATGCTAGAAAGCAGTCCGTCATGAGATTAGCCTTGATATACTGGTTAAGTTCACGCAATGTCTTCGAGTATTCTGCGAGCGCGGAGCGGAATGTCGCCTGCAAAGCCAACCCTCGCTGATCACCAGTGAAAACCTGTGTGATCATCTCGTATTCGGTAGATATAAAGGACTCTAGTGCGTTAGAGTATACTCCTATGCCGTTGGTTCCTTGCTTATAGGGACCGTCGGTAGCTCTTCGCTTGACAGTACTCATCGAAGCTATGGCAAAATTTTGCAGGCTTGATGTGATGTAAGTTCCGCGTACTTCGGAGTATATTCTGAGCGCAGGGTTGCCCTCGTCGCCGCGTTGAGGTCCGTGACTTGCTGCGGAGCTGATTGCAGCGCATATGGGTGTCAATTCTGAAATTGTTTCTTCGGGTAGCGATGGGAACGGGAGATCTGCATAAGGTCATAAAGCATTAGCTTTGCAAGAACTCAATAATAACGCTGTAGCATACAATCTATCCATACCTTTCGTAAGATAGTGCAATGGCTCGATGGGGTTGGCATGCTGATTCAACACTGCACGGAGCATGTCCTGCAGTTTGATGTTGCCCGTACCCAGAAGGGATGTGAACTCGGAAATTGCTTTCTGATTTGATTTCAAATTTGTTGAATTCAAGTCGGCCAAAGCTTTATCCACACGTTTCATCGCCGCCAGGTACTGAGACAAATCAGAGCCCTGGGGTCTTTTTGGGTGGTCAGCGATAGAAGATCTTACGATGAAAAAGGTATGTTAGTCGCTTACCCAGCGCGAAGGATATCTTCCTCGCGATTTTTCGCATCGAGAGGCTGGCGAAGGCGCTCAATGGCTTCATTGACCTTATCGATGTTGCTATTTGTTATCTGAAGAGACTGCGTGTTACTGTAGATGGGTCCGATGGCATGCTTTACAACGTTTCCACCTGTCTCAAGGCGAACAAGCGAGCCTTGTATCTTCTTGGTGAGAAGTTTGAGCTTCTCGAGGTTGGCATACAGCACTTCAACCTCGGCGCTCTCCTCTGCATACGCATGATTCCTCGGAGCGACCATGGCTACCCAATTAGGAGATCTCACGATAGACCTCTAGATAAAGAAATCGTTATGAAGTGCTTTGTCTGTGTAATAGTTGTGATAATGAGAGGCGTCATGATATCATAGTCGCATTTGACAGATGTAGTAAAAGAACAGCTGTCCGATGAGGCTCCTGTCCTCATGGGACGAGCATGGGAGCTGATAGTGAGCTATGGAGTATGGAGCCTGCTGTCTGCTCTCCCCAGACAATCAGCCACGGTCCACGGATGATTGCATCTTCCCTTCTCCGCTTCGTGCGCTAGACCTAAACCGGACGCTCCGGACCGTGTCTTGTTCCGCTGCCTTTCCCGTGACATGGCGTCATAGATTCATAGCATATCGATTCCGAACGTGCGAGAAAGGCTCGGGAAATCAGGATCATATGCAAAGCCACAACAATTTAAGAAACGCCATGGTCCCGTTGCTCATAAATTCTGCGATAGCATCGCAGTAGATGGCGGATGCAGACGCCGTCTTCTCTCCTCGCCTCACGCATTGCCCGCTCAAGAATGAGTGCAGCGGGATTTTCTCGCCTCGGTTGGACGGTCCCCCCTGCTGCTCTCGGCCTACTGGGTAGTGGGGTGCTTTACAATACAAGGGAACGGTCTCATGTCAATGGTCACACCTTGCAAGTTGACTCAAAGGCATATTTCTCTGTTGCCTCGGTGCTCAATGGCAGCGATCGATCTGGGAGAGTAGGTCCAGGGAGCCCTGGCTCCGACGATAGCGGTCAATATGGGGAGGCGGGGTCGATATGGGCGAACATTATGCATAAGTTTGACGGTGTGAAACAGACGGTGGGTTCTGCCGATTGGATTGAGCTTGACAGCATCAAGAAGTCTATTATCCCGGATTGGACCTCGCTGCTTCCGGTCACAGTGCAGAAACTCCAGCGTGAGCTCTCTATGGCCCCCGGTTCCCTCTCAGACGAAATATGGAAAGAAGCGCACGATCCAGACATCCACCCCGAAATACTACAAGATGCCAGAGTTCGTGTCGGACAGTCGTTGTGCGACGAGGAGAAGACATTCAGGCGAAAACGACAAGAGCGCGCCGTCAAAGCGCTGGCTTCCTACTTGAGCATTCCAGAGGACGACATACATCCAGACGACGTGCCGATAATTGCTATGTGCGGCTCGGGAGGTGGTCTGCGCGCCCTCGTGGCTGGGACTGGCTCATACCTTGCTGCTCAAGAAGTGGGTTTATGGGACTGTGTGACATACACAGCTGGCGTCAGTGGCAGTTGCTGGCTGCAGACCCTATACCATTCATCGATCACCGGTCGGAATTACAATCGACTAGTGGATCACCTGAAGAACAGACTGGGTGTACACATCGCGTTTCCACCCAAGGCCCTCCATTTACTCACCACTGCCCCGACCAATAAGTACCTCCTCAGCGGGTTAGTCGAGAAATTGAAAGGCGACCCTGGCGCAGATTTTGGCTTGGTGGATATCTATGGCATGTTACTGGCCGCCAGACTCCTGGTACCTAAGGGAGAGTTAGGAGTTTCGGAACAAGACTTGAAATTGTCTAATCAGAGGTTCAACATTCGCGATGGAGCTCACCCGATGCCTATCTACACGGCCGTACGCCATGAGATTCCTGTTCTTGAGGTCGAAGAAGACGGAAAATCGAAGAAGCAGCCAAAGCCCGAAACGCTGATTAAAGAGTCACAAGCCGAAGCATGGTTTCAATGGTTTGAATTCACCCCGTACGAATTCTTCTGTGAAGAGCTGGGTGCAGGCATCCCTACATGGGCCTTGGGAAGACATTTCGAAGGAGGCCACAACGTAATACCTGAAGGAGAATATCCATTGCCCGAGCTTCGCGTCCCTGGACTGATGGGTGTGTGGGGCAGTGCTTTCTGCGCGACGCTCTCTCATTATTACAAGGAAATTCGTCCAGTTGTGAGAGGCATAGTTGGTTTCGGCGGTATCGACTCTCTGATCCAAGGAAAGACGAAAGACTTGGTCCGTGTGCATCCCATCGACCCTGCAACGATTCCAAACTATGTACTAGGCATGAAGGATCAACTGCCCCCCTCCTGTCCGGAGTCGATTTTCCGAAGCGAACATCTTCGGCTTATGGATGCAGGGATGAGCAACAATCTGCCCATCTATCCTCTTCTGCGGCCTGGCAGGGATATCGATATCATCGTGGCGTTTGATGCTTCGGCTGACATCAAGCAAGAGAACTGGCTTTCTGTAGCTGATGGTTATGCTCGTCAACGCGGCATCAAGGGATGGCCAATCGGAGCCGGCTGGCCTCAAGGGGGTACCGGATTAAAGGAGACCGAAGACAAATTACGAGAGGCGCAGAATATCACACAAGACGCGGTAGACGAAAAGTTGTCAAAGGCTCAAAGTGAACACCAGCATGGCCAGGGACAGCGAACCACTACACCCAGGGGTGTTATTTCCGATCACCAAGACCAGGCTGCAGGGGACCGACCAACGCCCCGGGAGAATGATCTGGATTACTGCAACGTCTGGGTCGGAACGAAGCAGGAGATGGTGTCTGATAAAGAACCACCACCATCCAAACGCCTGTTCAGTCCCCACAACGGCGACCATTCCGAATCCGACTTCCACTTGATGCACCCCGACGCAGGCATCGCGGTCGTCTACTTCCCATTGCTCCCCAACCCTGCCGCTCCGGAACTCCCGTCAAGCTCTTCGCTGTCTAAACCACGTCCTCCTGCACAAGAGTCAGATACAACGTCTTCCAGCGAGGTCCATGATCCCGCTCGCCCTCTGGCGCCCCATCCTGGCAAAATTGATCCAGACGTGGACGATTTCCTGTCCACGTGGAACTTTGTGTACACGCCTGAGCAGATTGACTCTGTCATCGGGCTTGCCAAAGCGAACTTCGCGCAGGGTGAAAAGCAGATGAAGCGCGTGGTGCGCGCAGTGTATGAGCGTAAGAAGTCTGACCGGCTTCGACGGGAGGAGCAAATGCAGAGGCGGCGACTGGAAGGATTTGTGCCGATCTAATTGCGCTAGCTCATTGTATCAACAATTTGTTTGGTTTGGTGTTTGGCGGGGGGAATGATTTGAAAGACGGAGTAATCTCATTGGCATGATAATATTGAACGTATCACACGATACCACTTTATACAGGTAGACATAGTATTCAAACAGCGAAGAAAGGAATATTCAACACTCAACCACCCCTGGTATTGTCTAATACATGCTTCCTGTACCGACACCGCTGTTGTGATGTTGTGATTACGAAGACTGCCCCGGGTTGTTATCACCATTCACAAAATATGACTGTACACCCTTGAAGTCGTCTTCGTTTTCATCTGTCTTCCCCGTATGGCCTCGCTGCGCTTCTGTGTCGCTAGGTTTCGGACGCTCTGACGACTCCACGTCGCTACCTGCCAGGCTGACGTCCTTGCTCTCGTCTGCTTGCTTTCGCATCCCTAGATCCTTGCCCAGACCATGAATCGACTGCGCAGTTGCCGACAGCGCGCTCGCAGCCGCGGTGCTGACCCCCGTGAGAAGCGGATGCTCCGACGCTGAGGTAAGCCCCTTGATCTCCGGGGCATGGGTTTCAGTCTCCGTGTCTTGGGTAGGAAGATTCTCCTGGTCTCGGAGGGGGCGGTCCTGCTCGTCTTCTGAATCCTGGCATCGCCAGTCCGCTGGGTGGCTCTCGGAAATCGGTTCACCGGGTTCGGGTTCAGTGATGGTTTTTCCTGCGGTTGCGCTGATGCTATCTGCGCCGGACTCGTGGGCCACGGCGCGAGAGGGCGGGGGGAATCGCCAGACGACTTTTAGTCTGTCGAGGGCCTTGACGCCGCGCTTGGATGTCCCCTTGATCCCATCCATGGCTTCCCATTCTATTTCGAAGACGCCTGAGTCGTGTTTGTCGCCGCCCTCGAAGTAAGCATTGAACCACACGTGGGCGATGGAGGTCACCATGGCCCAGCCGGTATATGCGGCTTTGCCGCGTCGCTCAAAGTCAATGTTGACGTCGGATGAGGGGAGAATGACGGGTTTGCTGGGACGGAGAATGACAGCCGATATACACTTGGTTGGAGAAGCCGCGGACCCTTCGGGGCTCGAAGCAAGAGGCGCTGTGACGGTGGGTTTGGTAGAGGAAACGGGGTCGGCGGCTCTTGGCCATGTCGAAGAAGGGGGAGCAGCCGGAGGGGCCTCTGTGATAGTACCCGTCCTGCTGCTGCTTTCGCTGTTGGTCCCCGATCTCTTCTCCGGAAAAACCGTCTTCCCATCATCGACGATCGTCCGCTCGCTGCGATGGAACAAGTGGAAACATTTGATCTTCTTCCCCTCATCGACATACCCCTCAACTGCAACTTTGACACCATCTCTCAGGCCCCATACATGCAGCTCGAGAATTTCCACCGGCCGCTCGACATACTTTTTGCCCAGCTGATTTGCCCACTGATCCACATATCCCACCCAGCGCAGCTGGCTGGGAATACTGACCCCGGGACCAAATCCTACCCTCATTCTCCTCTCCGTAAATCGTTGAAGTGCGTCTTTCACCTTCCAGCCTTCATGGGTAATCAGGTAACTACAAGCAATTGTACCACTGCGGCCTTTGCCAGCTTTACAGTGCACAACGGCTACCCTCTTTTCTTTATCGGTTTGCACATTTCCTTCCGCGTCGGTGTCATCTAGCCCCTGCAGCCAATTTCGCATGCTTCCCATAATCGCAGGAATGAGCGCGAATGGGGGTGGGTGATGGTCCGGCCACGGGTAATGATGAATGCGCCCATAGACCTCTGAGTCAGGATATCCCGTGCCCTCGGCGCGAAATTCCCAGATACACCAGTCCTTGCCATGTTTGGAATCAAGGAAATTCACCAGGTCATCAAGCGGGTTTCGATAGGCCCGTTGCGGATAGTTGGACGATGGGCCCGAGGTTGCAATGACTGCAGATAAACAGAACGCACGTTAGAGCGGTCGCCGGCACCGAGGACAAGATCAGGGTCCCCATGATGACAAGCAGGAACGGACAGGTTGCTCACGATTGTCTGCGACGTAGCAGAGATCAAGACCTGCCTCCGGATGCCGTATTCTGGGTCCAGCGACAATCTGCCGGAGGATGGATGCCTGCATGAAGCAAGGAGCGAAGCAGAGCAGTTAGTTTTAGCGGGAAGACCGGTGTGTAAAGCAGCAGGAGACGACAAAGATGAGTTGTCGATGCGTACCATGAATATAAAGCTTCCAATGCAACTGGAGACCAGCGTTAGCTAGGCAAGCTGTAGATTTTCTCAGAGAAGATGTAATACCCTATATAGAATCTCGTCACTGGATCTCTCAATATCTTGAATGGAGCTGACAAAATGCGCAAAAGTCCTGAAATGTCCGCTAGAAGATAATTAAGAAATCGGAGATTATGTAGTGCATTCTAGACTAGATAGCCAGTAATAAAAGAACGACTGGAATCAACAGCAAGGCAGACTATGAAACCAAATAAGAGAAAGGTGTCTGTAGTCGCCCTGGGATGATGACCCTGGTTGACAGACGCTCTGTTTTAGCAGGCCGCGCGGGGATGATGTCACAGGCTCACAGCCCCCAGAGCGGCGCCAGTATCGCTTCGTTCCCAAACGCTTGTTAGGTGAATATATGGACTCGAAGCAATATCCTCTCTTTGTGCTCGAGGTAAATCATTCATTATCTATTGTTCTAGATATATAATATGGCCAAAAAGGAAAAATATCAATCATTGAACAGTTCTAAACCCGACTTATATCCCCATCGTCAAAGCTCGTGGTGCCACTTAGGCAACGCCATATGTACGAGTGACGGGAATTGTAAAGTTCTCCATGCTCGACGTGACATTGGCCGATCCTTCGGCGTAGAATTCTGCACCAGACTTGAACCAGGCGTGTATGGCGTCGACTTTCCACAAGGGATACGGAAGGGGGATCACGTTGGCTTTGATGTGCTTGTCCTGGCAGAATGCATAGTCTTCCTGGACATCGGTGCCGTTGCAGGTAGTATTGAACCCGGGAGTGTTTGGCGCGGCGATACCGAGGATATTGAATCGGTAGACGCATCCTCCGGGAGAGCAGCCAGTGCTGAAGTCGGAGACATGCCAGGTCAAGGCCGGGTTGGGAGTCTGGGAGAGAGGGACAGCAGAGGCTCCGAAGATCGACAGCAGAGCCATCAGCACGAAGCTGGTTGTGAAATGCATGGCGAAGTGGGTGGAGCACTAGAGAAATGCAGAGGATATGTGCAGGGCAGATATAACTCTAATCAGCTATTAGATCAAGGCAATAGGGGAAAGCAATCAAGAGACAAAGACGATGGACAGAGATGAAAAAAGAGAGTTGAATGAAAAGACCAAACAAACCAGGATCAGAGATATCTGCCATTCATATACTACAGGACAGACCTGCCGGCGGTGGAGCAGATATAGGCATCGTCCTCTTCGAACAATCAATTAGAATCCAAACTGAAAGGAACCGGGTAAGCTCTGCTCACTGATCCTACCATTTGAGGCCTGCTTGGTTCGTTAGTTCAAGTCCCTAACCGTCGGATGTCGATCTCTACGCAACACTGTGTGTCCTGGTCTGGTTTCTAATAATAATCGGCAGGAGAAAATGTCAATACATCGATGAAACTGCGTCTGGAGTGTAACCAAAGGAAATGCAGATACCAGCATCAGCATATGCACTGCAACCCGATGTTTTCTCGATGTCAGACAGAGGGAGTTCAGTCTGCGACTATCACGAACTCATAGTGGATAGCCAGTCGATCAACTACCACAGTTCGTTGTTTGAGGTCGACCTGTAGGCTATATTTAGATGGATATGAGATCTCTCCGTGGACCACGAATTATAGCAGCATGGTGCAGGTGGAGGGTAACGAACCGTAGTTCGGCTTGAATCTTAGGGATCAAAAGGAAAGAAATTCAACAATCAGATATCCGAGTGGATAATCATACAGTGCTACCGTAGAGGATCATCTGCATAAGCCACAGTTATCATCTTACACTTTTTTCAACGACCTGCCATCGAATAGATGATTAAATATCCGTATGAACACTTTTCCGGTCAATCCATTGATCAATTTGAGATTGAGCTTACGACCATGAATCTTGAACCGAAGTCTAAGCCATCAGCTCGTGGCTTCAGGACAGGCAGGCTATGTCTCACATGTATCGATTGAGACTATTTTGGGTGATGTTCCATTGTGTCTCAGTCATATCCATGCAGTGCTACAGCACAACCCAGCCATAGTCTAATTGTTACTTGATGAATGGCTAGGGATCATAGCGTACTTTCCATTCCTCGTATTCAACGGGTATACAACTGATAATATTGTACAAAAAGCGAATTGTAATACATACAATTGAGAAGAGGTGGTTTTCCTCGACCTACTTGTCTCCATCTCTAGTTGTTTAGTGTCGGATCTGCCTTCATCTGATCCTCAGGCACAAGACCTCCTGGCTCATAGTCCATCCAGTCGTCCTCTTCTTGGGCTCTCTCCATCGCCAACCGTCTTCTTTTCCTCTTACGACGCTCCTTATTCGCAGCTCGTCGCTCTATTTTTGAGGGAAGCCCCTGCATCCAATGCAGATGACGATCTGCATGTCTGGGTGGTGCCTCGGACGCAATCTTCAGAATGGCGACGGAGTGCTCCAATTCGGATTTAGTGTTATCGGCCTGATCCCGGTCTCCAGTATCCTGCACGCGGGGGTGGTTTCTGAGTTGTAACGCAAAAGGATCGTCTGACGCGGAACAGATCTCGATTATCTTTCGACGCATGTAACCCCGAGGACGAAATCCGCGTGCCACTAGATCTTGGAAGTACATGTATGCAGATTCAAAGTTTCCTGCATCTAAGCACATCATGACAAGATGCTCGAAAGTAGTGTCATTCGGAACTACGCCGAAGGACGACATTTCCTTCACTGCAAACATGCCAGCTTGGATGTTCTTCGCTCGGCGAGCCATTCCGATAAGAGTATTGTAAATCGAAAGATCGGCCTTGCCAGGACATAGCGTATAAAGTTCCTGGTAGAAAGCAATACCTTCGTCGACCGCGAACGGGTCATCAAACGACTCATGATCGCATAGTTCGATGACCACATGCGCACATTCCATTGGAATAGTGTATTTCAAAGACTTCAGTGTCTTGAGGATAGTCCACGCCTGTCGTGGACTGGTCTTAGTCAGTACCATATAGTTGTAAATGGCTCGCGTCGAACTGCGTTCCAATTTGATACCCGCTTTGTGCATCTTGCAGAGAATCTCAAACGCCGCAGAGAGCTTGCCAGCCTTTGCGTACGCCTCCACAGCCTTCTCATAATCATGTAGGACCAATGCCACGCCACTGTCAGAAAGATATCGAATCACGAAAGAAGCGAGCTGAGGATCGCCCATTCGACCCGTGACAGTAAGAGTGTTCCTGCTCAGTACTTTTGAAGGGTTCAGGTATCCCAACTGAACCCTCTGTGTCCATATATACTGAACAGTTTCGATATGAGAAGCCGCTGAGGCCGTGTCTAGCACATAAAGCCACAGATCCGAAGTCATGTCGTGACCCTGACTTGTGCGTTTGCGTATCTGCTCGAGAACTTCGTCGAAATCCCCGATTTCGCAAAGGTTATATATCAGAAGGCCGTGTAGCCAGTCCTCGATCACTATCTCCTTCCTTTCCATGTTCGCCAGGTGATCCAGTGCTAATTCGAATTGGTTCTCCCTCAAAAGGCCAGCTACTACGTAGTGCCATCCGGCAGGACTGAGAGGTAGCCATCGATCCCGAAGAGCCCGTAAAATATCTTGACGTAGCAAATAGTCGGGATGAACGGCGAGTGCCTGCAAAGTCCGGTAGAACATGTCAGCAAGTCTTGTTCGAACGCCCTGTAGATGCAGGAACGACCGTCATTATCACATACCTGCAGCGCAGCGTGAAGGGTACCCGAGTCAGCAGGTATCCCATTCTCCTCCATTTCCACGAGGAGTTTGCGGACAACATCCGGCGAGCCCCTCTCCGCATCGGAGTTGGCGAGTATGAGCGCTCTGTAATGTCGAACTTCGGGCCGCACATGACGATCTCGGATTAAAATGCGTAGTATCTGTGATGCGCTCAAGATTTTCGGGCTTCCCGTCGCCAGCTCTTGAAGCCGGGTCTCTAACTCCGATGTTGATCGATCTTCAAGGTTTTTGGGCACACCAGGCGGCGCGGAGAGAATATCGCTGAATGTCGGCGATGTGTTCGCATCTTCTCGTAATTTTGAACTCTTTTTGAGTAAATGAGAATTTTGTAAATCTTTCGTAGGCTCGGTTAAGCTTATATCGTAGTTTTCAGGCCTTGCTGGCCACTTTCGCTCATCGACAACCTTGGATGCATCGTTGTTCAAACACCTTCGTGGAGAACTGAGAAACGTCGAAAGACAATCTGATCGCTGTGGTCTTCTACCTTTTGTCAATGGTAGTGAAGCATTGCGAAAGGTACCGGGACGGAATGATGGACAGAGACAAAACCAGAGTCCATCGAGGATAAGGGTGTTTCGTCGCATCTCGAGGCCATGAGCATCGGAGTTATCTCTTTCGCTGCTTCGGAAAACCGAAGACGAAGAACTCCAGTATCACGTGATATGTGACGATATCCATGCCTGAACTATTTGGCATACAGGCCAGTTGTCAATGAAGGCTACTCTCACATAGTAGACTACTTTGAATTCTTCCACAGGCTTCTAGAGAGCAGATAGACAGCCGCGAGTCGAAAGAGCACCATTCCCATTGAAAAAAAAAAAAAAAAAAAAAAAAAAAAAAAAAACGACAGAGCCAGATACGCCAAGGCCATGCGCGACTAACCCATCCAACGGTCCTTCCTAGCAATCTACAAGCCTGTTCTCCCCAGGGTATCGATCAATCCCACGTTATCATCTCGTTATGCGCATATAAAACCGATGCCTTAGCTGCCACCCCGGCCCCGGCCCCGACCTCGGCCTCCGCGACCACCACCACGGCCTCTATCTCCCCTTCCTTCACGACCGCCACGGTTGCGATTCGGTGGCTGATTCTGCTGCTGTTCCTTCACCATCTCCACAATCTCTTCGGGGATCCGCAGATACTTGATCTATTGTCGATTAGCACGGAACTACAAGCTGCGACAAGAGGTTCAACGTAGAAAAACGCACATTGTTTCCTCGGATGTAAACCTCAGGCAATCTGAAAAAACGGTCACCCTCGGGACTAGCCTGAACCACTTCCTTGAGTATTAAGTTCATCCAGTTGTCACAGTTGGCAAGATGTCCGTTTAGCGTCTCGCCGTTCTTGAGCTCCACGAGCATTGGGTGGCCCTGGGCGGCCGTTAGAAGGCCCAATGGTAACTAATTATTGCGCTCATTGTCAGTGATGTTGAAGTCAAGAACGTGGGGAGATTCGTTTGACCACAGATTACGACTCACCATTGTGAAGGATGTTAGTCAAATGTGGTGCGAAATAGCCTGGGTGATATTGATCAAAAGGACGACAAAAGCGCACGGTTTCAGCGCTCACAAGTCAGTAAAAAGTAGAGTTACGAGACAATTGAGGAATCACAAAATATTGCTGCAAAGCTATATTCAAGGATTAGAAGCCAGTCTTCAATTAAGCTCCGCATGAGCTTCAAGGCGGCGGGTGATCGCAACTAGAGTGAACCGGAAAAAATGAATCCCCGAGGTCAATCCCTCTCGGTCGGTTTCCTCCTTGACTTTCTGTTTAATAATGCATCAATCATTGCAATTGCTCTCTTCATAGCGTAGTATCAAAAAAATTGACCCATTTGAAATCACAAAAGCAGCTATCAGGAAGCTGTCTACGTTTTCTTCGTTACGGAAGCGACTCATATGCTGTTGCGGTCCCATTGCCTTCACCCATCCGCAATCCAAGTGTAAATATCCGTAAGCCTTTGCGAAAGATCAATGGTTTTTTATAGATTAGCCATTAGCGTGCTCTACTCAGAACAGACGTCGTCACTGTCTACCTTCAAGACATATGTGCACTTCTATCTGCTTATCAATAGATTACTGTTATTCAAGCATCGATCCTCTTAAGGACCTTCGGGTCCTTTTCAGTTTCGCCGCCAACAGCTGCTATCTCGGCCGTCTCATCTTCGGGCACCAAGAGTCTCTTCAATACGACGTTATCTCGGGCATTGGATAGTATCTGAATGCTTCGACCACAGACACCCGAGCTACAATCCTTGAACAAGCAGATTAAAGATCATTATCAAGCACGCAAGAACATGATTACAATGGCCCTATGGTCACAGAGTAGAATACATACACGGACAGGTGGTACCCGAATGCCCAACCCCAGGTAAAAGGAAGCCGACCACACCACTCAACTCGTTTTATCGCAGTCGTCTACACTTTCGTTCGTTTGGCTGTGTCCTCCGTCTCTGCCTCGTCTTCGTCATCATCCTCCACCGTAAACTTTCGCTTGACCCGTTGATCTCTGCCAAGTGTGCCACTGGGGCTTGCGTTCGCCTCATCTTCCACCGCGGTTGCACGCGACTCGGTTTGCTCAGCTGCTTCTTCTAGAACCTTGAGGCTCTGTTCACGAGCAGTGAACTCTTTAAGTAGCACTTCGTAGCCTTCCTCGACATTCGTGACCGTCTCCTCGAGCTTCTGGATGCGCTCGCCGAGGTCCAATTGAATCAGGATATCTTTGGAGCGTTTGTACAGGCGCTGTTTGGTGAGCATGCGCCACCAGTAGTATCGCCGCTCATTAGGGTCATCTGCTCTGTACTTCTTGATCAAAAGCCGCGACATGTTGAATCCGCCTGCATGTCTATTTTTAAGAGGGATCTGGCCCAGAAGGAACATCTCAAGAATGTGGGCAAATTGGGTGGAGTCAATTTTATAAGATTTGCGGATGTCATGAAGAAGCTTGACTGGAATGAGGGTGGCTGTTGGAACAAGCCATGGCCGTTGATTTCTTGAGTGCACCTCGTAAGGATCAGGGTTGATGTTTACGTTGTGCTTGAGGAATTCAGGACGCAGAATTTGATAGTCTGCAGAGTCGCGGAGAACGTCGAAAGCTTCATTGGGATCCTCGACGGTCAATTCTTCGACAGTTGGGTCATCAATACATGCCGAATGGATAGTTGTGTACAAGTGCCTGCCGTGTCCGGAATTTTGGTGGGGAGGGAGGATCAAAAACTGGGCGATGCGCAACCGTGCTGGGAGTTGGGCTGGACGGATCTCAGTGCTTGGTGGGAAGGGATCATTCTTGACCACCGGCGCCTGTGTCTTGTTTCTGTGATAATACCACCAGCGATAGGTTGTCGAATATCCGACAATCGAATATTGTGAAGCTGTGGGTGTGGGAGGTTTCACTTTCTCGTATCTGCCGATATTTATCAGCAACGATGGTTAAGCGCCCCAGCGCTGATTTTCACCTACACAAAGTATACTGTCCATCTCTCTAGCGTCCACTCAGGATCATCTGTGTCCAGGGGAGTACCAGCCTCAATGAAGAGCGATACAAAAACCTGCGCGCGATCCAACACTCGTCGAACATCGGCATCCGCGAGGGAGCCTGCCCAAATCTCATAGTTTCTGTTCCTAGATGTATAGCTGTGCACTAGCTTGCCTGGAGGCTTGAAGTCCTTCCCATCTTTATCTTCTAGCACCGCTTTCTCATAATCGGGAAGTGTGCAAAAGGCCTCTAACAGTTCGACGATCGAGTGAGAGTGAGAGCTAGTCCAAAGTTCAAGTCACAGATTAATCGAACTGACCTTCTGATACCCATGGCTTTAGAATTTTTAAAAGGTCAGATGCAGCGGTATCTCCCACGGGCTTGAATTTCTCATCGTACGAGATGTGAAGATGCGGGCGGAGATCATGCGCCGCGAATCGCAAACGAATAATCAAACCTTTATAGCCAAAGATTTGCTCGTCATCGCCGAAGATGGGGTATGTAAATTGAGGATGGAAGCTTGAAAGTGTCTTGAGTTTCTGTTCGTCGGATTGAACTATCGTGATGTTGACGGCATCATTGGCGTCACAAGTCCCTAGAAGAAGACATGTCTTGATCAGCCCATCCGGTAGCTTGAAAGGAACGACATTCAGGTGATTAGAGTAGATAAATACAGTCGCCTTCGTTTTCCATATTGGCAGCCCCAATAGCTAGGCAGTCAAAACGAATAGAAAGAGTCAAGGTAATCAAAGCTGAAGATGGCCTCTTGTCTTTGTGTGGTGTTTGGCGCGTGCTGGGATCGTGATCGCGTTGCGTGAGAGAGCTTGAGCCACTATATCCGTTTTGGGCTTAGTGCAGCTGGAAGCTCATTCCACTATGTTTCAATGTGCAAGTCGCTGCTATCACCAATCCACCTATGAGAACGAGGACGATTCAGATGATCATTCCTGTTGGAGCGTTTCACTAACCTAGAAGCTCTGGTCGTTTTGATTCCCTTGTGTACCAACTGTCTGCTACATCCCGTTCCCATCTGCGACTGGGTTCGCCCTGTCAAGCTTGCAATTATATCAACACTGGGAACATGGCCTCTTCGCTAGCAATTGAATCCATGGACAGTTTTGAGACGTATTTTCGAGCCTTCTTTGCCAATGCATCGGCTTCTGTGTTTCCTGGCACCCGTGAGTGACCAGGTACCCAACGCAGCTCCAGGCGGATACCTAGCCGGGATAGCAGTAATGAATACGCCATGAATGATGATACTATATCTTCCGAAATGCGGGTCGCATGCGGGAACTTGGAAACTTCTCTGAGTGCCACCTGGGAATCACTGAAGATAATTGTCTTCTTCCACGGGCGATGCCGGATATGCCTGAGGGCTGTATTCGCAGCGATCTCAAGTGCAGCCTTGATTGCGAAAAGCTCTGCAATATTACTATTGTACCGGGAGCTGTGAACTGCCCTCAAACCAAATGCCTTACTCTTCCAGCTTGTGTCTTTCGGCCATCTCTTGTACACAACAGCTACCCCGGCCGATTTTGTTCGGGAAGCGTCGGCGCTGGCAGAGCCAGGCGAGATCGTTGCAACAGAACCGTCAACCCAGAACACGCATGCATCACGGAAAGCTTGCGCTGGTCGTCGTTTTGATGCTACCAGCGCATATTGCAGGGCACATCTGCGCTCCTGTATCACAATATCACCACGGAGATTGCCGTATAACGGAACATACACTGCAAGGCCCCTACCATCGCTGAGATATTCTTCATATTCAGTCGGGTGAAGTGGTGTCTTCTGAGCGGAGACAGGTATGGATCGACTGTCTTGAGAACTACCAAGTGTTGCAGTCGTCGTTCTGCCGGAATCCTGTGTTGTACATCGAACGAATCGAGTTAGGTATTGAGCAACCCCTTCCATTGTTTGAAGTACTAAGGAAAATAGAGTGCCCCTGGTGGCATTGAGAGAGTGATGGATATCTAGCTATTAACCAACTCGCCATTTGAATTCTGCTGCTTAGAGTTTGTGGGTTCCCTCATGGCGGATTAGGTAGCAGCGAAGGAAGGAGTAAGGACCATGGTCGATCGTGTACTATACGGGGGTATAGTGATGATAAATGTGAGGTCATTATTCAGAACTTCGTGATACATACCTATCAACATGTTCAATTCTACGGGTACGATGTAGATGCATGTATACAATTCATATTCATGATTGGAAATTGACCTGGTGGTTGTATGTAGAGCTTGTTTTATGGACTTTACCGAGGCAATGGAAACGAGGGACAGCAAAATCCAAGGCTTATCTACCTAGCGCTTCAGCATTTTGTCCTGTTTATTATTTACCCTCTATCCAATCCGTCACGCCCTCTTCTTCTCAAGTAAGCTATATCGAAGATTTATCGTCAAGTTGGTTGGCTTGCTTTGGTTTAATCGGCTTGCATTTACACGTGAGGGGAACAACCTATAGTACCCACAATTGGGTTAATCGAAAACAACCATCCAACTTCCACTTCATCTACAGCAATTGATCAGTCAGACGCTGTCTGAACACTTATCCAGTGGTCACATTCTTAAGACAATACTCCTGGTTAGCAGAATGGCAGCGAGCGAGCCGCAACGGATTGCCTTAATCGGCGTAGGAACCATTGGGATGTCCATGGCTGCTCTTCACCTGGCGAGGGAAAACACGATTGTGAGTGTGTTCGACACCAGACCAGATCTGGAACAATATCTCCTGAAGACTTTGCCAAATTACTTGAGCGAAGAATTGCCTTCAGCATCTTCAGTCACCTCTCTAATCTCCTCGGGTCGGCTGCATATCCATACGTCACTAGAATCAGCTTGCGCATCAGCCACCATCATCCAGGAACAAGGCCCAGAGAACCTCTCATTCAAGAAGTCTCTCTGGGCCCAGGTTGAATCCATGGCGCCTCCGTCTGCCCATCTGTGGACCAGCACGTCTGGCATTGCTGCATCCGCTCAGCAGAGTGAGATGCGGGACAAAACCCGCCTTCTCGTGGTGCATCCTTTCAACCCACCGCATATCATGCCTCTTCTGGAGATCGTCCCTTCTCCGGATACTGCGCCGGAGAGAGTGGAGTTTGCTAGGCAGTATTTCTCCAGGCCTGGATCGCGACACAGACCGGTTATAATCAAGAAGGAAATCCCTGGCTTTGTGGGTAACCGATTGGCATTTGCATTGCTGAGGGAGGCGTGTTATCTGGTGCAGGAGGATGTGGTGACGGCCAAGGATTTGGATACGATCCTAATGGCGAGTCTCGGTCCGCGGTGGGCAGGGAATGGCGTGTTTGAGAGCTATCAACAGGGAGGGGGTGAGGGAGGAATTAGTGCCTTCTTGGACAAATTGGGAGGGACCATGCAAGAGGTATGGGATGGGCTGGGGAAGGTCGATGTGCTGGGGGGCACGGAAACAGGATGGAAGGAGAAAGTGATATCACAGACTGATGGGGCATATGGAACATTTACGGCTGAGATGATCAAGGAGAAGGAAAAGAGACTAGAGGACCTGGTTAGAGTGCAAGAGAAGAAGTATGACATTCCGGAGTTAGAGTAGCTATAGTAGCTGTGATATCTATAGATTGATGTCTTCTGGAGAATGATTGTTTGGTTTTGATCGGATTTGTTTCCTCGTTTCGTGATCGAGATCTAGAGGTAATCCGAACGACTAAGTAAACCAGAAGACCAGAAAAATCTTTGCTTGTTGTCGATTCTGAGCAACAATGATGTTTGCTCTCTGTCCCTGAAACAACTTCCGTGATGTATTGCGTGGGTCCTGCCGCCCGTCTGCAATGGTTCCTGATGCGGCAATCTGCTTGGCCACGCCACGTTTAGTCCTCCGTCTGCGGCCTCCCCTTCGGTCCCCAAATTAACTACCTTGCATACTCTGCCTTTTCAACCGATTGCTCAGTCACATTGATTTTAACCGGCTCATCTAGTCAACCGCTCATCGGGAGCTACAGAATATATAATCTTCGATCAGCGCAAAGCGCAAATCATCTCGTCTCTTCGCGCAATTGGCATCATGATTGCGATTCTGTAAAGCGGGAAACGAACAGCTTTGGGACAAAAAAATCCGACCATGGAAGGCCTCTTCACATTGCTCGCCTTGAGCGTTGTGATGGCAATTACGTGAGTAAAGAAAAAGGTTTTTGTGTCTATCTGAATAGCTAGCTGATGCTTAAATGGTTGTTCTATAGATCCTTCGTTGTCGGCTCACTACCACTTGCATTCACACTCTCCCCCTCGCAGTTGAGGTTAATATCGTCCCTTGGGATGGGAGTTTTAGTTGGGACATCTTTGATCGTTATTATTCCGGAAGGTGTGGAGACTTTATACAGCGCGAATTCGCATAATGACCGGAAAGATCTCGCCAGTCGTTCGACGACAGCGGTAGATTGGCAACATCAATCACTCCCGGTCGTCGCTGCGGTCGCTTGGCCCAATTCAGAAGCGGCATCTGATTTTGACCTTACACCCGAAATGCCACTGTCAGAGCTGTCCACCCCAGTTCCCTCACTTCCACTCGATCAAACGGCACATATCGCCCGAGATAACCAAGCTGGGCTCCAGCAGAAAAAGGAAGAGGCGACTTCTAATACCAAGGAAGCTAGTGACCATGAGGACGAGAACTCGTCGCATGCGTGGATTGGAATTGCGCTTATCAGTGGATTCATCTTGATGTACCTCATCGATAAACTTCCCGCCTTCGCAACTCCGACGAAGCAAGAACGACTACCATACCACATTTCTTTGGATAATCTCGGGTCCGGCCTACGGCGCACTTCTTCCCCTTCCCGAGAGGGAGGTTTGTTGGATGCTCCTGACACTTCGAAGGGAAGCCATAGTTTTGCCACGACCACCGGTCTCGTCATTCATGCGGCGGCTGATGGTATCGCTCTGGGAGCCTCTACCTCGGACACCGGGTTGAGTTTCATTATCTTCTTAGCCATTATGGTTCACAAAGCCCCTGCATCCTTTGGTCTTACATCGGTGTTGCTCAAGCAGGGCCTCTCAAGCCGAGCAGCACGAGCGCATTTGTTGGTATTTAGCCTGGCTGCTCCCCTGGGGGCATTGGCAACGTTTCTTTTTGTGCGGCTCTTGCGCTCAGGGTCTGCCAGTGATGAGGCAGCTACCCTCTGGAGGACTGGAATGCTGCTGCTGTTTTCTGCTGGAACATTCTTGTAAGGTTTCCTTCGATCTTGACATATTCGCATAAGCTAACAGACGACAGATACGTTGCCATGCATACGATGCAGGAAAACAGTTCTGATATAACCACCCGCGAATCATCCACGAATGGATACGGCGACGCTCGGGATGTGCCGACTAAAGCAGACAAGTCTATGCGAGATCTGGTCGCTTCTGTCATTGGCATGATCCTGCCGTTATTCCTGCAGATCGGTCATGCTCACTAATTCTTGGTTTTCAATTTTCCAATTTCTTCACGATTTCTATTCTAGCTAGACAAGCCAGCAACCAATGTGCTGGTCAGACTTTTGAGGCTGCTGTGTATGAGCCTGGAAGTATGTTAGGTCGGCTGCGATTTTGAATACTATAGATTACCTCAGTATCAGACGTTCCACCACATTTCCACCCTATCCAGCGGTTGAAATACGATTGCAGAACGATTGCAGAACTCCTCCATTGGGGTGTTCTTTCATGATAGCACCTTCATTTATTGACGATGTTCTTTCTCTGAGAAGGATGCAACTTAGCACATCAATCAGCGATTGTAGTAGGCATCCATGAGGTGCAGGTGATGAAACCATTCGTCATGTACGGAATCTCTCGCGGGGGATTTTCGAATCCATGGATAGTCGAAAACAGCACGCCTTTTGCCAACCAGGGACTCGGAGCAACTATATCGATAGTGCCGGGACCTCCAACGACAAGGCGATCGAGAAGGTCGCGGGGCCAGGCATGGGACGCCCAGCAGGCTCTCCTTTTCTCACTAAGCGCCGGCCGAGGACATCGAAATATTCGAAGTGGCTTGAGCATAGTAAGTAAGATAATCTGAAAAAGGGAGCCCATCCAGAGTTTCAGACAATTCAACCCGAAGTGGTGGTGGCTGACATTGAATGCTGGTTGATTCTTCGCTCTTCTTTTGCCTCCTCGCTTTTTTGATGACAGACTTATAGTATCACTCTGTGCCACTCTGCCAACAGGGAGAGGCTTTTATACCCCTGATGTACCCTCAGCAGAAAGGGACCTGCAGTTGGTGACCAGGAGTTATATGTAGATATATGTGTGGATGTTTATTGCTCTGTTTGAGAGCTTTTTACCTTCCTTCTACTGTTACGTTACTTAACCTTTGTTTTTGTTTCATCCTATCCAAATCGTTATCAGTTTTATCCATCTTAGTACTGTGGAGAAGCAGTATCAACTATCGTTATTATTACTATCACATCATCGGACCGAAAATTGCTATCTACCTGACATATCCAAGATACTATGATCTCCTAGCTGATCTTTTTTTTTTTACTTCCTTCCCTATTTTCCCCTACTTTTGACCGCTGGTACTGAACCGTTGCATGCTTGGCGGATTCATTCTTTGCCTTTCAGCTGAGATTTTTTTCTTGTAACTTTTGAAGCGAAGAAAATCTCTTTTTTCCCCAAGAAACACAAAAGTACTCGAGCCTCCAAGACTTTAAGACGTAAAAGTACCTGGGTAGTCTAGTCTACTTGCTGTTCTTGATGACTGCATCTGACCCATCATCATCATCATCATCATCATTTGACGAGTTATTAGGACGGAAGATCCGCCGCATGATCTAGACTACACTACAGGACTACTACTTACCTCTCTCTTCTCCAACTACTACTATCTAACTAGTAGTCTACCTCGAACTCCACCAGACTCTCAGTCTCTTCCTCGGCCACTCCAAATCTATTGAGTCTAGTCTAGTCTGTCTAGTCTATCTGGGTGTTCTACTTGAGATAGATAGATAGTCTGAGCCTCGTCTCTCTGCCTGCGTCACAGTCTGCTCTGTTCCTCCACTCGCTCGTTTGCCATAAGTTTGGCCTGCTTTTTTAGGCATCTGAATGGCGTCGGCAACTCCAGTACTTCATATACTGTGTAATCAGAACTGATATTCAATAATAACCCCAATCCCCGATCTTTCTTTCTATCGGTCTTCCCTTTTCTCATCGTCCTCGACCCTTAATTTTTTTTTTCTTCCCCTCAAATTTCTCTACACCTCTTCTTCTTTCTCCCCCCTATTTCTCTCTTTTGTCAGAGCGTCTAACTCCTTTAGCGCTCTTCCACCGGAGTGCTTCTGTTTGTCATCTTCCTTTCTCTCTTTCTCCACTAGTTTCAGTCCTCCTCTTACCGTCCTCTTCGTTCCCTCCCCGTTGATACCTCATCTCCCCCCTCCCCAAGGTCTTTCCACCGAGAGAAAAAAGGTGTTACACTCTCTATGATCGGAGTCGATCTTCAGAAGCCTTGTGCGATTGTATACCATTCATATCCGAAACTTTGGGAGGAATCATAATACCTACACAGTGAATGTGGTGACCGGTCTTCACCCCGGCTATCCATGAGTACTCGTCGGGCGTCATTTATCGACTCGGTGGACAACGGCATGACTCCGCTTAGTGGTTCTGAGCAGTTGGATACTGCGCATTCCCGACTGTGTACCGCCCGGAATCCTGTCTCTAATCTTTCGACTTCGCATTCGCGGTCGCTATCCTCGTCGAACAAGACCGTCACTCCTATCCCTCCGAACCTATTACCCTCCGCACCCGCGTCACCTCCAACTCCGGCCCCTAGCCCGACCCCTCACCAGCGACCGCAGGCATGGCAATATTTCGATGAGGATGAGGATTCCTTCCTGCTAAATGCCAGAATACATTTCAGCTCCCTGACCGGCGCTAAGAAGCAAAGATTTTTGGAGGGTGTTCTCGGTCTCTGTGATAGTCAGCTTCTCAGTTTCGTCTCCAGTTATGTTGGGCCGCGCTTAAGGAAGGATCCATTCCAGGCCTTCCCGACAGAATTATGTCTGAGGGTAAGCCTACTCGTCGTCATTCGTTATCCCCTCACTTGAATTTGCTGGACATCTCTAATCGACCGCGCCCCTTGAATGCATTTAGGTTCTTTCGTTCATCGACGATCCCAAGACCTTAGCCAGAGCTTCTCAAGTATCGAGTCGTTGGCGCGAACTCCTGAGTGATGATATAACGTGGAAGAACCTCTGTGAGAAGCATGCATACGCTTCCCGACGGCTCTCGGACGATCGGGATTTCATCGATCCTTTTCATACTCTACCGCCAAGCTCGAGCACGCGTTCTCTGAATGGACTACCGAGAAAGATGTCGGGTCTCGGATCCTCGGATGGGACTTTTGAGTTACCGCGCTCTGCGTCTGGAGACTGGCTCTCCTTGGCCGCGCGGAAGCGGCGCGCTCGACCTCTGTCCTACAGATCTCATTTTAAGCAAAAGTATATGGTAGAGTCGGCCTGGAATAAAGGTGGCCACTGTACCCAGCGGCACATCACGCCAGACCAAGGTGTTGTGACGAGCCTACATCTTACTTCCAAGTATATTGTGCTGGCGCTGGACAACGCCAAGATCCATGTCTACGATACCAACGGAAATAATCAAAAAACACTACAAGGCCATGTCATGGGCGTTTGGGCCATGGTTCCGTGGGACGATATTCTGGTAAGCGGTGGTTGCGATCGAGAAGTCAGAGTCTGGAACATGGCTACCGGGTAAGTAGTCCCCTGGAATCGTTTGAAACATCACACAGAAATTCAGATGGCTGATATCTTGCGTTCACAGTGCCGGCATATATCTTTTACGGGGTCACACGTCGACCGTGCGATGCCTGAAGATGTCAGACAAGAACACGGCCATCTCAGGATCTAGAGATACCACACTACGGATATGGGATCTGACTACAGGAAACTGTAGAAACGTCCTGGTCGGGCACCAGGCAAGCGTGCGTTGTCTGGCGATTCATGGAGATATAGTCGTCTCAGGAAGCTACGACACAACTGCTCGCATCTGGAGCATATCGGAAGGGCGGTGTCAGCGAACGCTGTCCGGTCATTTCAGCCAAATTTATGCCATCGCCTTCGACGGCAGACGCATCGCCACGGGCAGTCTTGATACCAGTGTTCGGATCTGGGATCCGCAGAGCGGCCAGTGCCATGCCATCCTCCAAGGGCACACATCCCTTGTTGGGCAGTTGCAGATGCGCGGTGATACATTGGTCACTGGTGGATCCGACGGCTCTGTCCGTGTTTGGTCCTTGACCAAGATGGCCCCTATCCATCGTCTCGCTGCGCACGATAATAGCGTGACCAGCCTCCAGTTTGACAGTTCCCGAATTGTCAGTGGCGGAAGTGATGGCCGAGTCAAGGTGTGGAGTTTACAGACCGGACAGCTCCTTCGGGAATTGTCCACACCCGCAGAGTCCGTTTGGAGGGTTGCCTTTGAAGACGAAAAGGCCGTTATTCTGGCTAACCGATCGGGCCGGACTGTCATGGAGGTAAGTAGCTGCATCCTGCGTCTTCCGCTTCCCCTTCTTCTTGTAAATGGACTCATACTGATCAAACATGATTTTTTAGGTTTGGACGTTTTCCCCTCCAGAAGAAGATGGTGATGAAGATGCCATTATCGAGAGTACCTCGAGCACCCCAGGTTTACGTCTTAGGAAAGAAATCAGTCATGATGACCTTGCTCTGAACTCATCTCGATCTGCTCGACATCGGACAATGTTCTCCGATCCTCCTCCAACAATACCTCTAGAAGACGACGATGATGACGACGATGACGACCAGGCAATGCCGGACGCCCCAATTTCATGATCGCTTAGTCAGCGCTGTTGTTGCATGCTCAACCATTGCTACTCTGGGTTCTCTTTGACCGCAATCAATGCTGCGATTGCCCTCAGCTGATTACCCAGTGTGCTGGACACATGCTCGATTTTTGTCAAGATCCGTTGTCACAATTTTTGCATACTGGTGTTGCATCGTCTCTTCTGTTCTAATCTGGCTGTTCATATTACCCAAACACCGCGGAGTTCACACATTGCATTCATGGGCCTTAGTGCAGTAACCTTTGATGTGGTCTGATTTATCTGCAAGCTTCGATGATACCCATCTCGGGAGGTGATGTATCTAGCATCTGGAAGAATTCTGGGCTTTGACTTGATGATAGGGACGCTCTATCTACCATGGTCACGGTCCTCATTATCATGTTGTCACTTATTCGATCATACTTTTTGCATACCATAGCATTATACAATCAAGCGATTTAGTCCTAGACGGTATGAATAACCTAAGATGGACAAAACTTGGAATCTTTCGTCAAGAAATTTATGCAAACACATAACCAGCCCAATCCTTGGCAATGACTAATCCGGGATACCATTTTCCTGTCAGCGGACAGCTGCCACCGATCCATCCTAGGATAATCCATGAAAAAAAGCGAAAACAACCAGATTCCTATCAGAGTCACTTACTAGACGAAATTTGTACCAGATAGCATTGTTCCTTGATATCCCTTTGTTCTAAACTTGTGCAGAGCTCTGCTCCAAGTGAAATATTGGGAGGAACACTCGAGTCTCATACCTCTCCGGGCAAACGGACTGAGCAATATGTCCAGGCGGCAGGCAGACGAATTCAAGCCGTCGATGTTTCAAGCTTAAAAGTCACTTTATAGAAGCAGACAGCAAGGATTATATCTTCCTTTGCGCCCGCTCGCGCTTGTTGCTAAGGATCGACCATCTCACAAACGTGTGTAGCTCTACAAGTGATGTAAATATGGTATATGGAGGGAGACCGAGTACAGGCTGCTATCTGTGCCTCAAGAGAAAAATTCGCGTAAGTACTCAGTTTATTTTCTTTTCGCTCTGTTTGGTTTGCTCTTCGACTCAGGTTGAACTAAGAGGATATACAGTGCGATGAGGCATCGCCGGAATGCCGCAACTGCATCGTCTACGGCCAACCGTGTCCGGGCTATCGGCCAGACACCATCTTCAGAGATGAGACGCAGAAAGTACAGCGTCTGATGAAGAAAAAGAAGCCCAAGAGTCCGCCTGCCCGCGATACGTCTATCTGTGCGGCTGAGGACAAAGACCAGAAGCCGACCCTGCTGTTGACCCGACGCATTGCCGATGCCACATGGGAAGAGCGGTCGATTTGCTACTTTTTCGACCAGTATACTTCCTCCGATGACGATGGCGAATTGCGAGGTCCTTTGGGGTTCCTGCCCGCGCTGTATGCTCTGTGTCGGGACATTGGGGAGGCAGGGTGTTCCGCGTCGGCGTCGCTGCGGCTGGCGGTCGATGCGACGGCTCTGGTCACGCTGAGCAATGAGATTCAGGAACGCTCGCTGCTCGTGAAGGCGCGGCATCTCTATGGGATGGCGATCCAGCGGCTGCGGCAAGCGCTGACTTCGCGGGCACAGGCGGTCCGGGATGAGACTTTTGCTGCGGTGGTTTTGCTTTCCATTTTCGAGGATATCACAGGGGAGCGCAATGGGCTCTCCAGCTCGCACACTGTGGGTTTGGAGGTTCTGATGAAGCTGCGCGGAGTGAATCAATTTGGACATGCGCAGGGTCGGGATTTGTTCAACTTTGCCTATGCGCATACAGTAAGGACTCTTCTTTGTACTTGATGGTGGCGAGAGACTAACCTACGTCCCCCAGCATACAGAGTTTCTGGTTTTGGGCGACAAGCCACGCTTCAAAACTGACTGGATTTCTGGACTGTTAGACAGCTCGGACCCAATCCACCAACTGATGCTGATTGCGTCGGAAGTCAAGGAAGTTTTCCTCGAGAGCTCTTCCTTGCAGACCTCGAATGAGCCTGGTCGAGTGAGCCGGATCCTCTCATGTATTGAGCACGCCAAGGTAGTGGATATGGAGCTCGCTGGGTGGAATCAGAATCTACCAGAGCACTGGCTCCCTCTCATCGTTTACTCACAGGACCACACATCATTCATGACCTACCAACAGCTGACCAAGGCAATTATCTGGAACTACTACCGCGCCGTCCGTATCGTTTTGCAAAAAGTGATACTCGGGCTTCACCAAGCCGTTGCATCGGCCGTCGGCGACAGCGGGGTGGATGCCGAACTTCTGCAGGAGGAACCGAAGATTCTCGGGGTGATCCAGGAAATGATCACAGATGTTTGTCGGAGTATCCCGTTTGGCTTCGGATATGTTGATGCGCTGGGGAACGCAATCCCAGCTCCATCGGAGGGGAAGTTGCCCATCCGTGCGTTCCAGGGATTAAGCATGGTGTGGCCCTTGTGGTACATTCTGTCCTGTGGCTTGGCGACGCCTGAGCAAAGCCACCAAGTTCGGACTGTGCTAGCCCGAGTTGGGTCCACGCTTGGTATCAAGATGGCATTGATACTCGCGAAAGAGGGTGATGCTCATGATCTTACAGCTGTGCATAATGAGGGGGAATGTACATGGCTTCGTGACTTCACTGCAGTAGGGTTACGACAAAGCTTCCCATAAGTTCTTCTCCTCCTGTATATCTGTCATTTTACTTTGTACCTAGTACTATAGTAAATATACCTACTCTAGGCTGTATTCTGTTCTGCCTTTAGCCTCCAATTCAGACGAACGGCAATGAGCGGCTCCAATGACGTCATTACCAGTTCCTGGCCTCCTTTCCACATCGTTATTATTGGGTTCAGTAGAGAAGTAAACAGCCACTGCAGTTCAGGTACACCTATCTAGAGGCTACAGTAGTGGTATAATTCGTATATTAATATTATCAAGGCTATGGTCACGGACTGCAGAGTATGATTCCCAGTGATGGAATGAACCTCGCTCTGCCACGTTCGCCCACTTCACCCGTAGCCAACATGCCGGGCTAGCCGTTCACAAAGACCGATGGAGGATTCCATTTGCTGCGGAAGATATGTCGGACTGTGACGACATTCGGCCTGTCTCGCTTATATACAGCGGTTTTCTATCAAAGCCGAAAGTTTGCTGCATTGTACATTCTCTCCACTCTGCGTGTTTTCTAGCGATTAGATTCCTCTCCCCTCTATTGATCCCTTGAGCGTCTCCCATCTCCTCTCCTTTGCATAGAGTACTTGAGAAACCATCGTGCTGTTTATATTGTGAGGACGCAATGGCCACGAAAGAGCGACAACTCCCATTCGGCAAGATCGAGCCTAATTCAGCAAAGTATTTCTGGAGCTGTACTTTGGGCGGAATCGTCGGTAAGTGATACTGCAAAATTGGCGCTGTCGTCCATGTTCGAGCGATGCTAATGCTGGGTTTCTTGCTCTCTGCAGCATGTGGTAAGTGGCCTATCGAAGGTCATAACCCATAAAACTCCCTCTCACGCAATCTATCCAGGGCCTACACACACATCAGTCACACCCCTTGATCTCGTTAAATGCCGTCGCCAGGTTGACCCTCGTATCTACACCTCCAACCTCTCCGCCTGGCGCCAGATCTTCTCCAAGGAAGGACTGCGCGGGGTATTCTTCGGCTGGTCGCCTACATTCATCGGGTACTCGTTCCAGGGTGCCGGCAAGTACGGTCTCTATGAGTACTTCAAATACCTGTACGGGGACCACATGTTCCCCAACATGAACCGCACCGTGGTATTCCTGGGCGCCAGCGCGTCGGCCGAGTTCTTCGCGGACATGGCTCTCTGCCCGTTCGAGGCGATCAAGGTGCGCATGCAGACGACGCTGCCACCGTACGCGCACAGCTTGCGCGAGGGCTGGAGCAAGATCGTCGCGAAGGAAGGGTTCGCGGGTCTGTACAAGGGCCTGTACCCATTGTGGGCACGTCAGATCCCCTACACCATGACCAAGTTCGCGACCTTTGAAGAGAGCGTGAACATGATCTACCGCACGCTGGGCAAGCCCAAGGAGAGCTTCGGCACCCTGCAGCAGACCGGCGTGAGTTTCCTGGGAGGTTATATTGCTGGGGTCTTCTGTGCTATTGTTAGTCATCCGGCCGATGTCATGGTTAGCAAGCTCAACGCCGATCGCAATGGTGAGTTTTGAAGATCTGTCGAGTCGACTTTGAAAAAGAGGGAAAGTGCTTGATTGCTGACAGCTTTGTGCAGCTGGTGAATCGGCGATGGCAGCCGTGTCGCGGATCTATGGAAAAATCGGGTTCTCAGGCCTGTGGAATGGCCTGCCAGTCCGTATCGTAATGCTCGGTACACTGACTGGATTCCAATGGTTGATGTAAGTTGTGCGCCTCCCTATGCTTGATGTCTTGCTGATGTTCTGGCGAATAGTTACGACTCCTTCAAGCTCTTTTTGGGACTTCCAACAACGGGTGGACACTAATTGCATTTGGACTGGGCATTTTTCGTGATGAGTTGTTTGGCGTTTGCTGTACCTATTGCATGTTTGTAGTCCAATATACTTCTGAATAGACGAAGAATATGGAAATCATCGGCTTGTTCCAGTCGTACCTTTATGTATCTGGCAATGTGCGTACAGAGTTACACCGCCCTTGATAACCACCTGGCAGAATAACTGCCGTGAATCCTCCATCCCCGGCGCCGCTCCCTCAACGATGATATCTCGGATTGAGGCGGATCTTCTATCAATTTTCATCTCTTCTATCGGTTATAACTATATATAGACTTGCTCGACACCGAGTTTGATATTGACCGATTGTTCTCCGAGCTCGTGGCGGTTCTTTCCGGCAGCATATTGCGGAAGGGATCAACCCGACTTTCGCATCTCAAGATCAGAAGATCGGCTTCTCTTTGTTCCTGTTCAGCTTCGACCATTCCCAAGGCCAACGATAGCAATCCGATCAAGCAACGATAGCTATTGAGATCGACGTGCACCGTCTCTCTACGAATCTCTCCAACATCCTATCACCATTTACTGACTTCGTCCTCACTTCAACATCTACCGAACCAACCCATTAAAATCCAACCCGCTGGTTGACCCTCCCCCCAGAACAAGAACGAGACTTAAAAGGCATAGAAAAAAGGAAAGAAGGGAGAAACAATCACAATGGACGCATCCACCAAACCATCCACATCACTACCCTCATCCAACCCTCCCAGCGTCGAGGGCGCCTACAAGCGCAAATGCATCGCGCTCAAGAAACGCCTCAACGAAATTGAAGCCGAGAATGAGATGATGCGCATGCGCAACCGTCGCGGCTGGCAGTATATCCAGAAGATGCGCCTGGAGTCCTGCATCCTGCTCGAGCGCCTGGCCAAGGTCACGGGCATGGCCGAGGAGGCGCAGGCGGGCGTGAACCCGGAGCTGCGCGCTCGCGCCACGGCCGCCATGACCAACGCGGCGATGCTGAATGGGTTATCTGGTGGAACGGGCGCGGCGTATGTCGAGGATGAGACAGAGGGGAGCTCGGATGAACAGCCGCCGACGGTGAGTTAGGGTTCCCCTTCTTAGCACTTTTCTTTTTCCCATTGTCTTTTTGCTGATACACTAGATGACCAGCCTCAAGAACGGCCACTCCGCGTGAAGCGCTCGCGGAAGTCGAATATCGGTGACGGAATGGATGATGAACCGTCGACGAGCAACCCGCCCGAAGGCGATGCCGGTGATGCTGCGGCTCTGCCGCGGCTCGCTCCGGCTCCCACACAAGAGGAGATGACCTCCACGTTCCGGATTCGGACAGGCAGCAACGGCGCCATACACGAAGGGGAGAGCAGTCATGCTGTCAGCGAGCGTGGCAGCCAGGTCCCCGAGTCGGGGCCTGTAGAGTCGGCGAAGGATCTTTCGACGACGCCGATGGATGTGGATACCAAGGTGCCAATTGGGGAAAGCTGAGGATGATACTTGCTTTATTCCACCTGTTCATTATTTTCTTCTCTCTAAATTTAATTCTTCAATGTGTGTTTACTACTCCCTCTATCTTGTCAACTATCATCTCATGCAGCTGTTCCCGTTGAGGGTTTACAATGGGAACATTCTCTACATCACTATATTCATATATTCACCTAAGGCGATAGTGATCACGAGTAGTCCTCTTGCTTACTTACAAATCTGGAGGTAGTAAAAGATTCAAAAGACTGTCCCAGTGGACATGTTTATGATATTAACAGCCTGACGTGGTGGCAGGCGACCCGATCCTCTTAGTAATGATAGTGATACATACAATGAATGTTATCCTGGTTCTAGCGTTGATGATGCAACATCACCTGCATGAAGACCCTGAACTCCCGTATCGAAACACATAGGACAAATGACGTGTGATGCAGGACGTGAGCTGGAACTGAAATGATGAAGACTGTGTAAAGAGATATGCAAAAGAGGGCAGATGCTTGGAATGACTGTTTATAGTGTCGGTCTGCATGTTCAGTACGTGTTCCGCTGACTATCTCACAGATTTGTGGGATATGAATGAAATTAGAAGGCAGATGGTAGGCATCAGGCCACAGGCCACAGACATCATGGATTAGACGATTTATTCGACTCCAGCATACAAGTCGACCACGATGTTGATGGCAGCAACAAGAATTTCTGCTGCGATGAGAACGATGACTGCGCAGCACAATTAGGCAAACAGGAACAAACACGACAGGTCAATGCAAGGGACTTACCGATCCATTCGAGGTACTCACCATGGCGGTGAGTTAGCTGATCTTTCAAGACTGCCAGGAGATCGGCAATGACGTCCAGTCGCTCCGTCAACAGACTAACACGTTGGTCCATCTCGAGATAGCTCCTCACAGCTTGGTAGACCGGCTCGAGTTGCGGCTCGGCCCACATCAGCTCCGGGCTGTCAAGAACAGAGCCTTGGAGATGGATGTTGATTCGCAGAATGAACAGTTCTCCGATCTGCATGTTAATTTGTTGCCGTGTGAGATTCACACTGCCCGTCTGGGCAATCTGAGCAGGTAGTGGCGCGGTATTGGAAATCGTTTCCGAAACGAGATCTTCAAAGAGAGATGTCTTCACCGATTGTGATAGGGCATGTGAGATGGCGATTTTGATCATATGGTTTCGAGGGTCACGTAATGAGATGAAGTCGTTGTATATCCGCGCCTGGTACTCGCGAGCGTAGTAGAAGTTGAAATTCTCCACCTGTGTATCCTCCGGACTCAGGACGGAATTTGCGAACTTAGATACATCGGAAAGGAAGCGCGATTCTTCTGCGGGTGTCATGCCCCATATGACGACTGTGCCATAGTCAAAAAGGAAGACCTCTGGTGTGTGGATAGTGGTGTCGAAGTCTGGAGTCTCATCGGTCTGCGATACTGCCACTGAACCGTCCGTCTGGGCATCGTGGTGCTGTTGCGATTCCGATTCTTGCAAGTCGATTAGGTCTTCTCTTCGGGTGTTTGTATTATCGGCTACCTCAACCGCACTGTCCGAATACCTGCGCTCTCCAGGTGGCCTATCAGGGCTCGAAATATTGTGAAGACCTAGCGTAGTGCCTGATAATGTCCTGTTCCCCTTTTGTTTGTCCTCGTATGAATAATCATACGGAGAGTAGACGCATTCATCGTAGAGCTTCGGATTCGCCCCGCGAGTCTTGGACCGTGCTTTGAGAAACTTGAGAACCCCGTCGAGTCTGTATGAATTCGCCGTACAATATGCTGTTACTCGCGGTAACCGTTCTCTGTCTGCTTTGCCTAGCTTGGCCGCGTGGACTCTGGCGGTGGGTTCCTTGATTCGAGTGATCTGAGAATACACATCTCGCGGGAATTCGTCGTCGGTAATGTCCTCCTCGGCGGCTGTGATGGGATCAGGAAGCAGTTTCAGCTTCTGCGCATTCTTCGTCGTTCGCTGGGGTCCGACTTTGGGGGCCGGTGGCATTGAGGGGAGCGCGGTGCTGTAGGGTGCTCCATGGCTATTGCGGCGACGGAGCTTGCTATTCAGGGCAGAAAGGCCGGTCGGTCTCGATTGACTGGATTGAGCATTGGGAACTGAAGAAGCTCCGGAATTCAAAGGCCTAAACGTTGGATCTGCAGCGGCAGCGTCATGGTATGTACTGACCGTGGCCAGTGGGTTGAATGTCACTGTCCGCGGTGGACGGCTTCCTCGTTGTGACGTATTAGAGGATGCTGAGTGCTGTTGATGCTGAGGGAGCAACGGAGTAGTTTCAGCTGTGGAACTCATCCTGATCCAAGTAATGGAGAACAATTGAATGGCATCTGCCCTGTCGAGACAGATCAATGTCTAAAATAGAGAGAAAAAAAAAATAAAGAAGGGCCGCTGTGGGCTGCCCGCAGAGATGCAAAGCCAGAGTCTAAGAGTCTAACAAGGCGGGATCACAGAACGCTCGAAGCTTTTGCACGTGCGCCCGCCAAACGCTCTCATCAGGAGGCAATGTGTGGCTTGGTTAATGCCTCTCACAAAACTCGAGAAATTATTGTCCTTATTTTATTTTCTATGCAAGTATCCAATGCTATAGCTATCATACTCTTTTTGATATATGTACAAATGAAATTAAGCTCTGATTCCTTTTCGGCGTGCAACACTGGACAACAGGGATCCCTGACCAGTCTGTACAACAATCATCGACAATCGATCCTCCTGGATAGATGAACCATTCACCGTTGAATATCCGTAGTTGTCGATTTCCAAACACTGACCTCTACCGTAGATCCTGTCTAGGACTCGGCACTAGCTCGGCCTTTCTAAGGAGTATAGCCATAGCCATAGCTGGGTCAGGGCAATGAACAGTAGATGATGCGAGAGCGCAAAGAGACTATATTCCGCCGATTGTATTTCAGCCTTATGCTGTACTAAAAACGCCATGAACACCTGCCGGGGTGAACTGCAGAATGGATGAAACAGTAGGTTCTTATCTGCGCACAAATCCTGAGGAGCCACCTGTGGTTCTTCTCAAGCCATTGATATTTGCGGTACTGCGAGCCCTGTTGAGCCAGTTCTGTTTGGCGTTTCGTCCAGTTTTCGACGATTTCGGTGGCAAAGACGTCTTCGCCTTGTGAGAGACACTCTCATCGAGCACGCGGATCGTGACATCGCCCAGTTTGACATCCTTCGGACGCTTCTCCGTCGCCTCGAGGAATCTTAATTTGTTGGGCTTCTTGTGCGAGGTTGCGTATTCCTCTGCTGGAGGTGTTGGGAGTCTTGTAACAGGAGCCGCGTTGAGAATATCATCTGGCAAGAGAGCTGGAAGGGCCGATCGGCGAGCATCTTGGGTTGTAGAGCCTCGAAGAGTTTCCGTACTCTCTGATAGCATGTCATCGGCAGTACCGGCTGCAGATTTGGTCTTAGCGTTCAACATCTCCTTGTTCTTTGCTTGAGATTTTCGAAGCTCGTCCAGCTGTTTTCTCTTCTCCTTTTTCCGTTGCTCCTCACTGTAAGTTCTGGATTAGAATCTGTATGTATCAATAGCGGACGGAGAACTGACATTTGTTTGGCTCTTTCTTGCTTTTTGGCTTCCAGCTTGAACTTCGACAGCTGTGCTGAATTATCAACGGTCTCGGGAGCTTCGTCATCATCGCTACTATCCTCAACGTCTCGATCCTCCTGCTGAGGCTTTGGCACATCCATATCTAACCGCGGCGGCACTTCAGGCTCCTCGCTGTCAAATCTGAAATGATTTTTCTTGGCTGCGGTTGCTGTCTCCTCTTCCTGCTGTGAAATAGACACATCCAAAGCTTCAGATGCTTCAACCGACGAGTCTCCCTCCATCTCTTCACTTTCCGCCAGATTGCTTCTCTTTCTTCTCTTGTTGCGCTGTGTTTCGGGTTTTCCAGAACGGGTCGATTCGGGCTTGCGCTTGCCGCTTGTGATAGTCGACGCACTCTCACTGTCAACCGAAGGCGTCGAAGGCGCTTCGAGATTTCTTCGTCTCGTAGCTGTCACCATTTTTGATCCCTTGTCAAGTGCTCTTATGGATGTTGTATTGGGTGTTTTGCGGCTGTCGATTTTGGCTTCGTCAATGTCGTCTCGTGAGAATAGACTTTTTGCTGCTATGACGAGCTGAGAGAACATATAGTACAGGGGCCTCCGACAGTGTATTTTAATCGATTGATATGTCTCAAACAATCTCTTCTGCGTTTGATAAACGAAGCGCAGATCGGCTTCTAGAGAAATTCGATTTGATAAAATGAGCCGGTGCGACTTTTATCCGAAGGCGGGACTTGCATTGCCAAGGATTCGATGTTGATGTGAGAGATAGTATGGAGTGGAGTAGTTCAAGGATAGAGGGCGTACAATAATAAGGTGCTAAGAAGGAATTGTACTGGAGAAAAACTTCGTGTAGTAGTCAGAGTTATGATGCGTATCCTTCTCCAGTGATGTATGTCGCATCGCCTCTAAATATTCATGTCCGTGACAAAAGACCCCCCCATTTTCAATTAGTAGAATTTATATACGACGAACTCCAAAACACCCGACCCCAAACCCCATAGAAATGCAACAGTGAATGATACCAGACAATGGCCAGTCCCATGAATTCCATGCGTCTGTCGCTCATTGAGCGCTGACCATCTGATTGCGCTCCATGAGTTCCTCCTGCGCTCCGAGGAAGTCGTCTTCGCCAATGTCACTGACTTCATCCCAGAACTTGCCATGCTCGTCTCCGTCATCCCCACTGACTGTCCACATGCTTTCGCGTAGCCGTTTATTTCGCTCCCGGTCCTCCTCAATTCGTTGCTCGATCTGCCTTTTGTCCACGCGCATCCCGCTCGGCCTCGAACCTCGTGGGGTTCCACCTTTCGTTTTCGTTACGCCCTCTGCCTCCTCTTCTCCCTCCAAGTCTAGATGTGCTGCATGTGGCTCCCGATCCTTCAGCCCAGCGTCAATCTCGGCTACGCTTTCAGCGGAGAGAATGTCTTTGTTTTGGAGACCTTGGAGAACACGGCGTACATGTTTGACGTTTGCGGCTCCCGATCCATCTGGCGGTACGACGGCATCCACAACGCGTAGGATGTCCCGTTGCATCATGCGAACGTAGGGTGTGTGATTCTCTTTAGTGGCCATTTCGCAGAATTGCTCGATAAAGTACATGATATTAGCTCGATTATTCATGTTGTTCTATGGAGAGGAAAGAAGTCAGCATGAAACAGTTCATAGTTCATGATTGAGATGGGCGAGACGGCGAGACATACCCTCTCAAGCTGTTCGAGGATGCAGGAATGAAGGTCCTCGTCCATGTCCCGATATTTGAGGGCATAATGCGCAGCCTTCTGGGATGAAGTGACAGAGGCATTCAGATGCTGCAGCTGCGCTGTAAAGCGCATGCGCACCTCGAACGGATCCGCCATCATTGTTGCGATACTCGACTATCAAACCCCTGTGATACGGCTCACTTGCCAGATACTGATAAGTGATAGCGGAAAATCAGCGGAGAGCCTCCGATATCAGGCGGTCAGTTTATTTGACCGGCAGAAAATGTGGGGTTCCGAGGACTATCGCATCTCCTTTAAGAATATAGTCTCAACTCTCCAAGCAACACCAAAGGTTTGTACCTGGCTCTCTAGGCTGTGACTATGCCAGAATGTTATAGCACGCAAGCCAGAAGCATGGCTATGGGCTTGTAAGGGTTGCTATCTTTATGAATAGCGATTGTCTCGATCGCTTTTTCTCCCCTGTGAATTGACTGAAAAAGACGTTGATAGTCGATGTATATATGAGCCTTAACTATGCCGTACAACCCATTCCTATGGCCAGTGACCACCAATATGAGCTGACCCGAGTTCCAGCATCAGATTACTCCATGCGACCAAGTCGCAAGGCAGTCTGCATCTTGCCATGAAACAACAATCTTAAATTTGGATAGAGATAACAGGCACGTGTAATTTAATTGTTTGGGTATCACACCAGAAAGAAGCCAGCCAAAACTGACAATATGTCAGAGTACAGTAAATCGGAAACAGAACTATTAAACTCCTAGATCCAGTGCAGGCTACCGCGAAGACGGTCATCCTCCGAGTGCAGCCAAAGTGATGGCAAAGAAATTACTGGAAGCAGGATCCAAAACAACATCGTAAAGGCATCAATATAATCAGGAGAGCAAAAATGGCGTCTATAAGGTACATGTGTGCAATATTTGAAGGTTCAAACCAAGAGATCAAAGCGAAGGACGTCTATCCAAGGAACTAGCAAGACTAGTCCCGTCGTCGCTTTCAAGAAGACCAACCTCTTCTGCTGTATATCTCTGTCTGGATGGATCGTCGTCCAGACCTCTATCTTTGCGAGATTCTGCACCATCGATAATAGACCAGACATCCTTCTTGGTGAGTAAGCCTTGAAGGACACCTTTATCGGCGAACAAGACGTAACGAAGACCCAGTCTCTGGAACATGCGCCGTACAATCAGAAAAGTCATTCCGCTGTTGAGTGTAATAGGAGTTTGATCCATCCATGGCCGCAAATCGAGGGTTTCAGTAGGATCGGCAAATGGCTGATGCGCGAAAAAGACCTGTGTAGAGCTCGCCAAGTCGCGACCCGTGGGCGATGTCGAATATTTCAGTGCATAGGAAAGTTCATTGCGTGAGATGTATCCCAGCAGAATAGGATTCGATGATTCAGTGACAACAGGGAAACCGCGATATGAGGTAACCATGAGGAGGTTGCGAAGGCTATCTATCGTATGGCCATTTGCAACGATCAAGGTCAAGTCTTCAATCTTGGTCATGACTCTATTGGCGGGCATGTCAGGTGAAGCAGTGTCATCACGGTGGTCGAGGAATGGATACTCCTTGAGATGAATCCAAGATTCATAGATACCGCGTTTGCCGAATATATCACCACACCATTTGGACAGCATAACAGCAATCATAATAGGAATCACATAGGTCAATGCACCCGTGAGCTCGAACATGATGACAACAATGGATACTGTCATTCGGGTAGCACCGCCAAGGGCTGAAGCAGCACCAACAATAGCATAAATTCCAGGTGTGACACAAGGGATATCCGGTTCGCAGCTGTTGAAGAGAAAGACTTTTGGATATGCGCTTTGCCACATCTGGAGCAATGTCCCCAGTGCACGGCCATATAAGGCCCCAATTGCAACAGAAGGTAGGATGATACCGGCAGGTATGTCCAATCCAAATGTAAACGAGGCCAGGAAAAAGCCAAGAAGCGCAGCCATAAGTAGAAGGGCTATCGTTCCAGCCGATGCAGCACCGTTCTTGCACAGGCCAAATAAATCATCAGAGCCCGTTCCGCACTCAGCAAATAGGGAGTGGACAAGTTCAGAGTTCTGGGCTCTCATAAAGATATTGGGGAAATTAATCAGAGCAGATAGAAGGGCCACCATCATCACTTCCAAAATTGGGCGGGACCATTTTCTCGACTGTCGCCATCTTGCAATTTTCATATTTAAGCGAATTAAGAACGCCCCATAGAGCCCACCTAAAATACCGAGGAGGATGAAGGGGATCATTTCGAAGCGATGCCATCCGCGTGTATACTTGACTTCGTAAAGCACAATATTCCCTGTTCGGAAAGGGTTGAGTGCTTGAAGAGTGACGGCTGCAACCATTGCACAGACAAAACTCTGCCACATTGTTTTATCTGGAAAGTAGTATGACAATTGCTATGACTGTTAGTGAACTTAAGCACTTTGATAATTAGTGAAAATGCACCGTACCTCCAAGCTGAATAGGACACCTCCAATGGGTGCCCCGAAAGCAACGGAGATGCCTGCAGCGGCTGCTGCAGAGAGCACTTCGCGTTTCCTCGCTATTCTGTTTAGTATATAATCAATGAGCTGTGGAGCCAGTGCATACCTTCATTATGATTCAAATTGTCGAAGAATTTCATCATCAGATTCGCGCAGCAGCATGCAACATGCACAAGAGGGCCTTCTTTACCTAACCACATGCCTGAGGCAACTGCTAAGCACTATTCTCAATAAGTATTTAAACAAACCAAAATCATGGAAAATACCTACTAAGCCCAGGGATTTAACCGCAAGTGTCCATGGTCCCAAAAAGTGCCTGATGACGAAGCCACCAAGAACGGTCTTGATCTCAGGAATACCACTGTGCTTCGCATAAATCGCGTAGCTCCTTACCAAAAAGCTGGCGCAGAAAGCGAATAGAACCTATGGCCGTGGGTCAGCAACCTGTCATTACGGCATGTCACTGGAAACATTCACTAACAGAATAAAGGATGTAAACAAGATATTCCACTGAATAGCCTCCACCAGAGGAGCGAAGCCCAAAGGCTTTGCTCCATGGTGTCCAATCCAAGCATTCAGAGATGTCTAATTTGTCAGGTGAGCGACATGATTAGCAGCGTTTGAAGCAAAGGCGCTCACCAGCATGACCCCAGCAACAAAAATCCCGATTCAAATAGAACCTCCCACCTCCCGGACCATTCTTGCAATACCCTGTCTTAAGGTCCCCTAGCCAATTGCTCGTTATGTCAATGCATGCCGCAATGATGCCAACGAGAATTCCGGTCGCGATCAACACCACCCATACATTGCCGGCCTCCAAAAGCCGGCGGGCGTATCCCGATAATCCAGGAGAGCTCGAGTAGAGCAACCGCTTCCTTTGTCGCTCTTTGGTGTATTCGAATATCCAATCAATGGCTGTAAGGTCGTCATAGCCCACTCGTCGCCCCGGACCTTCCACGTACCAGTCTAGAAACCCGCCATCTTTTTGCGGGTTGAAATTTCCATTTTCAATCCGCGACCTCCTTGAGCCCGACGCAGCATTGTTTTCTGAGGTACGGTCATATCCCGCGTCCGATATGCCAAAGGGGATGCTGCCGAAACGAGATTCGTGTTCATCATTAGAAAATAGGCGCGAGATACTAAATTTCGATCGTTGTTTTTGCTTCCGTTTGAAAGAGATACTGCGATTTGTATTCATTAGTTTGCGAATACTATAAGTGCTCTTCCAATCACTCACGGTTCGGTCGACCCCCCAGGCAGCGATTCATCATTGTCGCTATCTAAATTCGAGGCTTGATCATAGGGCTGTGTGGATGAAGATGGTGCTCCGGCTCCCAGCCCTGAGCGCATCGTTGACATGACGGATCAAGCCAGCATATCAGTGTAAACCTGGCAGCTATACCATTGCTTCAGTGAGCGTTCATCAGTTTGAGCAAACTTACCCAAGCGCATCCAGACAACTGGTCTCGCTATCGGAGATGTGGCGCAAGCTCCGAGATTAAACAAAGGCGGTGAATAGTTGATAGGCTAGACTGCGCCACAATTTGCGGCAGAAAACGATATCGAAGGAAAAAAAAATACATTTTCCCTGTCTTAATTGTTCCTATCACTGGAGTTTCTTCTGGAGGCAGGATTCAGTATGGATGGAAGACCTGCCTATGAGAGGCTACTTGATGAGTCTCAGATCCTCGAGCAGCTTCCGAATGAGCTTGCGGAACTCATTCGCACTGCCTCTGGGACTCAGTTTCTCAATGCGCTCGCGGTTAGCGCACTGAGGTCACGATGTACAGAAAGCCTTTTCAGCATCTACGAACCGATCTTCGTTGATTTAGGTGCACGATGGCTCTCTTCAGATCTCCAAGTCGATCAGTGTGATATACTCTCTGCATTTGCCCGCATTTTACCATTCGCGCCGTATCTACGATCTTTTGCCAGCCAACATGCCGTCTCGTGGGCTGGACCTCTATCGGCTTTGGCTGCATCGAAGGAGCAAACTCCCATAAAACTTGACGATAGTACCCTCCGCACGCTCCTCCTTGCTACTTTCCGACTCCTCTCCTACCAACATGATACCTTCGCGAAGACCGTATCCCCTTTACAGCTCCAATCACTATTCCAGCATCACGATCGGTCGATAAGATATTTAGCAGTGCGGTGCTTTGCTCTATATATGCGTGCAGCTGACGCTGCTACGGAGAGAGTGGTTGGTTCATACGTCGCAGATGGCCCGATAGAAGGGGAATGGGAAGACATGACCATTGATTACCGTTGCCTGGGGCTCTGGGAAGAGTGTCGGTGGAAGACTCTTGAGAAGCAGATTCTACAGGCCAGATTAAACCGGCCGATATCTGACGGCCACTTGCAGGCGGAGCAGCTACGAGATTATTATACCACTCGCACCGCCGAGGTTTGTGGAGTGTTAATTCCTCGGCTGCGCGATTCACCATGCTCGCCATCCTCAATCGTGAGAACGCCTACTGCTGCGGGGAATCTGCGCAAGATCGCGACAGCATTGCTTGCACCCGAGCCCATTCTTCTTGTTGGCCTACCGAACTCCGGAAAAACAACTCTAATTAATGACATTGCCTCAACGATGGGTCAATTCGAGTCCATGGTCACACTCCATCTTAACGAGCAGACAGACGCCAAGAGTCTCCTTGGAATGTACTCGACATCTCCTGCTACAGGTTCCTTTGCATGGCAACCCGGTGTCTTGACAAAGGCTGCAAGAGAAGGTCGCTGGATTTTGATCGAGGACCTCGATCGTGCCCCTTCTGAAGTCATTGGCCTTATTCTGCCGATTATCGAGAAGGGTGAATTGACTATCGCTAGCAGGAAGGAGCGGATCAAGTGCGCCGAAGGTTTCAAAATTATTGCGACGATGAAATCGACATACAATATTGCAGGTGAAGAGGTTGCTCCAAGTGCCAACCTGCTAGGAAGCAGACTATGGCAAAGAGTCTCGATAAACTCTCTTTCAATAGATGAAATCCGAGAAGTGATCATGCGCAAATTCTCTTTGCTTGAGTCTCGCGTCCCAGTTATTATGAATGTTTACCAGCGAGTCTGCTCTTCCTTCCATGGCAGCCTGGCCATTAAGAGCTCCCAGGGACGGACACCCGGTCTTCGCGATCTGATTAAGCTGTGTAGTAGGTTGCAGAGACGACTGCAGCAGCTGGGAGCTAAGACGGGTTTTGAAGCAACGCCGGAGTCTGTTGACGACGAAATTTTCCTGGATGTCGTGGATGTTTTTCTCAGGTATATCCCCGAAAAGGCTTTGGCCGATTCGCTTTCAATGGTCGTCGCAGAAGCACTTCAGATATCGCCGCAACGAGCGCAATTCTGTCTTCATGAAAGGACACCTACGTACTCGGATCATGGGAGCAGCGTTACACTCGGCAGGGAAATTTGTCAAAAGAACAAAGTACCAAGCGGCTCAGCCTCTAGACTCGCTGCTGCTTCTTCCCGATTCGCCTCCACGAGAGCTGCTGTGAAGCTCATGGAGCAGGTTGCCGCTGCTGTACAAATGGCCGAGCCGGTTCTCCTTGTCGGTGAGACCGGTATCGGAAAAACGACAGTGGTCCAGCAGCTTGCAAATTTGATGCGACAGAAGCTCACTGTGGTAAATTTGTCTCAACAGAGTGAGAGCACCGATTTGCTCGGTGGCTTCAAGCCTGTCAACATCCGTACTATGGCCGTCCCTATGCTCGATGAGTTCAATACTCTATTTGAGTTGACGTTCTCCGCAAAGAAAAACCAGAAGTTCCTCGCCTCTGTCTCCAAGAGCGTCGCTGCAGGGAATTGGGTACGTTTGGTGAATCTTTGGCATGAAGCTGTCCGACTTGCCGATGGTGTATTTAAATCCGGCAAAGGTTCGCAAGGTAGGGCAGGCGAGGAGGAGCAGCCGACGAAAAAGAGGAAGCTGGATTCGCCGAAGTATCAGCAGTTGCGTCTGAGATGGGAAAGATTTGCTACACAACTCAACGATTTCGAAGCGCAGGTATCACAAGGTGACGCTAAGTTCGCTTTCGCTTTCGTGCAGGGAAAAATCGTTCGTGCTCTTCGCAACGGAGAATGGGTCCTACTTGATGAAGTGAATTTGGCCTCCCCAGATACGCTTGAGAACATTGCCAGTCTTCTGCATCATGGGAGCGAGGGCTCTCCGTCTGTGCTGCTATCTGAAGCTGGAGATGTAGAACGGGTTTTCGGTCACCCTGAGTTCCGGATCTTTGGTGCCATGAATCCTGCAACTGATGCTGGAAAGAAAGACCTCCCTCCCGGTCTACGGTCGCGCTTCACTGAAGTATATGTTCAGTCCCCTGACAGTGATCTAGATGATCTACTCGCTCTGATTCAGAAATATCTCGGCGATTTGACAATAGGTGACTCGAGAGTTGTATCAGATTTGGCTCAGCTTTACATGGAAACAAAGAAGCCCAGCAGTGACAACAAGCTCACAGACGGAGCGGGACAACGACCTCATTTCAGCATTCGCACTCTGGTCCGCGCACTCATATATGTTATCGAGAACGCGCACATATATGGGCTGCGCCGAGCGATCTTTGAGGGGTACTGCATGAGTTTCCTGACCGTGTTGAGTCAGCACTCAGAGCGGCTACTTATGCCTCTTCTTGAGAGACATATTTTCGGCAATGCGAAAAATGCCAGGGCTCTTCTGGGACAAATACCTAGGCCACCAGTTGATGGTAACGCTTACGTGCAATTCAAGCATTACTGGATGCGACAGGGCAATACAGGTCCTGAGGCTCAACCTCATTACATTATCACTCCATTCATCGAAAAGAATCTCAAGAACCTAGTGCGAGCGAGCTCCACTCGCCGTTTCCCAGTCTTGTTGCAAGGCCCGACCTCAGCTGGCAAAACAAGTATGATTGAGTATCTTGCCAAAGTGTCTGGGAACAAGTTTGTTCGGATCAACAACCACGAACATACCGATTTGCAAGAATACCTTGGTTCATACGTCTCAGGTGATGATGGAACCCTTCGCTATCAGGAAGGTGTTTTGGTGGAGGCACTGAGAAACGGATACTGGATTGTCCTCGACGAGCTCAACCTTGCGCCTTCCGACGTGTTAGAGGCAATGAATCGACTCCTGGATGACAATCGTGAATTGTTTATACCAGAGACACAAGAAGTGGTTCATCCACATCCCAATTTCATGTTGTTTGCGACTCAAAACCCTGCCGGCTTGTATGGTGGTCGAAAAGTACTATCGCGCGCTTTTCGGAATCGTTTCCTTGAGTTACATTTCGACGATATTCCTGAGAGTGAACTGGAATTCATCCTCAAAGAGCGATCCCAAATTGCACCATCGTTTTGCACTAGGATTGTTTCGGTCTATCGCAAACTGTCTCTTTTACGCCAAGCAAACAGGCTTTTTGAGCAAAAAAACAGTTTTGCTACCCTTCGTGATCTTTTCCGGTGGGCTCTACGCCAAGCAGATGACCGTGAACAACTGGCTATCAATGGCTTTATGTTGCTGGCCGAACGTGTCCGTAACCCGCAAGAGAGAGCGGCAGTCAAGGGAGTCATCGAAGAGGTCATGAAGGTCCGCATCGACGAAGAGTTAATCTATAGTGCGACTGAAATCGAAAAACGCGCTCCTAATCTCAAGGAACTGGCACCAGGCATTGTGTGGACAAAAGCGATGCGACGTCTTTTTATCCTGGTATCAGTTGCCCTTGAAAACAACGAGCCAGTCCTGCTTGTCGGAGAAACTGGCTGCGGCAAAACACAACTTTGCCAAGCGGTTGCAGATATCTGCAGGAAGCAGCTGTTCATTGTCAATGCTCATGTAAACTTGGAGACCGGAGATCTCATTGGAGCTCAAAGACCAGTTAGAAACAGGGCCGCCATTGAGAGTCAGTTGCTCACCGATCTTGGAACAATCGTCAACGCAGGCGCTATCGAATCAGCTTCACTCGATGATCTGAGAAGTGCATTCAACGCAATGACTGCCGACCAACTGAACTCGTTCGATCCTGAAATAGTCCAACGTACCCAGAGAAACATTGCCCGCTTGAATGCTCTGTTTGAATGGTCCGACGGTAGTCTCATCACTGCCATGAAGACCGGGCAATTTTTCCTTCTCGACGAAATTTCCCTGGCCGATGATTCAGTGCTAGAAAGACTTAACAGTGTCCTCGAGCCCCATAGGTCAATTCTTCTTGCAGAAAAAGGTCCTATTGACTCGATGGTGGTAGCGCACAGCGGGTTTCAATTTCTTTCAACTATGAACCCCGGAGGTGATTATGGAAAACGGGAGCTTTCAGCTGCTCTTCGGAATCGTATGACTGAAATTTGGGCTCCTCAGCTGTCAGAAGACGACGACATCCTACCTATTCTGAAAATGAAAATGCAGTCAGAGTTGGAGGACATTCCCAAAGCAATGTTAAGGTTTGCGAAATGGTTCAAGACAAGCTTTCAAAGTTCTTCAATTACTTCTCTCTCCATCCGTGACCTCCTCGCTTGGGTCGATTTCGTCAACAAGTGTCGAACTACAGACGACAGATTCTCGATCGTCCAGGGTGCTGCAATGGTATTTGTGGACACTTTAGGTGCCAATCCAGCAGCCATGCTCGCTGCATCATTGCATGATCTTGAGAAGAATCGTCAACTGTGTCTTGATAAGCTCCGTGACCTCTTCAACGTTGATGCCTCAAGCATATACTTCCAAGAATCAAAAATTGAGCTAGTAGGGGATGCACTGCGTGTAGGGCCTTTCGCTCTTCCTATTAGTGGCGATGCGGCACCTGATCCGCAGTTCATTATGGATGCACCTACCACAATAGCGAACTCGGTGAGAATCGCGCGCGGCCTACAGTTGCCCAAGCCTATCCTTCTGGAAGGTAGCCCCGGTGTTGGGAAAACTACGCTTGTTACTGCGCTAGCCAGAGCTCTTGGCAAGCCCCTAACTCGTATCAACCTTTCAGAACAGACGGATTTGACAGATCTTTTCGGCTCAGATGTGCCTGTAGAGGGTGGCGATGTCGGCCAGTTTACCTGGCGTGATGCGCCATTCTTGCAAGCAATGCAACGTGGTGATTGGGTATTGCTGGATGAAATGAATCTGGCCTCTCAATCAGTCCTTGAGGGTTTGAACTCTTGCTTGGATCATCGCCAAATGGTCTATGTAGCCGAGTTAGACCAGACTTTCAAAAGGCATCCAGACTTCGTTCTCTTTGCTGCGCAGAATCCCCATCACCAAGGTGGTGGCAGAAAGGGCCTGCCTGCGTCGTTTGTCAATCGGTTTACTGTGGTATACGCCGATAGTTTCACGCAGACTGACTTAAAACGAATCTGCGCGAAGCTATTTCCCGGCAGTCCCTCCTCACAAACTGACAAGCTAGTCGATTTCGTCTCCTTACTGAACGTGGCTATCAACCAGGAACGCAGACTGGGGGCTATTGGTGGTCCGTGGGAGGTCAATCTTCGTGATATTCAAAGATGGCTCCAACTCGCGGATCGAGGTGATCTGCAGGTGCCAGCGAATAACTTCCTTGACATCGTCATCTCCGAGAGATTTAGAAGCGAGGAGGACAGACAGATGGTCTCCCAGCTTTACCAACGAGTCTTTACCGATATTCCGCCCGCTGCCAAAAGCTATTACCATAATCTGACCACAGAATATTTCCAGGTTGGGTTTGGTGTGATGCGCAGGGACTCGATTGTTCAACAAACCCCAGAATCACACATGAGGATACTTCCAGGCGATCTACCCATCCTTGAGTCACTCATGCTCTGCATAGAGCAGTCGTGGCCGAGCATTCTAGTTGGACCGTCGGGCTGTGGCAAGACTACTCTCATTAGAAAGCTCGCTGCGTTAAATGGCACTGAACTGATTGAACTGGCCCTCAGCGCTGATACAGATACAATGGATCTGATTGGTGGCTTTGAGCAAATCGACTATCGAAGGGAGGTTTCATCATTGGTACGTGAAGTCCTGCTGTACATCCGCAGGCATATCATATCTTCATTGTCATCGAGCGAAAACCTGGATGCGTCTTCTACGTATCTTGAGCTCTTTGAGCGTCTACAAAGTCCAGACATCTCGTTGGAGTTTCTCTGTTCGTCGCTTCCGGTCTTGATGCAGCTCCATAATCATGAAGCCTTAGGTGACTATCTTCGAAGAGCTCAGAATTTGATGGAACTCACGAGCCAAGCCGATAAGATGAAGGTAGGGTTTGAATGGACAGAGGGAGTTCTCACACAGGCTGTCCAGCATGGACATTGGGTAATCCTCGACAACGCCAATCTTTGCAACCCATCCGTCCTTGATAGACTGAATTCGTTGACTGAGCCCAACGGGGCTCTGATTCTCAATGAACAACGTACTGATGATGGATCAGCGAGAATCGTCAGACCTCATCCAAACTTCCGTCTCTTCCTGACAATGGATCCCCGCCATGGGGAATTATCCCGTGCAATGCGGAATCGATGTGTAGAAATCTGCTTCCTATCTCCAGAGGTCGCTAAACACGCCAGTGACGCTCTGCCTGCTTACACAAATCAATCTTCGCTCTACCGCTTGAGGTCCGTCTGGGATTATGACTCGCTCCAGGATAGTGAAGAGCTTTCACGGCTCACATGCGAAGTGGGGTTGGACCATCTTTCGGTCGAAGACTTGGGCATTCTGCAACAGTCCCTTGGAATGATCATGGCTGGCTCGTTCAATTCATCGGTGGGGGCACAATTGCCTTCATTGCTGGATCAATATGTGCCAGTTGTGCTTGAAGGTTCCTCTTGGAGCCCTTCTGCTGTTTGCAAAGCCAAGTCTGTAGATTTGAGTGGCGTCTCCTTTTCCATCCAGGGACATCTCCAACCTCTACATCCTCTCGTCAATGAGCCGCTTGCTTTGATTCTGGGGCAGTATGTTAACTTGCCGAGCCTCATTGCGTTGGCTCACTTGCAAGAGTGCAAGCTCAATCTTCATCGCTTAAAGCAAAGCTTGTTACGAGCCGACGAGTCAGCCAAACATCTCAAACCAAGTCAAATGAACTGCTTGGAGAGGTCTTTGGCGTCACGACGGATAGCCTCATTAATGAAGGATCCGACGCAACCGATCAGCTCGTTCCTGGCGGATTGTGGCCAGGCGGTTTATGACTTCGTGCAAAGTCTGGACAGTGAAGTCCTTGGTGTTCCTGAGGCTGTGAACGCACTTCGTGCTGTGATAAGCTTTTGTGTAGACCTTCTAAAACTCTCCGAAGTTGGTCAAGTGGATGAAGGTGTTTTCCAGGTCTACTTGCAATTTGGAAGAGAGTTGTGCTCCTTCTTGCTGAATTCCTGGTCACCGCTGAAGTCTCTGGCCCTGGCCTTATCACAATACCTCAGTCGATTCCAAGAGAATTGGGCTCTGACGACGGGACTGAGTATGCAACGAATTTGGGAATCGTGGAGACCTGCCACTCCCGCCACGCAGGAACAGTTGAGGTCGAAACTGGACCTGGAGAAAATTGCAGCCGAGTTCACTGAACTTGCTCCCAAGACCCGTTTGGATCTTTCCCAGCTGAGTCGGGTACGCAATTCCTTGGTCGACGCACAAAGATCTATTCTCTTGGACGGTGCCGAAGAAGGGCAGCTTGTGGAGGCTCTCAAACAGACAGTGATGGAATTAGCAAACGTTGTGCAGAACTCCGATTCGCCTCAGGCTCCCTATTTTTCGCACGAGTTCGAAGCTCTATGCCAATTTCATGACCTGTCTTCGCTATGGCGAGCTGAAGCAGATAGTGACCCTATCCTCGGTACCATTCTTCCATTGTTGGCTGGCCGGCAAGCGCGGCCCCTTGACGCATCAACTCTCCAAAGTCAGATCCCTGGTCTACTTCACAAACTTTCCCTCTTTGCAGGGTTCAGTCATGCGTCAGCGCAAGGTTCTGTTGTTGACAGCACATTTTCTTTGTCGTTGTTGGAGAAATTGACGTTTGTTGGCACCACCACTTTGGGTCAAATGGATAGATTGCAGGTAGAGAAACAGGCTCTTTCCAAGGCCGTTACCGTGAGCTCTCATCAGATTGTCATGGATCAGCACAAACTGCTTAGGCAATTCGTGGCAACGCTTACCACAGAGCTTCTTGCCATCCATAAGGATTTCTTCGAGCCGCAGTGCTTTGAAAGTCTCACGAATTATCTTCGTACCGTCCGAGAACAGGGATGGTGCGACGAAGCAAGGCTGCCAGAAATCTGCTTGGATGGAGGCTTGCCTGAAGGGCACTACTTCCATAACATCGCGAGAGAAGCTTTTCCGCCATTGCTCTTGTCTTTGACAATAGGTCCTGAATTTGGAGAGAGGTATATTGAGACAAGGGGATCGGCTTTGATACAGCTGGCTCGTATTCTCTTGCAGCTGTTCGTTCCCGACAAGCCGTTTGATCCGTCCCTAGGCTTGGTCGTCCAGAGGCAACGGCATACGCAACGTGTGATCGAGTTGACGATGAAGTCAGAAGCTATAGCCGCCTTTGAAATGAGCTTCTCTGGCAAGACCTCCAACCTGCGAAACGAAGTGATACAGCGCGAACTGCAAGAGTTAGGCTCTGCTCCTCCTCCGTCTCAAGTTACTCGCCCCCAAGTCTCGGAGATTAGCATTCTGCAAGGAGAGTTCTCTAGCTTGCTCTACTCTGTGTTGAACAGATGTAATGAGTTGGATCTCAATATCGCCAATAGTCAGGATACTGAATCCCAGGGAACGCTGAATCTCCTCCGCGAAAACATTCGTCAGCTCACTCTGCGGTTGAGCGCGCATTACCGATCCTACGATGATATCACTGTACTTGTGATCCGCTTTCTTGGTATGCTGGATCTGGGGCTATCACTTCAGTCCAGTCCAGCTTCTTCCGCTGATTCACAGGTTTTGAAAGCTATAAGCAAGAGAACACCCTTCCTTGGTGGCAATTTGCATCCAATTGTAGCATTGGACAACCAGGTGATGCCGACGAATCAGACTCAGTTCGTTGACTTGAGATTCCACGAACTATCTTCTTTGAAGGTTGCGAGCAATACAGACCCGGACGTCCTTCGCAGCGAATCTGGACGGCATGCGCTGCACCGAATCTTTGAACAATTCCATATCTTATGGAAGGCTAAGCTTCGCGAAGATCAAGAAGAAGAGGCAGGCAAATCTGAATTGTACCGCTACCGTGGCTCCTGGGAAGACAGTGAAGAAGTTGACCAGAATGAGCTCAACGAGCTGTTCCCAACGTACGAAAATGATTCAGCCGAGGGAGATAGTAAAGTTACTCGAATCGACCCCAAGGCAATCTCTGTCCGCCTCGCTTCACTACACGCCAAGCTCCTCCAATCTGAGAATACCAATATCGTTCTGGCGGATTACGTCAAACAATCTGCTCGCCTGCTCGGATCTCTTTGGTCAGCGGGTGATGCTGCAAAATCTCCAATGGATCCGGAGGAGCATCTTTCTGGAGCTCTGCTGCTCCTTGAGGATGCTCTGAATGGGGCAGATAGCGTCCCAGCTGGTAAATACAACTTCTACACTGACGCCAATTTCACTGAAGCCAGGAGACTTGTATCGTTGACCCATTCTGTCAAATCTCGATTCCTTCAGATCCAGCAGGCTTGGCCGGAGCATGCAGTCCTCCAGGACGTCATTCTATGCTGCAAGGAGGTCCTCGAATTCAAACATACCGAGCCTGTGGCAAAGTTTATCACCAAGGTTGAAAAACTTCATGCCCTTGTTCATGAATGGCAGCTTGTGGCAAGCAGAGAATATTCGGCAGCCTCTCTTTACGATGAGATAACTGCTCTGATCATCAGCTGGCGTCGGCTGGAGTTATCGACATGGGCCAAGCTTCTTGATCTGGAGACAGAGAAGTGTGCTCAAGACGTGAGTTCGTGGTGGTTTGTCGCCTATGAAGCGATCATCGCAGCCCCAATTCAGCTGGCAGCATCCGACCCGTCTGAGTTGAGCGACCATGTTGTAGGTGTCATCTCTACGCTGGAGCAATTTTTTATGTCGACGACTTTCGGGCAATACAGCCAAAGACTGCAACTTGTTGCCAACTTCCGCTCATTGGTTGCACTTTATGTTGCCGATTATCCTTCTCTCGAACAACTTGTGTCTGCATTGGACAATTTCCTTGAGCATTACAGACCTTTCGAGCCTTCAGTACACAAAGTTATGGCAGACAGGAGATCCACGATTGAAAAGGATCTCAAGCAGCAGATTCAGCTGGCCAGCTGGAAAGATACTAATATCATTGCGCTTAGAGAGAGTGCCCGGCGATCGCACTTCAAGTTGTTTAAGCTTGTTCGGAAATATCGTGAGGTGTTGGCACAGCCTGTGCAGCAAATTCTGCAGCAAGGAATAACGGATGAAACGGATGAAGCTGGTTTTGCTACTACCGAGACCGCGTTGCCTTCGACAAGCTTCCCAGATGCCCTAGCTATGTGCCAGAAAGAATCCACAGTATGGCCGACCAGACCACCTAGGTTCCAAAACGTCGAGAGCACGGCCGGCAACATGAGTAACCTGTATTCTTCCATGCCGAATGAGTTTGATCTCTCAGAAGATCTTGAAGAATTTGTCAAGTTTTTCATTGAGAGCATTAAGGAATTCAAATCACAAACTCCAAAAGCGTTGACCGAAGACAACAAAGATGACGTGCAGCATCTCAAGGTCCAGAAGCGCCGTTTCTACGCTGATGTTTTGCGTCGCCTCATGGATATGGGGGTCAAGCGCAATGCCAACACTAGCTTGATTGAAAGCCAGCTCACAGTTGCCCAAGTCCTCGCCACCTGTTCGAGCCTAGAAACTGGTGAATTGACGTCACCTCTCGTTAAAGCCTCTGATCTTTACTTCCACAGATTCTTGGATCTCCTTCCGCGCGTTCGTCAAGCCTCCAGAGATTATTCAGAAGACTTAAGCAACGTCGAGGTCTCAAGAAGTGTAGGAACTGTCGAGCATCTACTCTTTACAGCCAGGAAGCAGCGAGGTGTCATTTCTCCGGCAATTTCTCACCTAGAAACGCTGAAGTCAGTGCTTCTCAAAATGTCTAATATCTGGGCCTCGGGGCCGGCGTCTATCTGCAAGTCTCAGACGGAATTCTCCAGTGACAGACAAGAGATGAGAAGAACTATTGCATGGCTCACTCCTATTCTCGGTCTCGCTATTGAGATAATTGCACTGCATTCGAAATTCTCTCAAATTGATTCTTCGAAGGTCTCTGGTGGCCTTCACACCTGGAAAGCCACTTTCGACCGCCTGAGATTGTCCTTGGACAATCTTCCCGACTTACCGTCGGGAATTACTTCTCAATGTCATAAGGGTGTTCTCGAAGAAGTCTCAATCTCTCTTTCTGGCTTGGAAGCTGATATTGCAAGATGGACCGCGGAACGTCCTGATCTATCCTTTGCATTAAGTCAAATCATCCCTTGGGTGAAAGCGAAGGCAGATGCGACTGCATGGTCTCAGAACGAGGATAGTGTAGCTATTCAAGATTTCGACGCACAACTTCTCGCAGCAGTTGACAAGATTCTTATCAGTCTCCAGAAACTTAAAGACGTACCCTCGTCTCTCGAGTCTCTCGGGTCGCTTTCAAGAAGCGACGAATTCTTCACGAAAGCAATGAAGGCTGTCCATCTGTCTGACGTCACTTCCTCACTCGACTCAGTCCTCCAGAATCTTCAGAACCTTCATGTGAGCACCGAGAACACTTATTCTCTGGCTTCTGCATTGGTAGCAAGCTTGTTACCTATCACAAACAAGTATTTCTATATCTGTCAAAATGTCATCCAGCGCTTTGTGTCAGTGCACAAGGAAACATGCAAGATGTCTTACGTGCTTGCCAAATCGTTTATTCAAATTGCTTCAGAGGGATTCTGCACGCCTGCCGAGCCTTCCACCGAAGAGAGCAAATCTGGAAAATTAGAGAGCGGTACTGGTCTTGGTGAGGGCGAAGGCGCTGAAGACATCAGTAAAGACGTTGGTGATGATGAGGATCTCTCTGAGCTTGCTCAGCAAGAACAAAATGAGAAACCGAACGAAGATATGGAGGATTCTGCCGACGCGGTGAACATGGATCAGGAAGAGATGCAAGGTGAATCGAATGACCGTGAAGGAAACGACGAAGAAGAGGACGATGAGAGCGGCTCCGAGGGAGAGGATGACATCGACGAAGAAGTTGGAAGTGTCAATGACCTGGATACGACTGCAGTTGATGAAAAGATGTGGGATGGTGCTCATGACGAACAGCAGAAAGAGACCGAGAATGAACAAGGCAAAGGAGCATCTGAGGCTGATGAACAAACCGCAGCGCAAGAGAAAGAAAAGGAGAAGACCGACAAGGATGCAGAGCAGGAAGGTGATGAGGAAGAGGAAGAGGAGGAAGAGGACGAGGAGGCACCTGAAGACGAAGGCGAGGCTGTTGGACGAGAAGATATGGATGTGACAGATCCTCATGCCAAAGAAGAGGATGCGTTGGACCTTCCGGACGAGATGCAATTGGATGGTGACCAAAAAGAGGATGATGGTCTCGAGGATGATGACGACGACGGCATGGATGATCTGGCCGATCTGGGTCCTCCTGCGGACGACGAGCAACAAGTTGATGGCAAGGAGGACAATATGGAGGATGACAACATGGATCAACCAGCAGACGAGCAGGAGATGGGTGAAGGAGACGAGGAGGCTCTAGACGGCGAAGAGACCAATGAAGCGGAAGGAGCCGATGATGGTACTGCGCCTGAGGAGGAAGAGCCAGAGGAGACTCAGCCGGAAGAGTTTCTGACTCGCCACGATGACAACGAAGCTGGAGGCGAGGAAGTTGCTCCTAGCGAAGCCGTCAACGGTGGCCTTGATGCAGACCAGGATCAAAATCAGGAGCAAGGCGCATCTGGCAATGCTCAACAAGAAGATGGCTCTATCGATCCGTCGGCAAATCCAGAACAACAAACGGGAGGTGCCAAGGAAGGGGAAGAGAAGCAGCGCAAGAGAGATGCTGGTGGTGCCGACGACGCGAGCCCAGAGGATCCTCAATTGCAGGCATTTAAGAAGCTTGGCGATGTTCTTGATGAATGGCATCGTCGCAGAAAGGAGATCATGAACGCTTCGAAGCAAGAGGAAGACAGCGAATCCCAGAAGCCCTTGCCAGAAGACACGGACATGGCTGATGTCGATTTCGAGCATCTCGCAGACCAAGATGATGTCGCTGATACTCAAGCGCTTGGACAGGCTAGTGAAGATCAGGCAAAGGCTCTGGATCAAAATAAGGGTGTGGAATCAGACATCAAGCCTGGGGAAAGCGATGTGTTGCCAGACACTGGCGAAGAGCTTCAGGACTTCCAGGAGGAAAATATGCTGGAGGATGACATGCAGATAGACGGCGGAGTTTCTACAGAAAAGCAAACCGCAGGAGCAATCATCCCTGACAGCTCCCGTACTCAGGAGCGAACAACCGACGCTGCTGGTCAGCAGGAAATTAACGAGGAGCTGGATGAGGTCGACTCCCATCTGGCAGCCATCCACCTTTCGTCCACACTTCCTCCACTGACCCCCCGGGACGAAGCTCAGCGCCTCTGGTCACATTATGAGAATGCCACAAACGATCTCTCTCTATCGCTAACGGAGCAGTTGCGTCTCATTCTCGCCCCAACCCTTGCCACGAAACTACGTGGTGATTTCCGAACCGGAAAGCGACTGAACATCAAGCGGATCATCCCCTACATTGCTTCGCAATATAAGCGCGACAAGATCTGGATGAGACGGTCTATCCCCTCCAAGCGCAACTACCAGATCATGCTTGCCGTCGACGACAGCAAGTCTATGCTGGAGAGTGGCAGTGGCCAGCTCGCCTTCGAGACACTGGCTCTCGTCGCCAAGAGTCTGTCGATGCTCGAAGCTGGCGATCTGTGTGTCCTCGGCTTCGGAAGCGAGGACCATGTTCGTGTAGCTCACGAGTTCGGTAAACCTTTCTCTTCGGAAGCCGGAACCCAAGTCTTCCAGCACTTCAGTTACCAGCAGACCGGCACGAACGTGCGCAAACTGATCGCGGACTCGATTGCTTTGTTCCGCGAAGCTCGCTGGAAGCAGTCGCCTGCTGGAGGAAACGCCGACCTGTGGCAGCTAGAACTCATCATCTCCGACGGTATCTGCGAGGACCACGAGACTATCCAACGGCTTGTGCGTCAGGCTCAGGAGGAACGGATCATGATTGTGTTTATCATTGTCGATGCAGTCAAGGGCAGCTCAATTCTGGATCTCACCCAGGCAAGCTTTGAGCCGGATACTGAGAGCGGCACAGGAGAGATGAAGTTGAAGATGAAGAGATATTTGGAAGGATTCCCCTTCCCGTACTACTTGGTGGTGCGAGATGTCCGGGAGTTGCCGGCTGTGCTGGCTACGGCTTTGAAACAGTGGTTTGCAGAGGTTGTTGATGTATCATCGTGAGTCACATATGGTTATGGTATAGATAAAATTGGGTTGGTTATTTGTATTTGACATGTTATTTTGTATATGTTCAGCATGCACAAGATCATTGAAGTTTTTCAGGAATTCTTTTTCGCCCTACCAAGAAATTTATAGCCTAGGTTGTATAGAACCCCAAGGTTAAGTCCTGCATGTCTATGCTAAATCGCATTTTCCACAAATTGGTATCAAATCTCACTCCACATAAACTCCAATAAAAATTACCAGCCGTATTTGGAACCAGCTTCCTTTTTGTTTCTTCGCCCAGTTGCAAAACTTTCCTCCAACGCCTCCTTCTGGGTGCTTGCTGCATTGACCAGCTGCTGCAGCGAATGTTTGCCTGGAGCGATTGCCCGGACTGGATTGTGCTGAGCGGCCGCATGGTCCGTCTGGTGAGCCAACTCCTGGTTGGCGATGTACTCCTTGTCCGTGTTGAAATGAAGAATGCGGGATTTGGACGGGTCGGCGTTGCGTCCGAAGAGCTGTCGCCGTTGGGCTCGGGATAGATTGAGGTCATCCGCAATGTTATCCAGTGTTTGGTCAGATGAGTCTGATGCGATAGCCGCGACTTGAGGGTCGGGCTGCGGTCCAGCTGGAGCGGCATCGGAATCAGTAGTAAAGACCAAAGGCTCGTACGTGGAACTCTGTGCTTGGAGTCCGGGGAAACTCGACGTTGTGGACTCTTCCGACGACAGAGAGAACAAACTAATCTTCGGTTTCGGCGCGACAGGCGGTGGCGGTGTAGGCTGTATGACAGCAGGCCCCTTGGACGGCCCAGAAGCCGTGTTCGTGTCGGTTGCGATGGGTGCAGAGGATGCAGAGGCAACTTTAGCCGGCTGTTTTTTTTTCTTCTGTGACGCTCGCCCGACGGATAGCGGTTTGAACATCATCGGGTTTCCTTTCAACTTGACCTCCTCCTTCGGCTTCTCGTCGCCCTGTTCCGCCCCCCGCGTAGCGCTCGGGCTGCCACCAGATTCCTCTCGGAGGCTCCCGGCCTTCGGAATCGTCTCGTCATCGCCCGCGCCTGCTAACGCATCATACGCCCATTCACTCCGAAGATCCGCGTCAGCCTCGCGATCAAACCCAGGTGCCGCCCCAGTCTTCAAACTGAATATCTTGCGCGCGGGTGCAGCGGCCTTCTTGTCCTTCTCCGCCGCGGCGGCTGCCCTCTTCGGAGCCGGTAAAAGTGAATTGAAGCCCGAAAACGCTTTGCCGCCACCTATCTTGGCTCGTTTTCTGGCCGGGCCATCTTCAGCCGTCTGGTCGTCATCCGCGGCTGAGCTTTCTGGTTTAATATCCGGTAGTGCAACGCGGATTTTGCGGGGATTGCCGCGGTCGACGATCGAGTGGAAGTTTGCGCCTGAGGAGGGTTTGGGGGGTGGCGGGGCTATTGTCTTGTTTGATGGCTGGGTGGGTTTTGTCTCCTGCTCTGAGTCTGAAGCTTCGGAGTCCGAGTATGACACGAGAGCCATGGTGATGTGGAATGCGGATAAGGTTGACTAGGTTGTCTGAATTGCGGTGTTGGAGATGGCGATAAAGCTGCATGGACAATACACGAGATGTTTTGTGACGGTACTGCACGTGCGATAGGGAAATATTCATGCCTAAATGCCAAGGCGTCATCGGGGATTGATTTCCATCTCGAGCTTCCACACACAGATGATCAACTCGATTGGAAGGTGACCCTATTACCGTGTAGGCCAAGACTGCACTCACTTTATATGTCACCCAGAGCATACGGAACATGAAGTCGGACTGCGAGGACATCAACGATTGTCGAGACGATGACATCATGCAAAGCAGCGAGAGACAGCTGATGATCAGATAAGATAAGAGTGACTAATCCAGCTCTACATCAATCTTCGATTCGCGGCGGCTTGCCATCATCATCAAGATACCCAACTCATTGCTTTACCCTCTACCCTAGTGTCCTCACTTCTTCATGATCGAGCACTTTCTATAATGCTGCTCCAGTCCTAAAGTCTCCACTGTACTGTCTTTTCCTAACTCGAACTCAACCCAGCCATGGAAACACCCCCGACCATGGACAACAAACAGGATCCAGACCAACCCGCCCAAGAAGACGAATACACGCGGTCCTCAGGAAAGCGAAAATTCCGCTTCAAATCCAGCTCCCGCCACCGCAGCGATGCACCCAGCAGCCATTCCCACCGCCACCACCACTCCCACTCCCACCGCCCTTCCAAACGCCACAAACACAAACACGCCGCGAAGCGCTCCCCCTCACCCGACCCCGCCAACCCATCCAACCTCTCCGCCGACGCTGCCTTCCGCGAATCCCTCTTCGACGCTCTCGGCGACGACGAAGGCGCCGCGTACTGGGAGTCCGTGTACGGGCAGCCGATCCACCGGTACGCGGTGCCGAGCGTGCCCAAGGGCCCAAACGGCGAGCTGGAGCAGATGTCCGATGAAGAGTACGCCGCGTACGTGCGGAGCCGGATGTGGGAGCGCACGCGGGAGGGGATGCTCGAGGAGCAGGAGCGGCTGCGGGCAGAGCGGGCGCGGCACCGGAAGCGGCAGGACCAGTCTGAGGCGGAGGCGAGGGAGAGGATGCGGTTTGATAGGGCGATGGAGGAGAGTTTGCGGCGGGGGAGGGAGCGGCGGGCGGTGAAGGCGTGGAGGGCCGTTTGGGAGGAGTACCAGCTCGCGTGGGAGGATGTGATTCGCGGGGTTGGTGCTGTTGCAGCGGGTGGTGGGGGGAAGAAACGGTTTCGAGATTTGGTGTTTTGGCCCGTTGAGTCAGGGAAGCGGAGGGATGTTTCGCGGGAGGCCGTGGAGGAGTTTATGCGCCGGGCTCCGGGGAGTGAGGCTCAGACGGAGGATGCTCCAGGCGGGGAAGACGATTCGTCTGATCTGCTGGCTGTTTTGAAGGCGGAGCGGATACGTTGGCATCCTGATAAGATCCAGCATCGGTATGGTGCGCTTGGGATCGATGAGACGGAGATGCGCAGCGTGACCGAGGTCTTTCAGATCATCGACCAGATGTGGAACGAGACGAGGGCGAAGCAATCGTGACTTGTTTTGGTGGTTCTTACGTAGTTACTTCTTTGTCGTTTTAGCATGATACCCTACGCTCGATATTTATCAGTTTCCGCTGTGCGCTACTTATACAAGCTGAGACATGCCATTATGTGGGCATCAACCATCCTTTAGATCCCAGTACACACTTGAACATCTGCAGCGACTGCTCATCAAGATCTCTTCATAACGGAACGACAGCAAAGACCAAGTTTGAAAACCAAACTGGCAAGTATGACACGGCTATGCATTGCGCGAACATGAAAACAAGAAACTGACTTCATACACATTCTTTTTTGACTGATTTTTTGTTTTTCTTCTCTTGCTATATCTGGCCATCCCCATGCGTCCACCTAGAACCGCGCGTAACGCTGCCTGGTCCGATAAGCCGTGAATCCGGCATAGGCTGCGGCAACGAAGGCGAAGAACATGACGACCTTGAACAAGAACCATCCCCAGCTGCCCTGCTGCTTCTGGTGCTTGACACTAGCCCGGTCCTTCTTGCCGTGGCTCGACGCGGGCTTGTTGGGAGTGCTGGCACGATTGCCGATGCTGTAAAGATTCTGAGCCTTGACGGAAACGATGTCGTGATTATCGCTAAGTTCACCGGTTTCGGCGGAGAAGCCCAGGTAAGAAACAGAAGGAATGGCGATGTTGGCGTCGGGAGCGTTCAAAGTGAAGCAGTTGACCCAGGTGTCTTCCGACTTGTACTGCAGGTCCAGGGTCAAGGACTTGTCCTGGAAATAGGTGAGGCGCGCCTTGGTCGGGATGGAGGCGCCGCGAAGACCACGAGCCTGGACAATCATGTTAGCGCCAAGCCTCCTACTGTGGGTATTAAGCCTTCGGGGAAGCACTCACAGAGCATCCAGCAAGTTCGTTAGCCTTTCCATCATGAGCCTGGTCGTAGTTTGCCTTGCCATCGCCCATCATGGCCATAACATAAGGAAACGAGGTGCCCGGGCGGTTATTCTTGTACGTGTCGAAGAAGATACCGAGACCTTCAAAGTTATCCGCCGATCCAAAGACAGGACCCTGGGTCGCGCGCTGCTTAGTGAGCCACATGGCGAAGCCATCGCCATGCAAGTTTCCTTCTCCGTGGATCTTGAATTCGACCTCAATCTAAACGCCCAAGTCAGAACAAAAGTGCCCTCATCTAACCACGCGTTAGATCTACCACGAACCTCCCAATTTGTTGCGGTGAGCGGGACCCGAGAGAAGATCCATCCTTGTTGCGACGGCCGATCGGAAGTCAGACGGATATACCTGTTCATGTTTAGTGTGAGTCCTTCCCATCTGTTTCGCGGCTCCAGTGACTGTGCGGGGAGTGAGGGGTGTGTAGATCGCATACCTATCGGCACGAATGATTGTATCGCCGCCAAAATCGAACCAGCGGCTTTGGAAGTCTGAATCCAGATATGGCTGTATGAGGTCAATGAGACAGTTTGCTATGGGGATTCAAGCGAACGCCGAGGGACGGAGCGTGGAGGAACCAACCGGAGCAAGACTGTGAGTTCGAAGCTGGGGAGTAAGAGTCGCAGGTTAGCAGCAGAACGGAAGTGACACTGGCGCATTCGTGTGGGAGCGGGCCATGCATACCGGAATGCTTTTGATGTTCTCGTCACCCTCGTAGGCGTTTGTTACTGGCAGGGTAGCCAGGCCGGCAAGGCACAGAAGAGAAGAGAGCCGCGGCAGCAGCATGATTGATGTGATTGAACGGTGGCGGAAAGACTGGGACGAACGATTGTAGATTTTTGCGGTTACGTAGAAGTTCAAAGAATTGAAAGTGAGAGTAGCTCGCAGCTAGCGATCAAACGCATAAAAAAGTTCTGGTCGATCTGAGTGGGCGGATTTGACCAATGTCACCGGGACATGCAGCGAGCTGTAGACAAGTATACCAGATCAGTGGGAAAAGGTTGGCCTCGGAAAGCAACAGTTCGAGGGGGGGAGAACACAGTGAAAGAGTGAATGATAGTATAGATAAAGAAGAAGAAGAAGAAGAAAGAAGAGCCGTTGTACTCGACAAATTATTCCAAGGTTGTCGACAAGTCGAATAGAGACAAGGATGCTCTGTTCCATCACCAGTAAACATCCAAGTGTCCACATCGTCCCAGCTGTGGCGCAGCTCCCTCGACTCGCGCTCCCCGATTGAGGCGCTTGTTCCGTGCTCCTCCAGCCACACCTCCGAAAGAAGAATCCTGTCGGCGTCATTTCGCCCTACCATGAAAGTTGAACTCCTCTAACTCGAGTTCAATCAATCATCTGCTACTCAACGCCCATTTCTCTCCACCCCACACAATTCCTCACTCACAACAATCACAATGGCCATCTGGGGATCCTCCAGCTCCAACGCTGCCTCCAGCAGTGAATCGGAGATCAAAACCTCGCTCATGAGACAAGTCCAGCAAGAAGCCGCCATGGCCAACGCCCGCTCTCTCATCAGCGTACGTCCCGTCCCAACCCAGCACACCCATCCACCCTCTTCCCCAGACATCTGCCCTTTCTTTTTCTTTGATTCGTCGGTTGTCCAGGGAGGACGGAGTTACAATATAGTTACCTGTCTTCTAACGCATCCCCCACAGAAAGTCAACGAGCACTGCTTCGACGCCTGCGTGCCCGCCCCCGGGTCCACCCTCTCCTCCGCCGAAAACACCTGTCTCTCGCAGTGCATGGAGAAGTACATCTCGTTGTGGAACACCGCCAGCCGCACGTACATTGCGCGCGTGACGGCTGAGAGCAAGAAGCTGGGCGGCCAGGATACCATTGCCATGAACGAGTTGGCTACCGCGCCCACGGGCTCGAGTCTGTAAGCTTAGCTAGCTTTTTTGTTTTTCCGGGGAGCCTGTGGATGAGGGGAGGGGGGAGGAGGATAGTTGACGGGTTTGATGGTTCGAATGATGGTTGAGTCCCGTGTCCGTGACATTGTGGGATTAGCCTAGGAGGGGAGGGGGTGTTCGCTTTTGCGCCGCTTTTCTTTTTCACGCCAGGGATGGTCCTTCGGAGGGGGATGGGGCGTCGTATGTCTTTCTTGTCCCCGAGGGTATGGCATTGTACAACAATATATGGGCGGATAGAATTGTAGAGTACTCGGTCGGAAAATCCAATTGCAGAATCTTGGCAAGCATGTTTGATGGAAGGGCCATTGACGTAAGTCTAGTTTGATGACCATGGGGAAACTTATCAGAACTCATGGCTACCTTTTTCCGTTCATCATTCAGGATGGCGATGATATGTACATTATACAGGAGTCGAAAAGAGAGAACATGAAGACGACGATGTGTCATCTTCACCCCCAAGGTCACGACACATGCCAATGGGAAGTCCCAACTGGACGTGAAGAATAAGATGGGAAACAAAAAAAAAGAGATCGCCTTGCTAACTCCCCAATATCAGCCACAATATACATCACATCACACAGAATCCACAGCCACCAATATCAAGCTGACCATCCAGGATCCAATAGCCGGCCCAAGAATGCCCCTGCAACGAACACCAATATCCCTCCAACATAGTTCAAAGACTAGCTTCGAACCCAGCACTTGAACAAACGACTCAATTAAACGCCATCTCGGAGTCTAGAGAAGCACGTCGAGGAGCGTTAGGCAGAAAAGAGTAACAAACAAGATCCACTGAAAACCACCAAACTTTTGCGAAAAGAGCCAACTGAGGCTAGCAGATACCTCTCTGATCTGCTATCCTCAGGTCAAGGACAATCGAACCACATTGTCGACGATGACCTGATAGTATAGTCTTTCAAAAAAGACGGAGAAAAAAGACAGGTGGAATAGAGGTCAGTTTCATTTCAAGGCTATAACAATAGCTAGCTCATCTCAATCGTGATCGTATTCTGTCAACAATCGATCACGAATTGGCCATCACATTTCAAGCCGTGTGTCCCTTATTAAAAGTCGGGGAACATATGACCGTGTCTGCAGGGTGCTGTTAGTAGCTGCGGGGCCCAAAGTCAAGCGGGAGAACTTACTGGTCTTCACCCTCCTGGCCGTATTGTTCGGTTTCCTCGGGATAGCGATCGTACTGGCTGGCATCACCCTGGCCACCGCGAATGGGGGGCACATAGGGGGCATCGATGTCCTTTCTTGCCAGACGATCCCAGGTCACCTCAGCGAACCAAGGATGGTTCTTGACATCCTCGGATCCACCATGCAGATTACCCAGTCGCTTGGTCAGGTCTGCGGTGATCAGCTGCGAGAGAAGGTCCACGGCATCTGGATGAAGGTATGGCGGATATTTGACGCGACCTCGGAGAATGTTCTCGTAGATCTTGACCGGCGAGCCACTATCCCAAAAGGGCGTGAAACCGCACAGCATCTCGAAAATCAAGATACCCAGTGACCACCTGAAACAACAAATCAGCCAACTCCACTGCGACAGCCCAATTCCCAGAGACGGAGAGAGAGAGAGAGAGCGAACTTACCAATCGACTGATTTATTATATCCTTTAGACGACACCACTTCCGGGGCGAGATAATCAGGCGTTCCGCACAGAGTCCAGGTAATGTCGGGCACCTCCTTCGCAAAGCCAAAGTCGGTGATCTTCAGGTGGCCATGTCGGTCGAGGAGCAGATTCTCCGGTTTCAGATCGCGATAGATAATTTGCTGGGAGTGGAGGTACTCCAACGCCAGAGTGACTTCGGCGGCATAGAATTTGGCGACCGGGTTGGGGAACCGCTGCGAAAGGGAAGCCATGACATCAGTCTTCCAAAGCTCCATTGATGGGGACGACCAACAGAACCAAAAAAAAACAAAAGGAAGAAGCAGAAGCAGACTCACCTGGGATTTGCGCAGCAGACTGAACAATTCACCCCCCTCCACAAAGTCCATCACCATGTAGAGATTCTTGGAGTCCTGCCAGGTACCCCACAAGGTGATCAAGAACGGATGCCGGACGCGATTGAGCATCCGCCGCTCATCGTTTGTGTGCTCGACCTGCTTCATCTTGACCACCTGCGCCTTCTTCAACACCTTGATCGCATAAAACCGGTGGTTATGTTTTGATTGCACCAGGTGCACGCGACCAAAACTGCCCGTACCTAGTGTACGCTGGATGGCGAAATCTTCCAGGGAGTATTTCCCTTTGGTGGTGCGGGACTCCGCCCGGGTGGCCTGCTGAGCGGCGGCCTGGCCTTCGGCAGAACCCTGTGAAGACGCATGCTGTGAAGGATGGATTATATTCTGTATACTGGCGGCATTGGTGTGCTGCGAATGCTGGTGATGTGATTGTTGCTGTTGTTGCTGCTGTTGTTGTTGTTGCTGCTGCGACTGCTGGTGCTGCTGTTGCAGATGGTGGAGGCCCGCACTGTGGTGGGTGGAGGAGTGATGGGGTTGCGTCACGGCGGATTGCATGGATGCTGGTTGGTCCTCGTGGGAATGATCGGTACCTGCAGAAGAGGAATGGAACTGATTACTGGAGGAAGATGGCTGAAGATGGTGATGGTGAGGCTGAGTCGAGGAGGTTGCGGAATTGTTACTGGTGTTGTTACTGGAGGCGGACGATTGATGGTGGTGCTGAGACTGAGAATGGGGGGTTTGAAGATGGTGGTGGTCGGCCGAGTTGGGTGACGTCTGTGTCTGGGTGGTTGCGGGTGACGAACCTGATTCCAGTTCTTTGGAGAGAGTATGCGAATCTTTCGTCCGCCGTTTCTTCAAAAGACCTCCTAAAGTAGGCATCGAGGATCTGGATCTGGATCTGGGGGATGGATTGAATGTTGTCACTGTTCAGTGGGTTCGAAGGAGAGAAATAAGGTGAAACAGAGAGGTAGAAGATGAAGAAAGGGTAGAAAGAAGGAAGAGCCAAATGTGGGATGCTAACTGTGTCTTGTCCTCTTTTCTGGCCCTTTCTTTTTTTTCTTCCTTGAGCTGAGGAGCGAAATGAAAGCGAAGAATCAAGTTGGAAGCCCCTCTTTCTTCTCTGACTGTTGAAACGAAACGAAACGAAACTGAAAAAGGAGGGGCGCGCCGATTAATAGATGGATAGGTAGGTAGTTCCTTTTGCTCTCTTTCAACTCTGATGGTTCCGGCGCGGACCCAGCGGACGAGAGGCTAAGTGATCAGATCAAAATCTTGATTCAATTTCGAAAGAGAGCGGGATTGAATCGAGTCTCTTTGATCTCTGGGCTTTATTCCATTCGGATTGTTTCCTATATATAGAGGGTTTTTTCCTTAATTCTAAATGATCCTTGTCCTCGTGTGACAGGACTCACAGACCATCGCGATAACTATGTAGGATCTAACAGAACGTGTGTGGTCGAAGCTGGGGAACCCTCAGGCATCGAGGCATCCAGGCCACCAGGCCACCAGGCCATCCAAGCGGGGACAGTTCTCGATGTGAATGATGACGATGACGATGATGGCGATGATGGCGATGATGATGCTTCTTCAAGTCCTTTCGACGAGGTCATCACTCGACTCTATTATTGCTCTTCTTCTGTATCCCATACGATTCTTCACTCACACACACTCTCTCTCTTTCCCTGTCTTGGCCGGAAATTGAATTCCCATCCTCCCATAGATCCTCCGTCGGTTAATCCAGACAAAACATACATAGTAGAATGAGATCATCACTACCGCCTGGAGTGATGTATGTGTCTTACTACCTTTTTATTTTTTGCTTCTCTGTCGGAACAAGACACTACTACATATTAACTAACCTAACAGTAGTAGTCGTTATCAATTGTCACTCCTCCATCTAGTGTCCATCTCCCATCGTCTATCTACCCCTGAACATAGGTACAGTGAGACAGGTCGCAGCTCAGGCCTTCTTGGTGACTTCATCACCTGCGGACCCGCCCACTGCCCCGCTTCGGAGTCTTGTCGATTCGGTTATCCATATTATGATTATTATTGAATTAGGTGGGTAAGTACTAAGTACTATGTACCAAGTAGTTAGGATGTACTAGGGAGGCAAATCTGCCTATGGTTTGATATGGTAAAACCTTCAGCAGTGAATTAATTGGGTAGTAATGCTTCATTTCGTCGTGATTTGCTCCCACATACCGAGGGGTAATCGCATACATAAGTACTAGGTAGTTATACACTTAGAAGTTAGGGGAAGCAGCAGAGAAAATCATCTCCGACACCCTAGTCCAGCGCCAATAAACACCATTTCCGTGAAGGCTCAAAAGAGTACACACCCAGGACCAACTCAACGTAACCTCGCTAAATGCGATAATGCGCCATGTTCTTCTTGATCTCCTCCACAATCTCGTTGGCCTCAACCGCATTCCGCGCCTCGAAATCATATCGCTTCTGCTCGTTGGCATCGTTGCCGCGCAGGACAACCACCCGGAAATTTTTCGGGTGTCGCCGACTCACCTTGCACCCGACCACATCGTTGAAGCTGATCGACCGAGTCTTGGTGTCCGAGGCCGCCTTGCCCGTGTCCCCCGGCATGATGTGCATGTAGTCGTTGTCAAAGGTCAGGATGCGATGGTTCGACGTCGTAAAGGACATGGACTGCTTCCGAAATACGTGGTAGCGCCGGTAAGAGCCACCCGTAAGGTCCTGCTTCTGAGTAAGGGGATGCAGCATGCGTGGCCCGCTCTTCTTGCTCTTCTTGCTGGCAGCCGCTTGTTTGCTGTCAATGAGGAGAGGCGCGTTGGGCGAGGAGCTGCCCGGTGATCCCGTCAGTGACATGGGACCCGCCCCGAAGCGGCGTCGTACGAGGTCCAACTCCGTTATATTCCCCAGCGCCTCCACTGTCCGGTCCAGTGGCGCAATCGTGTTTGAGCCCGTCACTCGAAGGATGTAATTGCCCTTGTCTAGACCCCATCGTTTGCAGACCGAATCGAGGATTTCGGCGATGTAGCTGTCGGTGGATGTGTTCAGTGTCGTTACGTGAGTGGCCGCCTCCAGATTCATGAACCGAATCTTGAGCGTCTTCGAAACACCCATACGAGGTGTGGCATGGTACGCAGGTACCGCAGGTCGATCAGCTGGTGTTAAGGTATTGTCATTCAAGGCAGAGGAGAAGGGTTGTCCCAGTATAGGGTTGGGGCGGGGCATTGGAGTCTTCATTTGAGGGCTCGGCTGATTGGATGGAGCAGTGGGCGCAGTAGGCGTTGTAAGACCGCCGTCCTCTGTAGGCGACTCCTGGCTGTAATGCGGGAATAGCTTCTCATTCTCCTGGAATTCCTCCTCTGAGGCTTCTACCAAGGCGAATTCATCATACTGCTTGCCTCTCACTCGGCCCCTCGCACCGGCAGCTCTGTTGTTGTTGGATGCAAAGTCTGCAATGTGGGATGCTCGGCTCAACGGGGGGAAATCATATTCCACTTCTCCATCTTCCACCATCCGGAGAGTCCACCGGTTGACATTCAGTTTGCCCCGCTCGATACCCGGCTGACGAGCTTCTTCCGAGTACCTCCAGAGCGCCAAGCCGATGGCCTCGGCAACAGTCGCCGGTGCCGGTTGCTCTGAAAGCTTGGACTCTCTGGAAAGCTGTAGGTCAAGTGGTTCCTCAGGATCAGAAGAGAATGGAACATAAAGCTTGATGTTCAGGGCATCCGCCAATCCTTTACCGGAGAGTACCGCAAATTTCTCGACGGGGTTGGTGGGCGCTCGATTGCGGGCTTTCAGCGCCTGACTGAGTAGGCTTACTGATTGTAATACGCTGATAGGACGAGGTGGCGGTAGGTTTTGCAACTCCGGCGCTGGAGTTCTGGGCTTCCTGGGAGACGCAATCTGAGACCCAGCCCCGTTCTGCAATTTATGCATTAGGGCAACTGGTGAAGAAGAGTCCAAGCCACCAGTAAGCCCGACGTCTTCCAAAAGAGATCCCGAGCCAGCCGTCGCGTCAAAATCAGATGATAACGCCGATCCCACAGACTCCGCACCCGAGTCTTCTGCTGCCTCGCTGAGACCGCCGAGGGCCATAGCGCCCATGTTCCTATTGTTGACAGTCCTACGCGGGTTCTGAAACTCGATGATTTTATCCTCGGCCGAGAATTGAATCTGCCGCCTTTTGAACGAGGTATTCATGTCATTGGTCTCGTTGTCCGTAGACATATCGCTGCTAGTAGTAGTGTCGCGCCGTGGCCGTCGCTCATTCGCATTCACCGCACTACCAAGAGACCCTGTTCGAAAATGCGTGCCCGATGCTGGGTGCGAAGGTGACGTGACGGTGACTTCTGGCCCTTCATTGCGATCCGAAGAGCGGATTGGAGAGGATCCAGCTCGTGTTCTTATCGGCATCTTGGAGAATTGTATCTGAGAAGCCCTGCGACAATATCAGCACTGTAGTCCTAGCGAAGAGGCAAATCCAACCGTGACAGCAAATATAACATCGGGGTTGACGAACCTCCGGGTACTATCTCCGTCATCATCGCTCTCATCACTCAGATCACTGCTGTCGTCATCCTCTGCGTCCCTCTGTTTCTGCTGCTCGTTCTGCTGGCGGTCCCTCCGGCGAGTCCGTTTCCCACCTCGACCATGGGGTCGGCGGCCCAGCACATCTGTACTGCCTTTGCCAGTAACCATGCCTCCTTCCTCATCTTCTCCTTCATCTCCGAATCGGGATCTCCGCAGGGTGTTTGCGTCTCTAGAAGCGCCGACTCGATAATATTCCGAGGCAACGGCGGCCGTGGTGGGTATGGGAGGGGAAGCTGCTCGCTTCGCTTGGACCGCTGCAGCTTGGCTGCTGGGATTCGTGGAGCTCGAGGACCAGCCGGCTGCGCGAAATCCGGGCGTGTTGAGAACCGAATGATTGACGTTGATGAGCCTTTCGCCTACCCCATCTTTGATTGTAGAGAGGTATGAGGTGCGTACTTGCCAGATCGTAAAGCTGCCAATCAGTCAGTCAGTATCCGTGCCGCAGGAGCGGTGCGCGAAATGCCAGAGCAATGTAGAACTATCAACATACTCATCATTGTGAAGAAGCGACATTTTCCCCAACCGGTTGAAGACTGAGCCCTCAAGAGACACTCAAGTCAAGATAGGTAGGGAGGGAAAGGATCGAAGACAGTGGTGTTGCTGAGTCGCTGACCGCGATGATAAAGGCAATAAGTGCACCAAGGTCATGCGGTGGAATTTTTCGAAGATAAGAGCTACTCCATTTTAGCCAGGGCCAGCCTGCGACAGGAGAAGAAACACAAGATAAAGAATGTGGTGGTGTATGCAAGAATGTATTAATCTCACTTTATGAGGAGTAATGGACTGGTGGGTGGAGAGGGGATCATGTGGCGGTGCGCTCATCCACTACTCCGCAGATCAGCCAAGAGTCCTTTATGGTGAGGAGCAGCGCTTTCGCATCAAAATCTGGAGTATATCATAATGGTCTGAGCTTACATAGCTGGTTTGCAGATTCAACTCACGAACATCCTCTCTTACTATTATCCACAGAGGAATACATATAGCCTACAGAAGTGCTAGTTCACGATATCTATCAAATATCTTACATTAAGTACAGTCGAAGTAGTATCTATGCCATTTGCCTTGCAGCGCCCATAGAATCGACCTCCAGCACACTCCACAACATATCAAAACAAGAGTAGATAAGACATGCCTGTACGTAGTCCTCCAGCTTCAAATGTACTAAGTACAGATTAGGCCTTGGCCTTGGGCTTTCGCCCTCGCCCTTTTTTTGGCTTCTCGTCATCGTCTATAAAATCATCGTCGGCTTTGGTTTTTTTGCCCTTTTTGCCCTTGCTCGCTGCGCCTTTCGCTGCGGCCTTCTTGGGCAAACGGACGTACTTATCCTTCTTCAGGTCCAATTCCTCGTTCTCGTCGTTGTCCTGCACCTCGTCATCAAGAACCTCGGCCTCGTCTGACTCGTCAATGGCGTCTTCAATGTCAGGTTTCTCCTTTGGCATTTTCTTCGGTACTGCGACGCTGCTGGCCTTGATGAACGGCAGTGGGTGGGAGCGCTGGTTATACAGTCGTGTGAAGGTAGCCTTGGTTTGTGTTTCCAGCTTGACGTTAGATTCATCCATAGGACCAAGGCCAAGCTCAACGAGTGCATCCCAATCCTCCCGTGTAAGGAAGTAGCTGTCCATGAATTCAATGACATCTTCAACACTTTCTTTGCCTTCCTTCATCAACCTGCGGACCATATTATCCCACAGAGAAGGGATGTACTGCTGCCTGATCTCATCACGATCGGCAGATGCGCGAAGACGCATGTGGCCCTGTATTTCTTTGACATAGCGCCATAATTTTCCTGAAGATAGCACGTTAATAGGTTGTATACTCTGTTGCAAAAGGGTGACATACCTTGTTTACTATTCTGCCCCAGCCAGCTGGTGAAACCAGGGCGCTCCATCATGTTCCCGTAAACGAAACTGGCAGGGCGAACGAAACTGAAAACAGCATGTGTCGGCATAAGACCCCATTGTTGCTGTGTTCCGTGAATCATCCGGTCAACAAGGTCACCGTCACTGATGCTGGAAGCAGCATTGTCTGCTAATTCTAGCAGCTTGAGTTTCTGTTCCCTGCCTTGGTAGTTGTTTGCCAGTGTGGGTCTAGTTCTCAAATAATTCTCTTGCAACATCAGGTAGCTGAACTCATGATCGTTGAAGTAGAGCTCGATCTTGTCTCCCAAAGTAGTTTTGGAGCTGGGAGCAAATGTCTGAGCGTTCAGAATCTTGCCAACAATATCCCATGGCTTCAAAATAACATGCTTCTCCCATGCCTTGGACATTTGTTGTCCCTTGTCATAGTCGAGATTATGCTGATCAAGCTTCACAGTAGAGAGCATATTGATGACCTGCCGAATGTCGGAGTTTGTACCTTCAATGAGGCCATCTAGCACTGGTGGGGGGATTTTCAAGCCTTCTCTGAAACAGATAGTTGATAGCCTGGCTCGGATCTGTTCAGCTGTCGGCCGCCTGAACGGCAGCTCATAAGTGACATGATCGAAGGGTTTCATCTTCGGTAATCTTCGCTCATTGCAGATGAGAATTAAGGGTATATGGGTTTTCTTTGCAATCGCGGCCAGGGCACCGACACCCCCTCGATCGCCAGCCGACATGCCATCAACTTCATCCATGATCAAAACCAAATTTTTCTTTGCACTATCCACCTTCTTGCCCTCGCTAGAGAAATAACCTTGCAAGGAAGTTGTGTCAAGAATGTCACCAAGGCCGCTTTCCACAAGTTTTTTGCTTCTTGTGTCACTTGCATTCGTTTCAACGACATCGAAACCCTCAATTTTGGCTACCAGATGCGCTGAGGTCGTTTTACCTATACCAGGAGGTCCATGGATCATGACGGCGCGATAAATCCCGGAACCATCCTTTCCAGGCCTGGAGAAATTGACTTTTGCGTTCTTATGCCAATCATGAAGCCAGCTTTGGAGTTTCTCAACAGCAGTCTTGTTTCCACAGATCATGTTGATCGATGTGGGAGCATACTTCGCTGTCCAGAGCTGATCATCGGTTCTGGCAGCTTGGGAAGAAGACGGCGGTTGAGATCCCACAGGTGCTTTGGAAGCCAACGCTTCTTTGGCCTTCTGCCTGCGCTTCTCTTCTTCTTCAATCTCGGCAGCCATTGCTTTGATCTTCTCCTCTTCGACCTTTTTCTTGGCCGCATGTTTCTCAGCCGCCTTAGAGTCTCCGCCATTGGCTGGAAGTCGCCGGATCAGTTCAAAGAGGCCTTCTTCATTGATGGTTTTCAGTTTGTGATCTTGAATTGTCTTGAGCTTCTTGGGGCCAGCATCGCTCCCCAGAACAACATAACTTGTCTTTGAGCTTGGAGCTGTAGTGACTTTGCCACCATATTTCTTGACCAAGGCCTGTCCTTCATCCCGGCCAAGAGTATCAAGAACCCCTGTAAAGACAAAGGATAACCCTGCCAGGCAATTTTCTGCCCCAACAGGTAATTCTGTGCTCCCGCCCCCTACAGGATCCCTTGACCTTTGTGTAGCAGCAAAGTTGAATTTCGCCTTCTCACCCGTTGGTGGTGGTGGAGAAGGGGGTTTCACTGTTGGGATACTGTCAAAAATATCCTGAATCTCTTTACTTTCCGGTTGATCTTTTTGGGCAGCGGATCCTCTGGCCTTCTTGGTAGCAGGAGCCGAAGCGTTTGTCTTTCTTCCGGCTGCCCCTTTGATGGGTTTCGCAACCTCGTAGTCTTCATCCCGATCAACGGCCTCCGACTTTCGTTTCCTGGCTGTACGCGAACTTTTCGCCGGTTCGATGGGTGCGTCTTCCATGGCCACGTCTTCTGACTCAGGCGTAGTATCCTTCTTTCTTCGTGATGGCTTGCCGGCTGCTACGCTCGCCGGTTTGATCGCCATTTCCTCGAAGTCACTATCGCCCTGGTTGTGATCATCCTCCTCCACATAATCATCGTCATATTTTCCGGGTTTCCGGTACTCTGTCGCGTGAATGTCATCGTCTCCTAATCCCTCGTCGGCGTCTTCAAGAACGACAACGCTTCTCTTGGCGGCCCTGCGAGAGCGTCCTTTTGGTGGCTGCTCCAATTCTTTGCTGTCCTTCGTTTCTGGAGGTGCTTCGGTCCGGCGACTGGTAGCTGGCGTCTGATCAGAAGGCTCGGGTTCCTGTACCTTGATTGCAACGTCGCTTTTGGTAGGCCTGCCTCTCTTCTTAGAGGATCCGAAATAGTCCGATGTGGTTGTCGGCTCCCCCTTGGACTCGACGGGTTTACTTAGAAAGGGATGTTAGAGAAGCGAAAAGAGAATCAAAAGAGAACCTGGACGAGGCTTTACGTACGGTTTGCTGGGCGCCTTACCCTTCGGAGCGGAAGGCTTGGGAATCACGTCCTCTTCGTCCTCACTATCGTCGACAATCTTCCTGCTTCCTTCGATCTCATCAGCGCGGGGAGTTGAAGACTTCCTCCGGTAAGCTTACGCTTCTTTCGAGCGGCAGAGGCATCCTACAATTGAAGAAGTCAAAATCAGCATCACAAATCGAAGATAGAATAAATAAGAGAAGCTGTTTCCCGCTAAGCTTACTTCTTTCTTTGCTGGTGGTTTTGCGGGAGAAGCATTCGAGCCCTGACTGGACTTGCCACCAAAGAAGCTCCTAATATCAGCAGGCATGATGTCTATTTCAAATTCAACATGCTCTGCGATTGCAACGTTAGAGAAAAAAAATCACCGAAGAAAACAGAAATAACCACCGGCCAGGCAACCACAAGCTTTTTCTCTTCCTCGTTAATCACCTTAAGCTCGCCTGCGAAACGCGAATGACGCGCCTGGAACCTACTGGGCGACGTGATCTAATTTAGTTACATAAGCAGGGGCTCAGTGGCACGTGCGCGGCACACTCTGCCATTTTGGGACTGCAGAGACATCGGACATGCAGATACGCCGATAGCCAGAAGTCTGTGGTCAATTGTGCCTGTATATCGTGTGCAGAAGACCCGGCGTCAACTTTCGCAATGGGTCCTCAATTGAAGATGTTTGCTGGGCCCCAGATGGCCTTTCTCCGGCCTACATGTGAGTCTTTCCGACAGAATTTCTCATCTTGTCTTCGTGATTAACTGACTGAAATTGCACAGGTCTATCGACACCCTTTGCAGCTCTGCCATTCGCACGATGCTTCTCGACAACCACACCGGCTCTTGACTGGCTGACGCCAAAGTTTATGGAAAAGTCCAAGTCTCCGAAAGGTCGTCCACATGTTGCTACCGGCGGATCTTCTCGGGGTACGACTGTTGTCTGGGGTGACTATGGTTTGCGGATGAAGGATCACGACCGCCGACTCCCGGCGGCTTCGCTCAAGCTTGCCGAGGAGACAATCAAGAGACGGCTGAGGGGTATGAACTATTCGTTGTACAAGCGGGTCAGTGCCAACATTGGTGTCTACACCAAGGGTAATGAACAACGTATGGGTAAGGGTAAGGGAAAGTTCGACTACTGGACTGCAAGAGTGCCAGTAAGCAGAATTGTTTTTGAGCTCAAGGGTGATCTGCATGAGAAGATTGCGAGGGAAGCTTTCCGCTTGGCGGGTCACAAATTGCCTGGTATGATTCTCTTCATGATACTAAATATACAAAGGTTCAATACTGATACCCTCCTTCTGGAATAGGTCTCTGGGAATTTGTCAAGAAGGGCGACCCTCCTGTCGTCGGCCTGACAAAGCTCGGCAATGGTGTTACTCTTGAAAGCCTCAAGCGACCACGAAGAAGTCCAGCCCTCGGATCAAATGATATGGCCACACCACCCTCCTCCACCTCCTCCAGCCCCTCCGCTTCTCAATAAATTACCGTCACCACTGTGCCACATTGCTCACGCATGCTTTTGCGCCGGTTAAGCACCAACGCCGGAACCAGGTCCATATCCTTGTTCTCTTCTGGCCTTCGCTGGTGCTTCGTCCTCCTTTAGGTCTTGTGTATATTACCATTAGCCCCAGATTCTTTTTATGTCTGTATTTCCACCCATTTTATGTCCTCTTTCTGGAGTTAGATAGAAGGGGAAATTGAGAGTACCATACCTTTATCCGTTTCTCCAGAAATATTAGTTGTTTCTTCTCCCAACTCAAGTTTTTGTGCTTCCTTATTGTCCTCCTCGTTGAACGTTTCACTGGGCTTATCGGAGTCGAAATAAATCTTCATTTCACTTTCTGTATGCGGAGAATTTGCTAGGTTCGAGTCAGTTCTGTACTCCGTTCTTTTGGATGACATAGATAGGTAGCATACCACCAAGCTGCCCTGTCTGCTTTGCGGGTGGCTGCGTGAATAAACGGATAGATTCATATCTGTCCTTCATCATTAGCCTAATTTATTACAGAGAGAAATCAACTCTTCATGTTGTTCAGGGGATGTATACTGATTGCTCTCTCCACCTGGTTCGATGTCGTAAAGGTTCGAGCTGGACATGGTGATGCGCTTGCGTTCTCAAGGTTATATCTAGTTTGGTCTTTAGAATTGATGTAACAGTATCACTAGTATTGATCTCTCAAAACTTTGGAGATTGTTGGGAAGGTTTTCAACTGTCTTGCGGGTTACGTCTACTTATTCAACGGGTCATAGCAGGTATGACGTAGCGCTTTCTCTAACGCTTGCAAGCAACAAGTTCAGCTATCAAGGAGTTCATCCATGCTGTTTGAGTATCAATGAGACCTGATTCTGCAAAGAGATTCAGACCAAGTTTTGTCTTATTCAGTGTGCATCGTTGAATGGATTGTTCTGTACTAACAGTAGTAGGTCAAGGAAACCACTTCAATAACCTAAATGGACATACCTAGTAAGTTGTACATCAAAAGGGACTTTTGCCTGATCATTCAGTATGGAAAATCACGCGGTTCAGGATTACAGTATTCTAAGTCAATAGGATGATGCATCCAAGGCCTCTATTTTTTCTGGAAATGCTGCCATATTATACATTCATTAATCGTTAGAAAATGTAGGTTTAAAAGTCCATACCCATCAAGTAACTACGTCGCTCGTTAGCATCCGAAATGTATAGCCTGTTATTATGGAGTCACGGAACGAACCTCTCGTAGATACGCATGAACTTGGCAACGAATGCCTCCAGGTGAAAGATTACTTTCTATTCGGCCGGTTAGCATCCCTGTCCATGCCCATCAGAATGTCAGTTCTTACGCTTCCTTGCGTGATCCTATGTTCGTAGAACGCAGACCATTTGATAACATCAGGCTTCAAAGAGTCATCGACCTTCGAAACGAGCTTGAAAGTCAAAGTCTGTGAACTGGTCAGCACAGAGCACTTCCAACAGTCCTCGAGTTGGGCAATCCAACCTTGATGATAGTTGTAGGTGGTATACAGTGCGTCAAGAGGTCGTAAAGCCGTGCGCGGACCTGCAGTAATCGAGCGGGAGACCGCTCTGCAAGAATCTCATCTGCAATCAAAGAGATAAGTGCTTCCCAATCGGGTGGGGGAATTGGAGTGTTGTCCGTGACCTTCTCACTGGATCATTTCAGTTAGTCGTAAATCAGTACCTCCTAGCAGAACATGTCCACTTACGTCTGCGCATATATCGCTTCGAACATGAGTAGCGCTCGCCGAAGGTTACGTTCGCTTTCTTTGGCTATCCTCTGGTTGAGACCCGGAGCCTCAGGCCAGCCTTCCTTCTTCCCAGCATTCTCCAGAACCTCGCAAATTTGCTCTTCGGTAGGTGCCGCAACCCTGACCAGCAGGGTTCGAGAACGGATAGGAGCAATGATGTTCGAGGTACTGTTTGCAAGCAAAATCAGCCTCAGATTGGGGCTGTATTTCTCCATAGTCCGTCTCAGTGCTGCCTGTGCATCGCGGCTTAAATGATCCGCCTCGTTGATGACAACAACCTTGAATCTTTGTTTTGCGGAGAGGTCAACCTGTTGTGTTTGTGCGACTTCTTTGAGCAGCTCTTGGACAACCACACGGTCATAGTTGCCAACATCGGAGGGGGTGATCTCGAGGTGATATACAGACGATACGATGTTGAATTCGAGTTTGCGGTTGCTTGTCGTTTGGAAAACCCTGGCGTCAATCTTGATCTTTTCCACGCCGGGGCCGTACAACTCTTTCAACGTCGCAATCACACGGGTCTTCTTGCCTGCACCTGAGGGTCCGTACATCAGGAGATGCGGGAAATCTCCGCTTTGAGCCTAGCAAGTTCAAGGTGTCAGAGAAGTCTTATCCATGTAGTCCAGCCATTTTTTTTTTCTTAAGTTTCCTTACCAGTGACTTCAGACGTGCAGAGAGCTCATGGTGGTAGGAGAGGGCATCAAGCGAACGAGGTCGCAATCTGTCGACCAGGAGAGCCATTATGGTGCCGTTTGGTACAGTCTCAACAGGAAAGTCTGCTATGTAAGTCTTATCACGAATAAGTCAAAAGACCGCTTTGCTTTGTGGTCTGCGACTGAGTATTCCAAATCGCTTTGATCGGATTGAGACGCGTCGAGTTGTGACGCGTGAGCTTAATTGATGGACCGTGCACGGAGCCGCCCCAAGTTCTATCATATACACGTGATCCATGAGGAACCACTTCATTCGCTGCTCGCAACACTGAATCATACCTTACAGTAGGCCTCGTCTGCAATTAGAAGAAATGTCTTAGTAAAGGGTGTTCAATATGACTCGCTGAGTATCTGATTTATACCGGTTGATTGTAGATACAAGAGGCTATGTACAGTATATGCATTGGTATGATACAAAAAAGAACTCAAGAGATGCTGTTGTCTAATATTTTACATTCAAGTGGCTGTTTTCGGAGAGGAGATGAGTCACTGTTCATCAGAATGAATAGGCAAGGACGAGCAGTGTACAGAGGCCTTCATCGGAGGTGAATCGGAAGGAGCGAGAATTCTTTGAAGTTCGAGGCCGGCTTCAGGGACGCAAATCCGTGCTACAACACTGTCAACCAGCTTAGTCAAAGCAAGCGAGAACGACTTTGAAGCATGGCGAGGATCATTTAAACATGAGTATTAGTTGCTGGTTATAGGTCTGAGGACACCGTTATCGTCGTATTTCGCTTCTGTTGTTTCATTAGCAATCTGTTTCGGCCCCATATTTCCTACAGCATTCGCCGAAAGATGATCTCTTACTGAAGAATGTGTACGACAGGGTGATGGTGTCGATGCCCTTCATAGCCGGATCTGTGGCAAAATCTGGGTCGATGAAGAAGAAGACCGGCATGTCCACGGACTCCCCGGCGTTCAACTTCTGTTCTTCGAAGCAGAAGCACTGGATTTTGCTGAAATATGGAGCCACTTGTCCCGGTGTCACACTGTATGTTGCAACGCCGATGATGTCCGTGGGGCCTTTATTTGTCGCGGTATAGAAAGCAAGCGCGGTTTCCCCAGGCAATACCCGGACTTCCCGCTGCTGAGGTGTGAACTTCCAGGGCAGCACGTCCGAAACCGAACCATTGAAGGTAATTCGAAGGCGACGAGCATCGGTCACTGGAGTTACCCGATTGGATGTATCGCCATCACCAGCGCGGTGAGTCAGGACTGGTTGACCGTTCCAGCCCATCTGTTGGCAGATCTGTAAGGAATAATTGTTAAGCTTCGTAGCTCATTAAAAAGGGCTTACGGTCATAGCGTACCATCTTATATAGAGGAACGGAGGCATAAGCAAGTGCTAAAGTCCCAAGAAAGAGACTGGCAGTATAATACCTAGACAAAGTCAGAAAATATCGCCGATTGAAAGTCGTATCTCGTACATTACGGATGCATTGCGTTTTTGCGCCTGGGGTGTATTGAAAGGCGCGGAAGAACCACTCTGATGTACATTCTGGCGCAGGAACGAATTGTGGGAGAAGAATTTCCTCCCAGTGTCAAAGCAACGTGTTCTAGAACACACAGATGGCCGTAATCCGGCCATCGCAGACGGGAGCTGCGTCCCTGGAAATGCTATACGACTGAACATGACTGTGAAATTGACTGATTTGCAGATATGTTGGGGATGTCATTCTTCTCGACAATGGGCTGGGACGAAGATCCTGTCACGTGACGTAAGCTTGGCTTCGGTTACTATCTTATCGATAAGGAACTGGACAGAAAGAAAAAATCACGTGAATGTCGGATTGTGCTTTGTATTTCATCCGTCTAGACCGTACCTCTGTATAGATTCCTCAAAAGTCAAGCTATAGTGAGTGATCAGCAATCACATCTGAGGCTTCTTTACTAGCCTGATATTGGGCCGTGATGGCAGACTTGCTTGCAACTTTCTAAGCCAGCCATGTGACAAATTACGGTGAACTTTTGCAACCTGGAGTAGTGACCACAGGAAATAGTAATATTTGGTACAGGGAAATATACTTGGAGGCCACTCTTGCTCTTTAGTTGTGCATGCAGGAAGTTTCTTCAAACCAGCTTCAATTCCCTTCTTTCCCAGGGCAAAGCATCAAAAATAGCATGGGAATCAACTTTCTCCTCGCCCCACACTGCTTTTTTCTGGAGCCGGAAAAATCCAACCCTTGCGAAAGCATCGCCTCTCTCTGTGGTTTTCAGAACCAGGAGATCACAGAATCCTCGCTCAGCGCTCCATGATTCTTGCACCCTCCATGCGTCTCCTTGCACTATCATGCAAACATGGTGTTGAATCTGGCTGTTAAACTCGGCGAGGTCTGCCCGCTGAGTCTCCTCGGGCCTGGGGCTACAACACGGACAATCAAACATCTGTGACTGGTCAAGGACCATTGTAACGTGGAACGCGTCCTGATCAAACAAAGCCCCTGTTAACTTCTGAACCCCAATGCACGAACCCTCGATGACAATATGCGAGCCCTCTTGTAGAACCCCGTGAGGGCGAGATGGGTCGGCGAGTATCATGTGGTGAGAGACCAGCCGGGGTTGGTATCTTTTAATCCAAAATGGATTGTCGGCATGCCCTTGCATTAAATCCTCTGGCCACGATAAACAGAGTGAGTCAACAGTGCCATCGATACTGGCCCAGCTCCAGCTAGGTGCTCTGTACTGAGATGTTGGTCGTAGAAGGAAGTAGGGCCGAGCCCATGCCAGCCCGAAGGCTATCTCTTTGCTCCAGGTACCTGCTAGGTACTCGCCCAGAGTTCCGTCGTTAAATACATATGCAAGAGGGGCCATGATGAGCAGCTTGTCCGATGGTACAGTGACCGAACCACCTGAATATGCATTGACACAGCGATGCCAGGCCTCAAGTCGTGCCACTTGTTCTGCACCCTTACCAATGCTCCTGGTGTCCTTATCCCGGCCCTGAATGAAGTCATCGATGTACGGCTGAACGACCTTTTTGGCATAGTGCTGTCTAGCCTGTCCAGAGCCTGTTTTGCTGTCGAGGATCCCGGAAGCTTCGAATTGGAAGCCTGATGAACACTCCCAGATCAACTGGTGCTTTGTGAAGTGGGCAATACGAGGAGTCAGCATCCTTTCAACAATCCCCCATCCACGTTTCGCCACTGCTGACTCTTCTATATATGATGTCCATCGCAGATGCTTCTGACGAAGGTACCTGTCTTTCTGGTGACCAAGTGCAGGAGAATAGTAGACCTGTCTGTCATGAAAAAGCCCTGAACTCGCGTCTTCCCCGGCTGTTGCTACAAGCATCAGGGCTGCTTGGCCGTAGATAGATACTACCTTAGCTGGGTCTTTTTCCCAGTCATCTCTGGAGATGCAGAGGGTCCGACTCCATAGATATCGATATCCTAATCGACGGGCGACATCAATTCCATCTACCATGGTCCTAGGCAGTGAATCCACATCCAGGATGGTAGAATCGCTGTCTCCTAGTTCCTCCTGAGTTGAATGAATATCATCGGAACAGTAGCTCAGAATCACGTAGGCACCTGATCTACCATTTGATGAGCACAACCAAGGCGCAACCGTCGGATCTGGCGAGATTTTAATGATTCTTTGTGGCAGAGGCACAGCAGTTGCATTTGTGCAGCTGTCATGGGTAGCACACTCGGCACTCCAAGATCGAATCTGCGCAAGGCACTTTTCATCTTCAGAATTGACTGGAATACGTCGAACACAATCCACGTCCTCGTCTCGGGGCCCTGCGCAAATCAGCATCTGCACCCATATACAACCACGGAGTAAGAGAACGCGGCTAACACACCCTCATGATCTTCCGAAACACAGAGGTCCAAGCACAGGTCATCCACGGAGTACACGCAGGAATTAATTGCGGTTGGTCTTCTTGCGTCAAGACGAAGACTATCGAGGAAGATTACTCGTTCGGAGAGCTCGTCGAGTTTTGTTCTCCAGCGACTTGAAGTCTGCAGCACATTCTTGAAGAATCTACAGGCGTCGCAGCCATCAGCCGCTCTCGCCTGAATTTCTTTGAAGGCGCCCAGTTGGGTCCCGATTAGACCGGACTTGTCTTCTTCAAAGCTGAGAGAGTTACAGATTTCGCATAGAGTCATTATGAGTAGTTATATCGGTAATAGGGTAATCTTGAAACGGTCTGGTGGTCGGTGAAAATGAAACTAGACGATGCCATTGTGTAAGTTATGGTTGCCTGAGTATGGCTGAGTTCTGGTAGCACTAGCCAACTACGCTTGCCGCATAAGAGTAAGATATCCCGCATAAGAATTAGATATCTTTGCCTGAGTTGAATGGGACTCTTAGAATGAAATAAATGTTGGTACTTGTAGGTCTCAAACGACATTGACAGATCCGACACTAACATGTTGGCTACAATCTAATCTCCATCCATCGATTTGTAACCAATATGCCGCCTAGAACTTTGGTATACTTAGGTACTAGGAGACGGACAACTTCGTCTCTCTAAGGATATAAGTTAATAAAAATGTTTCGATTCAAGATCCCGTCATGCATGGTCCCCTGAGTTGAATGGGATGGTGTATCACTTCAATACTCGTGTTGCAATTCTACCGAAGACACCTCTAACCATCTTGGGCTGTTCATGAAGGTAAGCAAAGAGGATGGCAGCGCTAAGCGCGAAAGTAATGCGCTCTCGGTGCTGATACTGGACCGAGAAATGAGATGTCAGAGACCGGTGGAAGCGTTGATGAAGACGGGGTGAAACGACAGGGAGTGTAACCATCCCCAAGTCGCGCGAGGTAACATCATAAAGACCAACGACATACCTTCTTGTCATAATACCGTGGCAACACAGTTGCGGCAGCTCTAGGTGCCACGAACAACGCAATCTCCTGTCGTTTCCGCGCACTCTCGACCAAAATACTCCATCCGCACATGAGACACCCAGCGCCGACACAAAGGCCAGAGTCCCACATCTGTGGTGTTACCGTTTCTCGGCTGAAAAGCTTGGGACCAATTCTTGTTCGAGCTAGGCACACAGAGTAGTAGAAAATGCTCACGAAAGAGGCCAGGAAAGTAGACGTGCGCAAGGCATCAGCCAGGGCCCGGCGAAGGGAAGACATTGTCCTGATTAAACGCAGACGGAACACGATCTGTAGAGGGACGTAGGTTGCACAGGCAAACTTAAATGTTCGGAGAAACCGCATTAAAGCGTGCTTTTCACAATTGGGACCGCAATCCATGTGCACCATTTCGCATGGGATGGGGATTGTCTTCTTTGGATCTCCCCACTCTATAGGCCAATTGTAATCCTTGCACATAGACTCAAGAAGAGGTGACTGTCCTGTCTCCTTTCCGTATACGAATATCCCTCTCCTTGCCCGACGAAGTGCTTCAATGAGACGGATATCCACCTTTGCTACTTCATCGATCCATTTTCCATAAGATCTTGGTAGGCGTTCAGGAAGGTAGAACCATGCCCACATCACCACAGCTGAACTGGCCGCAAAAAGTCCCGCATCAGCAAGCATGGGAGCGACAGCCTCTGTGAATGACCAACGACTCTGACTATTCCGCCATTTTCGCCAACGAGACCATGTAAAGCAGGCTAGGACATCCATTGCTCTGGTAAATGTGAACAGCGTCAGATCCATGGTTCTCCCAGCAAAAGCAGGCCGGACTTGACATGCAAAATCCTTCTCCAGTCCAGTAGGGGCACCTTGCTTGGTGTCAGTGCTATCATGGCTTGAGTTCTGGAGGCTCTGAAGTCTGATTGGTTTCTTATTGAGGAGCTGAAAGCTGAACCAGGCAGACACGAACGCTGCAACGAAGCGAATAAACCGTAAAAAGCCCCGAGACTTGTGTACGTCGGATCTTTTACTAAGATTACTACCGACAAGCGCACAGAGTCGGAGTAGAACAATCGGCAAGGCCGTTGAACCTCCGACTAAAATTGCGCAAAATGTCGGAAAACTGTCGAGACGGAACGCACTCGTCAATGTACGTGATAACTGCACACAGAGTGTTAGTGCCTACTTGGTGATACATAGGTTTGATGACTGCCTGTTTCGATAATCATTATCTAGCAGCATCGGTACATAAAGTGGGCATATGTTTGGAAGGTTTATCACATGCACATTGATGCTTGAAGCTCATCAATCGTTGGAAGTAAATACATACCTCTTCGATTTTTTGTTTATTGCTCAAGTCCTTAGCCTTGAGGCGCCGTAAATATGATACAACTCTTGGTGTTGTTGATGAAAGATATCCAATCGCATATGCCCGCAGTATTCTTTGATAAGGAAAGAAAAATCAACAATGCATACGGAACAGCGATGAGAGAAGCCGTGTGTCATCACTAAAATAATATACAGGAAGGATCGCACTTACGGCTGCAGGATTCGAGTCTTGCTCTTGTCTCCATGGGCAAGCATCAAGGGCTGCATGATGCTCGCGTCTCTCTCAATTCATCGTTGATATGATTCGCTGCAGAGAGTATCAATCATGTCCCTAGATTTACCCGGTATCTAAGCGATGGATAATGTGTCAGCAACTAAGTTGCAAGATACCCAACTCGGTAATCACAAGACAGACATTCTGATATGGGGTCCAGATTTCAAGAAGGGATGTTGGGAAATGCCTAGAATAGCTCACCAGAAACAGAGGGTAGGGCCACCAACAGCGTTCTGGAGAGTGCTGTCGAAGTAGCAGTGGTAGCAGAACTCAGAAGCAGTGGTAATTGATGGGATAGGAGTTTGGAAAAGCTACCACTCTCGGTAGTCGATCTGTATGCCCGCTCCGTCGCAGTGTTTTGTATGTACAACGCGAGTTCCAACCTCGGTCCTTGGGAGTTCGCGCGCACAAGAGCCGTATAATTGTGGTGGCTGATAGGCTTGACGACAATCTCCGTTGTGGACTTGGAATAAGCAGTAGTCCCCCAGTCCAAGCCCGATTCAGGGGTAAGAAGTGAGAACTAGTCGAGGGTGCCAGGGTGGTTGATGACGATCATCCGTACTGGAAAGAGTGCTGGTCTGATGTCGCAAAGCTGGGTCTATCAACGACCATCAACCCTTGGCTTGGGAACAGGAGGTTTGAAGTGTCAACTAGACATCTACAGAGTAGATAGATGCTAAATCGCACATTCAATAATAAATTCCAGCCTTGAGCACATCAGTAAAAGAGTTCGAACTGATGGCAGTCCATCATCGCTGCTCCTTCTCCTCTGGGCAGTTGTTCCGAGAATATCTATAACGAGCAAATTACCAAACCATACTCCAGAATCCCATAGAGTTTCCAGGCACAGAGACGTAATTTTGGTAAAGCAGTTACGTCACGCGACCTTCTTCCTCACATTTCTGCGGCAAGAATTTTTTGCATGTGATCGGCTCGAAAAGACCGAACGGGATGTCTCATAGTCATCATTCTCCGCCAGACCATCTCCAGACTCCAGACTGTCATTATTTCTCTGACTGTCATCATTCCTTATTTTACTCCTTCTCGCTCCTCTGGCATATGAACTCAAATGCGGGGGAAGGATTCTGCTGTTAGTTTTGTATGATAACCGTTGTTGTTGTTGTTGTTGTTGTCTCTTAAAACCTTTTTGTGCCCCGCGATCAAGCCAGAGACCGCCTCCCCTGTTCTTATATCTTGGGGCCTTCCCGTACTATATCTGAAGAAAAGAGACCGTCAGTTTTAAGCGCGCCATCTAGTCTTTAATCCACATCCACTCTCGCGCTCGAAGGCGGGATCATCCTCGTTCTCAGAACACCTGTTTCTTGATATCCCGAGCTGATCGAGGCATGCGCCTGTGTTTGTCTTGTCGCTGCTTGTGATAATCCAAGCAGCAAATACTCAGCAATCTCCGAACGTGTCGCTCTCTTGGACACCACTATAATGAACATGAAAGACCCCGAGACCCGCCCGAGACAGAAAGGAGACGGCCACGGTCCTTTTGGCTGTATGTCATTCGCAGAGAACCCATCTTCCACTGCCATCCGGCTAATAACGCTTGCTTCTAGATTCATTTTTATCACCCATGGATACCCCTTATGAGCCTGCACCGGCGCCGCCTCCAGGCCCGGCTCTGCTGGACGATAATGAGTCCAATATGCTTGACAATTTCTTCACGACGATGAATTCAAATCATTTCACCGACGACTTCTGGTTGCGCAATCAGACGAACAAATTCCTGGATCCAATCAACTTCGAGTGGTCTACCGAATTACCACCGACGTTTGAAGGCTCCACCACCTCACTTGGACAGCCATCGCACGCCCAGGACATGGATAAACACGGAACAGGCCTCATGCCAAACCACACGAACACGAACTCGGATATACTTGCTGCAGCCTCCATGCTTTATCAAAATGGGATGGTTGGGTCCGATATTAACCCGACGTATGGGCATCATTTTCCGTCGATACCGGACATGAATTTCAACCGTCCCGTCACAAACGGCCATGGCAAGAATCCTCAGCCAAGCAATCATGTGGCCATTGAACAGCCGAGTGCCACACCTGCACGCCTTCCTGTTGGCTTTCACACCTCGGAAATGCTTTTTGATGTACGAGAGCCGATGTCCGCCGAGCAACAAGCGTCGGCGAAAGTAGGGCCACTACACTGGGGCTCTGATATCAGTTTCATGGACCAAGGTTATATAGCACCACCTGATCAGCCGAATGAAGAGGAGCGAACGAAGGAACTCCTTGTGAAATTAGAATGCCTCGAGCCCCAGAGCAGCGCGGCAAATACTCGAGCACCTAGCCCTGAACGAACAGCTAGCAGTTATAATCCTCAGTGGACAGAGTCTGGCCCTGCTGGTCCACTTCACAATTTACCGAGGGATTTTAATCGTGGCTTGGAGGAATTCTCGCAGCCAAAGAAGAGGCAACGGGTTTCCATCAAGCAGGAAGACGATGAAAACTCAGACGCGGATAGTGCGAGACCCCGGTCAAGACGGTCCAAGAGTTCGGCCGGCGGCAAACCCCGTCGCACATCGAATGAGACATCCAGAAAGCCTAAATTGCAGCAAAGCAACAAAGCAGCACGCGAGAACCTGACGGAAGAGCAGAAGAGGAACAACCACATCCTGTCAGAGCAGAAGCGAAGGAATCTGATCAGGCAAGGCTTTGACGATTTGTGCTCACTTGTGCCCGGGCTGAACGGCGGCGGCTTTAGTAAAAGCGCAATGCTGACGCAGGCTGCTGACTGGTTGGAGGAGATATTGCGGGGGAACGACATCCTCAAGGCACAGCTAGCGGAGTTGAAAACTATGAACGGCCTCGTGATGCCACGATGACCACCAAAGAACTTATGCGATGATGATATCTTTTCAGTTGTGGTCCCTTGAGAATGCTCCCCTCGATCTGTCGACATTGAAGCGTTTTAGCGATTGGACATGGTGCATATTGTGCAGGGAGACACGCAGGCGTTCTCTTACTGCGAATCTGGGCCCAACCTTCGGGGTTATGTGTCCCTCCCCCCAATAATTCATTTCTTCCTGATTGTTGTTTGTCGGTATATAGCATTATACCCTTGAGTTATCTTTATACTACACCAAATTCTACGAGGCCAAGCCTAATGTGCACATGATGATACTATATACTGAGAAGGAAAATCTGCAATGTGTTGGCAAGCATGTTTGTGTTGTTGCCATATTTAGAAGAAGACTGTATCATAGATGTTGGATACAATCACTCCTAGCACACATTAGACTATTTCCCGATATTTCCTTTTTAAAGGAATTCTGATACTCTAGAGAGCTCTTGATGTTCTTTATGATCTGCTCATGCTCCCCATATGGATAAGTATTAAGGTACCATATAGGTAAGGTAGTGGGCATCTCATGGTGATATGCGCCTCCACCCACTGCCTCAATATGGTTGGTCCGTGGGAGTAGAGCATGTGACAGCGCCCAGAGCGCGTTGTTGTACTCCGTTGGCCGCATCAAACCTACCAAAAGCAACCAGTTATCTTAGCATCAACAAACAGAACATACCCACCTATTTGATATTCACCACTATTTACACTGCATTTCGTCATCTCTGGACCGAAGCTCCACAGAATGCCTCCCAAAAGGAAGCATTCCAGCGAAGCAGATACGCATGACAATGCGGCGCGCAGCAAGCGTTTTGCGTACTTGAAGCCTCAAGTTCGGCAGGTTTCCGAGCGTACGATCAAGTCCAAATGGACGACTCTGCCTGAGCCCGTGCAAGACAAGATCCGCGATATGTTTCGATCGCTTGAGCGCCCGGTCATTGTGCGGCATCAGAATGAGCGCAAGCGCATCGAAGCACAGGCGGCGGTTCAGGCCGTTGTCAGGAAGTATGTTCGTTGTTGCAATGTCACGCATCATGGGTCGTGGAGAGCCTGTCTGCGATCGCTTGAAGGGATAGAGCTGGGCTAATGGGTGATTCAAAAGTCTCGGGAAAAGGCTCCCTCGAATGCCGTTCCCACCAGTCGCCAAGGATTCTGTTTTTGAGTATGAGGCTGCGCTTGACGAGCATGTACGTGATGTCCTTGAGTGCCTTGCATTTGCTTTACTAATATCAGAATTAGGTTTCTCTGGAGTCCAGCTTAGCTACTGTGACGGACAGTATTGACCTCTTGAAAGCGGAGATTGAAAGAGAAGAGGCTCTGCTAGCGAGCGAAACCAAGCAACTACAGGAGATGGAGAAAAATGCAACCCGTGCAGAGGCAGAGCGAAAACGACAGATGAAGAACGTAAGTCATCGTAAGTTGTGACCATTTGCTACGTTGCTCATGGTTTTCCAAGGCCCATCCGGTACTCCGGCGACTCGATGAAGCTTCTAAGATACAGGGCCAAGGCCAATCAGCATTCACAATTTCCGAAGCAAAAGATTCGCAGTCATCTTTCGATGAGGTAAACTCCCAAAAAAATGGGGGACATATAACGTACTGACTCTTTTTTATAGCTGGAGGATGATCCGGAAGTTCTAGATCTATTGGGTCAGTTGAATGACCATTTGAGGTCAATGCAAAACAATACTGCCCCCTTGGCTGGGTTGAAGGATGCGATCATACGATCGGAGGCAGCCTTGGATCTATTCTCTCCATCGGAGACGGTCTGAATGACGGCGATTCCGACCATGTTCATACTTGATCAGTATCACCTGTCTCGGGCGTGATGAAAATTACTCCACAGACATATGGCTCAAAAACTCGATGATAGAGAGCGCAACTGGATAGCTGAGGACAATCCTGAAGCTGCGGCTGTTGTTACAGGGACCAAGCCCAGTCACTGCATGCAATATGCACTTGTGTAACAAGACTTTGGCGCATGACACTTGACTCGGAGATTTAGGCATCTATCTCTTTCCCCAGGGAACGAACCATCTACGGACAAGTTGACTACAGCGTGACATATGTTCTGACTCAAGGTAGACCATGAAGGTGTCAGACCAGCGGCGTCCATAGCTCTCCCCAATCAGTCAAGCTCGACATTGGCCCTTACGTCCCGTGCTTGTATTGGTGTCATGTGATGGTCAAAACATTAGCCTGGGTATCCTATGTGGCTCAGTCGAAAATCTACTTCCAGTATCTAGTTGTCTGCAAAGACCAGATAGATAGTCCAATTATGACATCCTAAACTTAACGCTCAGGACAAGGATAAAATCCATGAATATCAATCCCAACGATTTTCGGTATATCATTGTGTAACATAAATGTGATTCAGACCGAGCTTCTCTGTAGCACATGGCCATGCAGGTCTCCTTGGGTTGTAGGCTGTGGCTCATGCCCGAGGAGGTTCACGATTCACCATCCCGAAAGAAGCAGAGTTTCCGCCGCCGCGGTTCTCTCCCGGCCTCCCCTCAATGCGGAGCACCCCGGGACTGGAACTCGGTCCCGCTCTCACTTTACTCTCTTCCTTTTCCTCGCTCTCTTTTCGGTGGGGAAATCTGACCAGAGCATGAAACGTGATCGCGGTTGCGCGACATCACCTTCTTCCTCCCTGCAGCTCGGCACGGATTCACTGGTCGATTCAAACAAATGCGTCTGATTTACCAATCGCTGGAGTGATTTTCAATGTCTGCAGTTCGCCATCGAACCTGCTCCTTCGTGTTCCCACCTACAGCGACACCCGCAAGTCGGAGTTTGCGCAACCGCTTTGCGACAGGCCAGATCAACAGCGATCGATGATAGAGGACGGTGCCGGTCGAACGGGCTCGGTCCCGGATAATCAACACCGTAATGGAGCGATGGAGAAGGGGAAATTGAACCTGGTAGAAGGAGACTCTGTGAAGATGGAATCGGGCTCGAAGAACAACGCTTCACCACCTTTGAAAAGTGAAAGTGCCACTGCGGGGCCTCACTCCAGCCCGAAGAAGCGTCGCAAGGTTAATCATGGTAAGAACGGCCTCCCTGCCATGCATCTTGCAAGGATCATGGTCGCCACGACTCTTCTGCTTCGCGCTATTAGAGGCTTTCCGACCACGTTGCTGACCATTGTGCCACGCCTTTGCAGCATGCGTCTATTGTCGACGATCGGTAAGCTAAGCCCATGTTCTTTCTGAGTGATCTTGTAGACCCCAGATTTCGTCTTCTTCGGCAACGGAGATCTCAGTTGTTTGGGACGGACCTTTCTACAAGAACTCATTTGCTAACGGTAGGGTACCTGCTCACGTGGTACAGCATATGACCTGCGACTCGGTACGACGTTCTTGATCTATTTTCTTCCCAGCTTGCTCTCGTGCAACATTCTGCAAGCTTCTTCCTCTTCAATAGGAATCTCTGCTGACTTCCTTGTTTTTGTTCTTCATGGGATAAAGGAACGGCCGTGCACGCGATGTATAAAGCGCAACATCGGCCACCTGTGCCATGACGAACCCAGAGAGCCTTCGAAACGAGCGCGGAGCGAACACGAGTTTTCAGCGGCTGATGAGGAGGGCCAGTCGAACAATGAGTATGCAAATGTTCAAGGTATGCCTAGAAACGTCGATATTCAAGATGCTGCCGGTCAGCAATTACTTGCCGATGGAACAATCGCCCTTCCTCCTTCGTCTGTGAACTCCGTGCAAAACAACAACATCCCCTCTTCTTCAGCGCAAGGCATGGGCGCCAACTCCCAACAGCGTAAGCTCTGTGGTGGCTGCCTGTGGTCGATCTGGCGAGCGCTAATATCATTGGGCAGTGCTCGGTTACAATGACTGGCTTGGAGGACAAAGCCAGTTCCAGGATATGCACACTTTTCACCCTTCATACATGTTTAACGCCCCGGAAGTTACCAACGAATATAATCTTCTCGGCGACTTTCTCAGTAGCAGCCTGCTCGACGACGGTGGGATGTTTCAAAATGACAATTTACATGGACTTTACTCCGACCCGACATTAATCAATTCTATGGCAACGCTGGACAATGGAACGCTGGTACAGCAAACCCAGCCTCCACAGCCGGCTCAGAACCAGCCAGCAACGGGCGACTCTATCCAGGGTTCGAGCTCAGTGGTGGTGAATGATAAGGCAAGGGAAACCTACTATATGACCGCAGCAGATCCATCAGGATCTGATCCTCCGGAAGAGCGAATGAACAAGCTTCTCAAGGCCAAATATGACGCTGGCCTTTTGAAACCTTTCAACTACGTCAAAGGATACGCACGTTTGAATCAGTACATGGAGAAACATATGCAACAGGCGTCCCGCCAGAAGATCCTGCGCCAGCTGGACAAATTTCGACCGAAGTTCAGGGAGAGAATGCAGAGCCTGACCGATATAGAACTTATTCTTGTGGAGATGTGGTTCGAGCGAAGCCTGATGGAGTATGACCGAGTATTCGCCAGTATGGCCATCCCTGCTTGCTGCTGGAGGCGAACTGGAGAGATTTTTCGTGGTAACAAGGAGATGGCGGAACTCATCGGTGTACCGATTGAGAGCCTACGAGATGGCAAACTGGCTATCCATGAGATCATTGTTGAAGACCAGCTTGTGAGCTACTGGGAGAAATTTGGTGCCATTGCGTTCGATAATACCCAGAAAGCAATGCTCACGAGCTGTACATTGAAAAACCCGAACTCAACCAACTCTACCAACGGAATTGCCTGTTGTTTTTCTTTTACGATACGAAGGGACAACCATAATATGTAAGTACTCCTACAGCGTTTCTTTCCAGAGTCTTGATCCCCACTAACATCAAGAATAGTCCCTCACTCATCATTGGCAACTTCTTGCCATCACAACGAAAAAGTAGATGATCATGCATCTCGATACCTCATCCGACAGGGGAGTTTTCAGTGAAAAGGGCCATCACCAAACCAAAAAATAATTTAGATGCCTTTGGTACATACGCCTCATGTCTATTCCAATTCTTCGTTATTATCTTGTCAGCGGATTCAGATTTGTCACCTGGGAAAATTCTATATCCTCTTCGCAACCACAGAGCACTATTGAAGGAAAGATGTAGCATAGCATTCCAGGCCTTGTTGAGAAATTGGCCATTATCATTGATATGAAGTGAAATCATCTCGCAGATTACTTTGATCGAGGGTTGAATCCGGACTAGTCTGGTCAGGTGCAGGCCCTGTTTCCCCTTTGGGCACCTCCAAAAGTCCATGGTGCTTCTGTATCAAATGAACATTCTTGTCAATGTCTCGGTAAACGGATTTGCATCAATTTCGCCTCACGGGCAGAGAAACTCCTAACAGCTACCCTGGTTCAGCATGGCGACTATTTCATCCGAAGATCCCCGTGAACAAGCGGCCGGCATTCTAGGTAAGCCGGCTTTATAGTAGAGAGTTTCTGTCATGACCATGACTCTGACGATTCTTTTTCCATTTTGTTTATCAGCAATTGCTGCAGAATACCAAAATCGGCTCTCAGATGCCAGGACAGCTCAGAAAAGCTTGGTAGTAGATGATTTCATCGGAGGTCTAGATGACTGCCTCAGCGAGCTGCAGCTGCCCTTGTTTGCAACGGTCCCTTCGCCTACTATTCGTTGTCAGATGGACACAAATGGAACGAGATTGTGGAACACGTGCACACAACTTATGGCGGCTCTCACTGATAAATCCCGACTGAAGGTGTTGAGCAAAGGTGCCTACCCTACCGCGTACTGTGTGCTTCTTTGAGCTTCAGTGACAGCCATACAGTAAAAGCACTCGCATTCGCAATGCTCGAGTATGCCGCACCCAACCATGATCAAGGTAAGTATTAGTCGAAAGACAAGTTGACCATATCTCAGCATAACGCAGGAAATTATCGATGCCTAGAGCTTGCTTTGAAAGCAGCCCGCACTTGCATGGGCGAGTCCTGGTCTCTTGTTTCAAGCTCCGAATTGCATGCTGATGCCTGAAGCAGAGCAGAGACATCTGGATCTGAGTCAGAAGATTATCGAGGTAGCAGCGACACGCTTAGACGCTTTGTCGGGTACCCAGATCGATGAGCACAGAAGACAGGGCTTCACTACTGAGTACTACATGCTGCGAGTCTATCTGGTATGAGACTTCCGAACTGGCTGTCGCATGGCTAACAGATGAGTTAGTCATGGCTTCAAGGTAGACCTGATATTGCAGAGCATTTATTCTCCAAGGTCCCAGTAGGTGGTTGTCATGAAAGCATTATGGATGTGTGCTATGAACAGGGTGCTCAAGCACTTTCAAACTGCCAGTACGAAACGGCAGCACGATGGCTTGAAAGAGCTTTCGACTCTTGTGAGTTGATTGGGAGGAATATCCAGGAACCTAATCAGAGTTTGAGCGACAAGAGGCTTCTAATATTGGTTGACTTTGGTAGGATTTTCTATCATGTTCATCAATACCGGCTAACCTTCAGCAGCACGTGCGAATCTTCATTCTGATTCTATTGATGCAAACGATTGTCTTGTCAAAGCATTGAAGTGGCTGAAGAGTGTAAGGCAACTACCGTATGTTGCTTCTCTTTACTAACGACACGAAGATCGATCAGAGAAGCTTTGATGCTCTCGTTCTTCAGCTCGAAATTCTCTGCAAAGATGGGATCCTGGACTATGATGAATATGGCGAAAGTAAGAGATCACTTAAAAACCATGGCCGAGGATTCTTTCTATTAACAAATCTCAGCCCTCGATGCCACTCTTGCAGCTATGAGGCTAGAAGAAGCTGAAATCAAGATGTAAGTAGCTAAGCCAGTTGCAATTGCGTAATTTCTAAAGGTGAAACAGAGTTCTTTACTTCACACACAAGGTCAAAAACCAGAGGTAGGTCATGGAAAACTAATGGCTACCCTCATAAGGTTGACAACATAGGTTTGCACTCTTCCTAAAAACAATTAAAGTCTTATTATACGATAAACTTGCTGCTTCGGTCCAAAGAGCGTGGGCAGAGCGGGTCTTCGTGAGCCTGGTTTGGGCATCAGTTCAATCTGAATCCCACACGCCCCAAGACTTTGATATGTTGAGAGAGGCATCTCAAAACTTGTTCGAACTTTGGCAAGAGCCTTTGGGCGAAGAGGCAACCAATGCTTGTCTGATTGTAACTAGAACTGGTCAGTCAATTTGTTTCGCGCTGGCTAACGGTTGATGCAGTTGATCTGGAAGCTCATTGATAAGGCAATGTCCAAGAAAGATTACTCAAGAGCAGGAGAATATTGCCAGCTCCTGCTAGAGCCGCCTTTGTTCAACATGAATCAAGACAGCAAAGACAAACTTATGGGGTCAGTGATGGCGAGTTTACCGATGTTAGCGACATGGCAAGAGCTGATTTGGGTCAGGACATTTCTCTCTTGTGCCTTGAACAGCGTAGATCAACACGGTATTCTTCAAGCATGTGGCCAGAGCCTCGAAAGATATAGTTCATCCCCTAGAACACTATACATGACGTTCAAGGTGGCTCTAAGGTTCAATGACTATTCTCTAGGTACGTTGTCACGAAGGAATCTTTGGCACACGATCTAAGTTGAATAGTGTCTGCATGTCTGAGGTCTTTGAGTCAGCTGGGAACAGAGGCAAAGACATATCTCTTGTCCTGCGTTGCGGAGGCCCGCCACGAAGGCAACCCCCGAATGGTGTCTGAGAGTCTCAGGCAAGTGATGGAGAGTCCAGAGAAGGATCGACCAGAGGGAGTGCACATCCCAGCGCTTTATCAGTATGTTCCTTGAGTATTGGTACTTCTAATGAACTAATTTGGTACATATCCGCGTTATATCTGGTTTCATCTCAGCTTGGGAATGTTGAAATACAAACGGTACCAGTTTTAGCTCAAATAATCTCTATACTAGAGAGAGGTGAGTTTAAAACTAGCCTAAGAGTCATATGCTAAGCCACAGCAGCTTTGATGGATGTCCTCAAAGAAGAGAGGCGTGCTCAATTCTCCAACATCGACCTTGGATGGTTTGCCAGCATGAGTTACAACACAGCCCTTAGCTTGCGGGGGAAAGCCTGTCCAAAGCAAATCTTACAACTGCTAGAGTTTGCCACTAAGGTGAGCCTGTTATAGTATGTTTTGCTTTTATGTTAGGGTCTGATAGGAAGACAGTTCAGAGACTTGTGCTGCCAAAAGGCCGATGCTGAGGGAGAATCCAGCCTACGGCAACCAGGTCTATGTTACGAATTCTTTCTATCTATTCAACTAATGATTGACTCTCGTGACCAATCTCCCGAGTGTGCAAAGGTTCGTTCGAGATTGTGAGTCTGGAGCATTATGGCTGACATTCGCCCGCAAAAGAATGTATATGAGCGACTCCGTAAATCAGTCCAGCGCTTCGAAGCCCATATTCAAGGGCCGCTAAGAACCTGCATTACCACGACCGAACAAACGAAATTGCTCTACAAGCATCGCATCATGCTCTCCTTTGATTTCGAAGCAGCCGTCTCCCTGGAACACTGGGATGATGTCCCTCGCATTGTGGACAGAGCGAATCCAATCGTCGATGACAAACTCTGCTCAGTGTTCATTGACTGTATCCTCCGCTCTGCAGCTCCAGCATCAAACATAGTTCAGGTTGTCAAGGTCTGCATGTCAACCTCTGAGCCAGTCCCTCTCCAGCCAAGAATTCTAACAAAGCGTAGCACATTATATGTACATTTCACACTTCCCCCTCTCCATATCTCGACCCCGAGGCCTTCCGCAGAATGCTCCCACGGTATCTACGCTGCCTCTTCCAGCTAGCGATGGACGCATCAGACTTCCTGCTTGCCGAGTCTGTCCTCGATCAAGCCATTCTTCTAGCCAGTGACAGCTCGCACTCTCCAGACTCCGAGTCTGGTTACCCGCGAGAAGAACTCGATTGGCTGGCAACTACTGCGTTTAATCGAGCTGTAGACTTCTATCTCGCCTCTGCGGACGAGGATTGTCGACGGTGGGCGGAGAGTGCCTTTGCTTTGGCTGACCTAGTCAAGACTGATGGCGGCGCGCTGGGGAGATTGCTGCGGCACAACTTTGCGAAGCTCTCGTGAAGAATTTGATACAGCTTATAGGTTGTTATTTCTTTTCTGTCATATATTTATTCTTCTACTCGGACGTTTGGGAGTATTATGTTAGAAGGAGTTCGACTTAAAGAAGTCACCGATGTTGTTGCTCCTATGTCTGGTTCCTGAGATATATATCGGCAACTCACCCAAAAGCTTCAAGAATGTTGATCATTACCTCAATGGACGTCAATAAACATCTCAAATTGCATTCGTTGCATTTAGAATTCAATCAAGCACATAACCCGCTGATAAAAAAAAAAATCAATCCCATAAACCAAGGTGTAGTAGAATGCAAGTTAAGGACTCGAACGAGCCCCGATAGTCCGCCCCAAGAACTCCTCTAGATCTTCGACCGTCGCGTGAAACAGAATCGAAGATGGGAATGCACATCCGACAAAAATGCAGGATCAAGATTTGCAATGCCGGGGGGCGTCTTGGATTGTCCCAGAGAAGAGCGGCAATACCACGAAAATGCAAAAAAAGAAAAGGGGAATAGATGAAGATAGTAGTTGATAAGGGGGAAAAAAGAAATAGGCAAGTCGCTAAAACAATAGAAATATCCCATCCACTTATTCACTCGCCATTATCATGAGAACATAGTTTAATCTTTCTTCTTTTATTCGTTGGAGAGTGGTATCCCTAGATTCGACCGGAGGCCGGGGACATGCGATGGGAGACGTGTAAAAAGGGCTTCTGTTTTCCCTCACTCTCCTTGCCGCTGCTGTCAGTTTCTGTTTCTGCATCATTGCGTGATTTACTCCGAGAGGCTAGAACCCGAAGGGTGAGATCCAACTCACGCTCCAGTTCCTTTTGGGACTGGAGATTTTCTGTGCAGCTGTGCAACTTTCTTCTGTAGGCCTTCAATGTGCGACATATCTGCTCAGTAGATGTGTTCAGGCCTCCAATTTCGCTCCTAGAGGTATTCTTGCCGCGGGAGTGGAAGTCCGAAGGGGAGTGGCGTGTGTTATTGCTGATGTTACTTGGCTTCTTCCCGGGCGCCGACTTTGGGGTTGGGGATGGTGACCTTCGCAACTGCTGTAGGCGAGACTGGGAGGTGGGTGATCGACGAGACGTTGAAGAGGAGAGCGAAGGTGTTGTGGGTGCTACATTCTCGTTTTTCAGGGACGAGGATGTGAGCGAGAATTTGGAGGATTTGCGAACCAATGACCGAGAAGGGGGGCGCACAGGAGTTGGAGTTCCTGTGATGTTTTCTTGCCGCTGAAACTCGGCGAGCTCACTTCTAGACAAAACCTTGCGCAAAGGTGGTCTGGAAACAGTCAACTCCTTCAAACCAGCACGAATGTCTTCTTCTCCGCTGTTAGTCTGAATCGAATCCTGGGATTGCTGCGGTTGCACCAGCAGATTCCATATCATGACGACTCCGTCCATACCAGCACTAACCACCGTTCGGGTGATAGTCTCTCCAGGAGATCCAGGCTCTTTTTGTAGTAAGCAGACATCACTGACACCTTCTGCATGTCCGAATTCGGCAGTCAAAAGCACTTCTCGATCCATGTCATACACGCGGATTGATTTGTCAGTGCCCGATACTCCAACAAGCAACGTAGGACTTTGACCAGGAATCTCGGCGGCCATGGTCAAGGAACTCATGACAACAGTATCGGCTGATTCAGCATCAGTAGTCTTGAATAAACGCATGTGCTTCCCAGACTCCATATCATATTGCTGTATCCAGCGGTCAACGGTGGATATGATGAGCATGTTGGAAGCGTCCGTGGATGGAGCAATAGACAACGGTGATGATTTCAGTATGATATGTTTCGATATCAGATAGGCAACGACTATTTCGCCATTGATCTCGCGCGTCATGCGTTCCCTGATGATTACCGTACGGTCCGATGAACAAGAGAGAAGTTTTTCACCATTGTTAATAAAAAGCAGCTGGTTAACGGAGCCCACATGGTCGTCCATGGTTTGAACCAGTTCCAAGCTCTCTGCGCTGCTGCGGAAGAGCTGTACCGTTCGATCTCGGCCGGAGCTAGCAATTAGACACGAGTCGGTGGCCTGTAGGAGAGCCACATCGGTAATTTCACCTCCATGGGCTCGAACCTGATTGACACATTTCCAAGTCTTCCCCAGGAAGACGCTATCAAGAAAGAATCAGTAACCAACTCTCACTGATCTGTATCTGCGGTGAAATAGGAAGCTGCATACCTCAGGACCCCAAGTTTGTCTCCAGAGATGAAAAGCTCTAGATCTTCAGTTGCCCTCAGAATCTTAAGTTCGTTTGTATGGTTTTCGTCAGCGCCTGCAGGCTGCTCCAGAGCGACTGTTCTGGATTCTCGACACTCGCCGTTCGTATCCCAAAAATGCAATGTTCCCTGCGATGACCACGTGAAAAAGTCGGCTTGGAGCCTATTGGGTCTTGCAAGTGGAGAAACACCACGAACGGCGTCCCTATGAGCCGAGATCGCGAGTGGCAGTTGAGATTGCTCGCCATCATCACTCATTGAATCTACTTCATATATGCGGATTTCCCTGCCCGAATCGACCGTCACCAGATGAGATCCCAGAGAAGCCATGCAAGTGACCGAAGGCCCTTTGGATTTCTGCCCCGCCGAAGTACGACCCGAGGCACCTGGTGAATGAGGCCGTGATGGTCGAAGTATCTCGATTGGCAATCTTTGAATTCTGTTTTCCAACCCGCCCACCCATATACAATTCTGCTCCAGGTCGGTTGCTAGAGAGAGAATGCTGAATCCAACATACTTGATGAGGGATAGTCGCACAGTTCCCTCGGTATCTTCCACGTGGCAGAGAGCACCGTCCTCCGTGCCCACCACAGCCTCGTTGTCTGATATGCTTGCTACGCTCGTGAAGGTGGAGCTCACGAGGTCTTCAAGGACACAATTTCGCCCAGACAGCGCTTTCGGGGCCCCTGTAGGGGAGTTGGTTGTGGAGTCTGCATTCAGACGCGACTTGACTGGAGATACGGGTCGCGCTTCCAAAAGCCTCCAAACCTTCACTTGTCGAACGCCGACGCTACCAGATGGATCAGCATTTGGCAGCAATCAATACGGCTCAGTGCCAACAAAAGAACATACGTGATCAAGCTCTGCCCCATCCAACACAGTTGGCGGACTATAAAGGTACATTTGTTTGTTGAATGTAGTCTAGCGGATCCGGTCTTTAGGTTGACAGCCCATACGAACAGGAAGCCGTCATTCGCATCGCCAAGGGTAGCCAGGTATTGCGAGGTGGGACTGAAGGCAAGGGCGCGAATGCCAAATGTGTGTTCGGTAAGAATTGACAGGGGAATCTCTGAGGATCCATCCTTGGCCGTCGAGAAGATGAGAACCCGGGGATTGTAGCCAGTCTAATCTCGAGTTAGCCGCCTACTCACACCTTTCCCAATTTTATATGGATGTTGCAACCCACCTCTCCAACCGCGAGCATCCTTCCATTCGGACTGATCGAGACGCTCGTTACTGCCTTGATCCTCTCCCGAGAAGACCAGGAACGAGGACTGTTACTCTCCGCCAAGTCACTGGACGGTGAACCACTGCTTACTGCATTGTTCGCTTTGAGGCTGGGTACCGATCTCGTGCGGGGGTCGGGTGTGGAAGGCGGGGTGGACTGGTTGTAGAAGGATGTAATCGGGTTGACGCTGCTCGCAGAGGGGCGTGCTTTGAAGAACCGCTGGGTGACACGGTTCTCATCGTCCAACTCCGCTAGAATCGCTGCCGAACCTGCACATAGCGCAAATGATCTACTTTGAACGTGACTCGAGAAGCCGTTCGGATTGGTAGTCGTCGTGCCGATGACAGTCTGCAGGGAGAGGGAGGACTGGTGCAGCGAGGTTTTATTGGGAGATCGTGCTGGAGCTCTTAGACCAGGCGAATTCGATGGTGTAATCCTGATGGACGAACCCGGACCACCATTTCTGCTTCTGACCGTCATCAAGGAGCCACTCGCCATTCCATTCAGAGCTGAGAGTGGGTAGCAACGTTCACGCTCGCTTAAAAAACCACAAGAGAGCTCGATTGCATTTGTCGAGACCCTGTAGTCGGTATTGTGTGCCTGAGGCTTCCGCCAGTGAAACCATCCAGCTATGTTTCTGTTTGTCCGGCTGTGTATGTCAAGGTACAGTAGAGGAGGAAATAAAGTATGTAAAGGAAGGTGAGAATTGATTGTGGAGTCACGGATCAAGTTGGATTGGCTAGGAAGTAAAAAAGAAGTGTCTGGCAGTCCAGGTGCTATAGAAGTCAAGCTAAACAAAGAGTGGAGATGAAAGAGAGCTGAGAAGGACTGTAGAGTGAGTAAATAAGTGAGTGAGTGAGTAAGTAAAGCAATCACATCATAGAAGTAATTAAAGGAATGACAGAGAGAAAAGACAGATATGAATGAGGAACAAGTAGTGATGGATAAGAACGTAGGAGAGGGAGTGAGTGAGTAAGTGAGTTAGCAGGTGTAAACATTCAAGGAGGGGAGCTCTCCAGCTTCAGCACATTCCTCCCAGCGGAGAATGAATGGGCGAATGGGAATGCGCCTCGAAAGCCCTTGGCTGGTGATTTGATTCCTGAATCCTGAGATCTCAGTTCTCACATTAAGTAATTACGAAAGCCTTGTGTGCTTTTTTTGGTTTTTTCTTTCGTCTTGATTTGCTTCTTCCTTTTCAGTTCGGATGAACTATCGACTTAGTTTTTGATCTAAAGGACTAGGGCCAGTTCTAAATTTCTATAGATCACTGAGGCGGAGTCCAGCGAAATGTGATGTGGTGATGCTCCACTGCATGACCATCACGAAGGTCCAACAGTGAGAACAGCTCAGTGGCTCCTGCAAGATACGTTCTATCTTGACCGATATCTCTATACGCATATATCTAGATGATTGTACCTGACTCTTAGGCTGTTACCAAGAACAGGGGACGTTGTTCAAGATTCAGGTTCGTGCCGGGATGCGATCCCGTTAGCCTCAGGCTCTCAGGCCTCTAATTTGGGAACCCTGTCGAGTGTCAACTCGAGACTTTCGAGCCCCTGGAGCCCCAAGAAGCTTGGTCTTCACGTCGAGAATGCAAGCCTAGATAATGACTATTAAGTTGTTGACCCTGCCAAACTATTAAACTCTTAGGAATGAGTATTGGCAAGTAGTGATCCTGCCGTCAGTGTTTATATTAAAACATCACGTGTCGATTATCTAGATTGATGTTTCATCCCTTGGCAGTCATATGATAGATGCCTGAGGCCGCTAGTCTTCTAGATTTCTCAACCTCCGAAAACTGGTCTGAGGAAAGTCTGAATTCTCGTCAATCATCAAGTCAGCAGCGTTATTGTCTCCTTGTTCATAATTTTCTCGTTCTACTTTCTCCCTCTTCATACTGCAGATCCAGCCTTCGAAAATGTCCAACATATGTGTTGCTTCGTCTAAACTGAATCTTCCCACTCTTCTGCGAAGTGTCTTTCGCTCTGAATTCACCGCCGAACTTCGTCCTCAGCAGGAGCCCAAGAGCCTCTTCCTCACACGACCAACACTATTCACCTATCGCAGAGTTCGAGATGGCCGACATTTCAGCTCGCTCACCCGGTCTCTCGAATTCCAATCCAGGTCGCCTGTTTCCTCCCACAGTTCGCTTCTAGTCGCCACCGATGTCTGCAGTACGCCACAGCCCAGCGAATCAGTCAAGCTCAGCAATGATCAAGTCAGTGTATCTCACGCGACTGACTCTACAGGTGCTATCTCTACGCGACAGTCCGCGAACAACAAGAAAGGTTCTGGAACACGAGCGACGCCAGACTTAATGGCAACCGAAAGCGATTCTTCGAAAACAAGCCGCTCGCAAGGCCCTCGAGTTTCCGCTCTCTCAAGCCTCGCGAAGTCCAATAAGAAGCGCGAGACATGGCAGATTCAGAAAGATGCTTTAAAAAAGAAGTTTAAAGAGGGTTGGAATCCGCCGAAGAAGTTGTCGCCCGATGCGCTGGATGGAATCCGCCATCTGCACTCTGTCGCGCCAGACCGCTTCACCGCATCTGTACTTGCGGAACAATTTCAGGTTTCGCCAGAAGCGATTCGGCGCATTCTGAAGAGCAAATGGCGGCCCTCTGCTGAGGAAATGGAGGAACGACGCGAGCGGTGGGATCGAAGACACGATCGCATTTGGAGTCAAATGACCGAGCTGGGTCTCAGACCGAAAAGCCGCCGTGCAAATCAATATTCGGACGCGAAGGTACTATATGATGATTCCGGTAAGCAGGAATAGGTAGCTAGGTATGCTTGCTTTGTGGTATTTCAAAGCATTGCCTGTGGTCAGTGCTTGATATATATATATCTTATTGTACATTATAATCATAGAATCGATCCTCATGGGTCCAGGCTTCCCTCTCTTCAGCCACTTGTCTTTCCCAACTACATCTAGATATCTATTGATCGAACAACATTTCCACGGAGCCCGTCGACTTTCTCTTTCCGAAACAGGATTAGCCCAGCGCCGCCTTTTGTCGTGGATCAGCCCGGATCGTGGCATGAGCACCACCTGTGCGTGTGATTACCTCTTACTTAGCCACATCTGAAGAGTATCTCCACTCTCCAGCCAAGCCGAGAGCTCTTGGAGCGTGCCTGGAGTGTTGGTTTTAAGGAAGTCTTTTAAAGCGGCGGGATCCGGGGAATTCTCGTATCCTTATTGACTGCATCTTCGACGAGCGCATCCATGATCTATTTGCTCTCAAACTCCCCAACCATAACCCCGTCTAGGAATGGCTTGCTCGGCTTGTTAACACGCCTATGCTGGCGTATGTGCGTGACTTCTCTTGTTCCTTTCCTTTTATCGAGTGGTGTCTGGTACCCACTGTCGACTCCGAACTTCTATATCCCTCCACTTCATCCACCGCCCACATGGTGACCTTGCGACCCTCGCCATGCAATCGGACATCCAGGTCTTTGTGAAGTGGAAAGATCAGACCATCTTTGCGGGGGAAGATGTCGAATGTACAATCACTTTTAAAAATGTGGCCGAGACAGATCTGGTCCCAAACAATGGAGGGCAGCTCTCCCATAACAGGAAACAGTCTCGCACTGGCAATGCGCAGCTCTCGAATTCCGACTCCTATTTCTCGCTGAAATCTCCCCAACATTCATTATTTAACCCCCACCGTCGTTCTTTTCCTGTCAGTCCGAAGAAGAGTCCATCGCATCGTGTATCGTCGTCAGTGAGCTCCCCGTTGATGGGCTCACACAGCTTCCCTCCACCTACCCCGCGAAATGACCAGACCCCTGGACACAAGCATAAGCGATCAATCTCCATACTCTCAATTGATAGTGAAGGGACGGGGGATAAAAGTTCGAGGTCGTCGTTTCAATTCAATCGCTCCCGACCGGGTAAGGGCCATGGCCGTTCTACAAGCTTGCAAGTTGTCCCAAGAAGGCATGAGGGGTATGAGGACAGCTTTGCAAAAGGTATGGATGGCCTCTCATTCCCCTTCAAATGTATCGCTGTTGCCATGCTTATTGATATCATCTATTAGCTGGCCGCCATAGCGTCCGCGGTATCTCCTCCGAGCCCCAGTTTCCAGGAAACTCGAGGACCGATATAGATGGACCCAGTAGAGTCAATCGCTCTGGTTCTAATGGACAGAGACCTATACAACCACTCGGATCTCCTCGCGCGCCTCCACGAAGGTCTCAGTTACCTGTCATGGACTTCAAGTTTCCACCTGCGCCCACAACCGATCCTACTAGTCGGCCTGCTCTTTCTCCAGTATCTGTGGATGACAACAATGGCTCAACACCAGCACGGTTAAATGGGAAAGAAGGGTCGCCAGTCCCACCGCCTGGCCATCTACCCCAGCTTACAAGGATTATTTCTACATCCAGTCTCAGTGGAAGCCACAGAAGTAGTGGAGAATTCTATTCCGCCAGCGATCAATCATCCGAGACCCTCCAATCCGAATACACCAACTATTCGACGGCGGTACGACGTCCGAGTGCTCCACGCCACGCGCGTCACTTTTCCAGCGTGGACCCGGGACTCAGGCCGGCAAAAGGCCAGACCCTTCTCATGGGCTATGCGCAGATCAGTGCATCCTTTACAGTTGATGGATCGTTGATCAACCAAGCCGCTTTCGAGGACGTTAAGCGGAAGGGAGTTGTGGGCAATCAAGGGAATGGAACTAGCACGCCCAACGGTAGACCTGCCGTGACCGGCGACAAGGGCCGCAAGACCGGTGGGTTCTGGGGCGCCTTGAAGTGGAATGCCATTGAGGAATCTATTAGCGGTCTCCTTTCCAATAATGAACTTGATGGTCTCCGTGATATGCGTGGAGTCACGTCCTCCAGATCGATCCCACTTCTATCGACGCCACAGTCTCTCTTGTTCGTGGATCTGCGGCTGGCACCAGGAGAAGAACAGTCGTACTCATTTTCATTTACTCTGCCCAGTGGTCTTCCCGCAAGTCACAAGGGGAAGGCCATCAAGATCTCATATAATCTGGTTATAGGTACACAAAGACCGAGCGGAAATAACGAACCCCAGCGTGTGCACCGCATCAGCATACCATTCCGCGTTTTTAGCACTGTCGACAGTAAGTATAATACCTTATCATCTCGGATGTGCCTCTAACATCCTTCAGGTCAAGGGGAAATCCTCGGTCACAATCTCATGAACCCTTACGTCCTTTTACGGGATGAAGCTAGGGTTCAGAAAGTCGGCTCAAGCCCACCGCCGGATCTAAAGAACAAGAGCATCAGCGGGCCTGTGTGGACGTCGGCACCGGAGTTCTTGTCCTACGTTGACGAGATCCTCGAGCAGCAATCACGGAAGCATCTTCTACAACCACCTAGACTCCTTGATCAAAGAAGGTCTTCAAGTTATGAACCGTTAGCGGGGCCTCTTTCCTGTAAAGATGCCATTGACTTGGCCATACTTCGGAGCAACCAGGCGATACATACAGCGCGCAGTCCCAACCGGTTTGAAATTGCTCGTAACGGACGTCGGATTGCTGTGGTGGTACTTAATCGCCCGGCTCATCGATTGGGTGAAACAATCATTGCGTCAGTGAATTTCACCGACGTTACGCTGCCTTGTTACGCGCTTCGCGCAACCCTGGAATCGTCGGAGAGAGTTGCGCCCGATCTAGCAGTCCGGTCAAACGCGAGCATTCATCGCGCCACGCGCCGAATACACGCATCCTTCTTCGAGAATACTCTCTATTCTACGCGGGTGGTATTTAGTCCTGCGATCCCCATCTCCGCTACCCCCACGATTCTGACTAGTGGGGTGTACCACGAATGGGAGCTGCGATTCGAGTTTGTGACTACGAGCTCGCACAGTGAGCTAGGGACGGGGCCGTCTGGCACTCAGCTACTTGAAGTGGTCTCTGAGGACGACCGGGGACGAGTCATGTCGGGTCTGGAGAACCTAGGCTGTGAGTCCTTTGAGATCGCCATTCCGATCACGGTCTATGGGGAAACTGTTCGCGAAAGGTTACCGGAGGAGAATGAGGGTTATCCAATATAATTATAGGCGTACTTGGCCGCTGATGTCCGCACTGGCGTGTCAATCTTCTTGGCCCTGTAGATATATCCTCTTAATTATATAGTCCTAGTCTCAGCGGCGAGCCGATTACTGAGCCTTCCATGGAACAAGGAATTCGCTTGATATCGTTGATCATGAAAAGCTTCAATTACCAGAAGTATCTTTATCCTGTTTAAATAACCGTTGGAAGTGCCCTAGAAATACTTGGATAGACGCCGTCACTGGGGCAACCAACGGGGCTTTCCGTCGCTCTCCCTCAGGCATCCATGGATCACGACTCTCGGGCGCTCCGCTTGTGGGATGGCGGAGAAGTGCGATCAGATTTCCTGCTTCTATGAGTATGAAGGTCACGTCAGTAGTCATATCGTAGTAAGGTTGGTTGTTGATCTTTTGATCCTTAGCTTGGTTAGTTTTGCTTTTTCCCGTCGGAGATCTCATCCCTCGTGTTCCTGACTTGTCTGAAGGCACTTTCTAAATTCAAAGTTCGCCATCGACTTTACACTTATCTACCCTTGCCCCTCCATCCAACCGCGCTCTCACCCGATTGTTTCTTTGAACGCAGGGTAGCTAGCTTCTGCCGGTCATTCTGGTTAGTGTATGTGACGGAGATAGGTTTCAGGAACCATAGCGCCTCGATATTGAGATGCATAGCTAACGCCACTGGCATTGGAATGTAGGCGCATTTTCGCACTGAGCAACACGTCGCATTCTACTACTATCAGCGGAATTCGAATTTCTCATCGCCCACAAATCCGGAAAGATCACAAGAGAAATCCCGTCGCTCTTTGTTCTTAAAGAAAGGCAACTCAACGGAGACATCTGGAAGCTAAGAGAGAAGATAAGAGTAGAGGATGGCCTCGCTCCTCACCACCATGTTCGTTCCCTTCCGGCCCTTTACTTCCTCTGTTTCTGCTTTCGCTTCTGCTTCATCGTCTTCTTCTCCTTCTGCTGCCTCGTCTGCCCCTCCATCTCACCCATCCCCCGCTCTCGCCCCGTCTGTCTCATGCAGCACCATCAACACGTACCGGAGCCCAGTCGCTGAGCCCCCCTCCTATCTGTCCCCCGCTGTTTCCGCACTGAAGCAGAATCTCTGTAGACTAACACCTCCCAGCAATGCGCGCACAAGGGCGCCGTTCAAGCCACGGTCGGCGGCCAAGGGCACAAGCAGTTACCAGCTGAGACAGTTCGCGGAGGCGACCTTGGGTAGCGGGAGCTTGCGCAAGGCCGTGAAGTTACCTGAGGGAGAGGATGTGAATGAGTGGCTTGCGGTCAATGGTAAGTCTATTTGAGGTTATCACTTTTTGGGTTGTGCCCGCTTTTTGTGGTAAGGATTGGCTAATTAGTGGGCTGCCTTCATCAGTGGTGGACTTTTACAACCAGATCAATCTTCTCTACGGCGCCATCACAGAGTTCTGCTCCCCGCAGTCATGCCCCGAGATGAAAGCGACAGACGAGTAGGATCTCTTCCATATCGGCGATGCCTTGGGGGGTAGATACAGCTAACCATGGGCGATGTCATAGGTTCGAGTATCTTTGGCAGGACTCGGAGAATTTCAAGCGACCGACCAAGATGTCCGCGCCGGAATACATTGAGCATCTGATGAGCTGGGTTCAGAGCAATATCGATAACGAGCAGATGTTTCCAAGCAGGCTTGGTATAGTTTCTGCTTGTCAACTATTGTGACGATGGAGTGGGCTGACGAGTATTCCAGGTGTTCCATTTCCCAAGGCATTCTCCAGCTTGATACGCCAGATCTTCAAAAGACTTTATCGGGTCTATGCGCACATATACTGTCACCACTACCCTGTCGTTGTGCACTTGGGACTCGAACCCCATCTCAATACCAGCTTCAAACATTATGTTTTATTCGTTGATGAGCACCGGTTGGCGACTGGGAAGGATTATTGGGGACCTCTGGGAGAACTCGTCGATAGCATGCTGCGGAGCGACTAAGAGATATATTCTATGCGATGGGGAAATGCTGGGTCGGTCTGCAGGCAGTCGGACTGCTTTCAAGGGTCAGGGTGAGGAGACATTGGCGTCAGAGGGGTGTTTGTATTCTTTTTTTCCCGTATTCATTTTTCTAGAGGCAGTGCGGCGTTCCTGTCCTTGATGCATATCAATTGAGAAAGCTCGTTAAATGTAAGAGTAAACCATTGAAACTGTGAAAGCAAGAGTCCTGTACTTGATCAACATTGATCATGATATCTAGCAGATAGTAGTGACAGCAGCTTTGGTGAGGGAATGCTAACGACAGCCGAAATTCTCGGCGTGTGCGGAAACTCACGTGACCGGGGGCCGGGAGAAGTTGGACGTCGCTTCAACTTCGTGAGAGACCTTCCGGCAGCAGACCAACGGCCATCGCACCCCTCTCAACGACGTCCCCACGTCCCATATCCTGTCACTCTCCCTTCCTTCGACGTCTTCTCACATCACCGCCACGATGAACACCGCTCGTGTCGCCCGCACCGGCCTGCGTGCCGCCCAGCGGTTCTCCGTCCCTCGCTCGACTGCTCTGAACGGTTTGAGAACCTATGCCACCCCGGCTCAGAACGTCAAGCCCCCTGTGGCTCTCTTCGGCGTTGATGGAACCTATGCCACTGCTCTGGTACGCGACCTATCTTTCCCTCTGGACGGGCTTCCAACGCCGCACCAGATTGTTTACAATCTGTTTTTTCTTTCCGCGCCCTGATCCGTTAACCCGACCCCACGCTCGTTGAACGAGCATCGCGTTTGAGATGGGAAAAAATGAGAAGGGCGCCGTCACGTCATTATGGGAATGCATCGAATCATGGAACACAAACTAACAGCTCCATTGGAACAATAGTACACTGCCTCTGCCAAGTCCGCCGCTCTGGACTCGACCTCCAAGGCTCTCGCCAGCCTCGCCCAGACCTTCAAGGCCGACCCCAAGCTGACCGACCTCATCGCTGCCCCTACCCTCAGCGTCAGCGACAAGCAGCAGATCATCCAGGAGCTCCAGAAGGTCGCCGGAAGCGACAAGGGCGACATCCTCAAGAACTTCCTGCAGACTCTCGCCGAGAACAACCGTCTCGGTCTCCTCGAGGATATCTGCGAGAAGTTCGAGACTCTCATGAGCGCTCACCGTGGTGAGGTTGAGGTTACCATCACCAGTGCTCAGGTGTGTTTTTTCCTCATTTTCTTTCCCCCCTCTATTCCCCAGTTTGGTATCATGCAATCAATTGATATCAGGAACTACTTGTTGTTTGGAGCATCTCGCTAAACGCACCCCTTCTCCAGGAACTCGACAACAAGACCCTGAACCGCCTCGAGAAGGCCGTTGGCAAGTACGAGCTCGGCCAGGGCCAGAAGCCCAAGGTCGTCACCAAGGTTCGTCCCGCCAAACCCATTCATTCCCTTGCCTGCTGCCATCAAGCTCCGCTGCAATCCCATCTAACCAAGCATCACCAATCAACAGGTCAACCCCGACATCCTCGGCGGCCTCGTCGTCGAGATCGGCGACCGCACCATCGACCTCAGCGTCTCGTCCAAGATCGCCAAGCTCAACAAGGCCCTCACCGATGCTCTGTAAATTACCAGATTTTGTTTTTCTTCTTTCGTATATTACCTACCTAAAGGAAAAAAAGGAAATCTGAGCCGTTTCTTCCCACAACCCCCCCAAGTTTACTTTTTTTTGTGTGTGTGTGTGTGTGTCAAATATGTACCGTACATCCCTCTCTAGCCCGTTGTTGAACTTGACTGCCGCAGCCGGTGAGTAAGCATGAGAATCCTCGGCTCGAGTTCTGGAAAGCAAATGAATTCACAGGATGAGAGTTGTTTCTTCTTTTTGCAGTTCGGCATATTTTCTATTTTGTGCTGCTTGCGGATTTGGTAAGATTTATATAGATATTGATGTTTGAGGGGATTGGTGGTATGCCTTGTGATCGGAGGGTTGGGAAGAGCTCGAGGTGAGGCTAAAGTACTAGGTAGCAAGCTTGTGGTACGACTGCTAAATATACCATGTAGGAGGGAGTGCTATACGTATTCCCATGACAAAAGATTTACGTTCTGTGTGTATGACTACGACTTTGACGCTGCTGTGGACTCGTTCTTGAAGTATGTCAAATGCAATGCAATGCAACTCTACCCCATTAGATCATCTCACCAATATATATACCATAACCCTGGAGACATGCGCACTATGTATCACCAATGTAACGGCCCCCCTCCACTCACTCTTCTATCAAACAAAGAAGGCACCTAATGACCATTTGGAGGAGTGCGGTCCGCCTGCGCCTCGAACTCATCCTCGTACGCGGCGATGGAAGCCGAACTTCTCACGCGCTGCAGCTGGCTCGCGACGTAATTGGAGACGTGCTCGTCGATGCCATTCGGCAGGCCGCGGTCGTGCTCGTCGTCGGAGAGGATGTCCGCGGCGGGGGTTTCGGCGCCCGTGAAGGCTGATTCGAAGTCGCTACGGTTGCCGATGGAGCGGGTGATGGACGCGGAGCGGCGGATGCTGGGTCTGCGGCTGCTGCGGGGGCGGCCGGAGCGGGTGAAGATGTCGTCGAAGTAGTGGGAGGCTGCGGCGAAGGGGGAGCGGGGGGTTTGTGGGAGACGGCAGTTGACGCTGAGGGAAATAGAAGAGATGAGTATTTGTGTTATGGCAGACTTGGCTTGGGAGGAGAGAGATGGGGATGGGAAGGAAAAAGCTTACCCGGTATCATGGATCACCTTGGCGATCAAACCTGTCCATCCACATTGGTGAGAAGCCCCTAGACCGCGGCCAGTGTCTCCGTCGAAGAATTCGTGGAACCACATGTAGTCTTTCCAGTGCTCGTCGAAGTCGAGGAGATCGGAGTTGTCGTTGACTGCGCGGCGCCCTTCGTCGTTCCGGGCGAACAGATGCTGCAGGCGATGTTGGATTTCCTCGGCGACATGGCCGAGATGCATGTAATCTCCAGAGCCGGTAGGACATTCCACTTGGAAGGAATCTCCGTAGAACATGTAGAACCGCAGAAGAGACTCTACGAGCAAGAAGTTGACGCACAGCCAGACAGGACCACGCCAGTTGCTGTTGCCTCCGAACAGGCCGCTGTCGGAGTCGCCCGGCACATAGCCGACTCTGAATGTCTGGCCATTGACATCCATTGAGTACGGATGTTTCTCATGGTGCTTGGACATGGACCGGATGCCATGTTCGGACAAGAACTCGGTTTCGTCAAGCATCCGCTTCAAGATCTGCTCCAGACGATCCTTGCTGACCAGCGACAAGAGGAGGCGATCATCCTTGCCCCGGCGTTTCATACTGGCAATATTCCTCTCTGCAACATCTTGCCTGTTCTCAATGAACCAGTCCATTCTCCGCTTGAAAGAGGGGAACTTGTTGATCAACTCAGGTTCGAGTGTAAGGACAGCATACAGCGGGATCAAGCCGACCAGCGACCTCACGGGAAGCTGTTGCGTCCATGGCTCCCCATAAGAAATAGCATCGTAGTAGAAACTGCAAAATAGCATCAGCCGCTTGCTCAATCCGGTTGCCTTGTGAGGTGCACATACCCATCTTCTTCGTTCCACAGGGAGGATTCCTTTCCTCCCGACTTGAAAGTCATGGCATCGCTGATGAGCAGGAAATGCTCAAAGAATTTCGAGGCAACTGGACGTGGTGAGTGCGAGCTCATCACTCAATTTTCCTTGTGAAACCTGGGACTTACTGTCTTCATAAATGCGGCGATGCTTGGCTAATTCCAGGGCAATGTTGAGCATGCAGAGACAGTAAAAAGCCATCCAGCCAGTACTGTCTGCTTGTTCCAAGACACCTCCGGTTGGAAGAGGTTCGGAGCGGTTGAACAAACCGATATTGTCCAGACCCAAGAAACCTCCCTCGAAAACATTCTTGCCTTCGGAGTCCTTGCGGTTGACCCACCAGGTGAAGTTCAGCAAGAGCTTCTGGAAGACACGCTCCAAGAAGTCCAGATCCTGCCGGCCATACATCTTCCGCTCGATCTTGAAGGTCCTGAACACAGCCCACGCATGGACGGGTGGGTTCACATCACCGAAATTCCACTCATAGGCTGCGAGCTGACCGTTGGGGTGCATGTACCATTCGCGAGTGAGAATGTCCAGCTGCTTCTTTGCGAAATCAGGGTCGATCATGGCCAGAGGAATACAATGGAACGCTGTATCCCAAGCAGCAAAGAAAGGGTACTCCCAGGAGTCTGGCATCGACAGGATATCGTCGATGTAGAGATGCTTCCATTGCTGATTGCGAACATGCTTACGTCCTGGAGGAGGCGGGATCATCCCAGGATCACCGTTGGCCCACTGTTCCCAGACAAAGTGGTAAAATTGCTTCGTCCACATCATGCCGGCAAATGCTTGTCTCTGAATACTCCGCAGATCGTCACTCATGGGCAGAGGGCTGATACGGTAGTAAAACTCGTCGGCCTCGGTCCTGCGCTGCTCGACCACATCGTCCAGCACTTCTTCATCGACAAACGGCTCGTTCTTGCTGGAAAGCCTGAAACGGACGACGGCGCATTCGCCTGGAGGAATGCCATCTCCCTCGTCAAAGGCATACCACGCGGCAAATTTGGTGCCCTTGTTGGCAGGGTTGATGGCATCTTTCTCCTCGTTGACGATATAGCGATGGAACGCATCCTTGACGTAAGGCTGGTCGTTCTTGCTGTTCCAGAGTAGCTCGTTGTTCGTCTCATTCTCGGTGAACATCATCCGAGGCATGACGTCCTCCTGAGCCTCACCAAAGGCGGGAGAAGGCGAGAACCGTACGTAACGCTCCCCAAGCTTCTTGTGATTGGTCTTGGCCGTGAGTTCAGACACCTTCTCCATGGACGGCTTCTCCGACTGGCCCTCGTATCCCCACGACCAGGTGTTTCGGAACCACACATGAGGGACGATATGCAACGGAGCGGGTTCGGGACCTCTGTTGTAAGCAATGATCCGGAACATGAGTTCATCCTCATCATCCCCTTCCTTGGCCGTCTCAATGAAGATATCCCAGTAGCGATTATCCTCAAATGCACCGGTATCCAGGAGCTGATACTCGCGATCTTGCCGGGAGCGTCGTGCGTTTTCATCGATCAGGTCTTGATAAGGGAATTTCTTCTGCGGGTATTTGTAGAGGTATTTCATGTACGAGTGCTAGAATTGCAAACGTCGAGTCAATGCCCATGCACGCGGGGAAGATGGGATCCTTGTATTGGGATCCTTACCGTTGGGGTATTATCCACGTGGAAATGAGCTTCCTTGATACTTTCTCCATGGTTTCCTTGGGGGTTGGATAACCCGAACAGGCGCTCTTTGAGAAACTCACTATTTTTCAAAAGCGATGGTCAGCAATGGCGCCAGACACACAATCCACATAGCATGAGCCGAGACTCACTCTTTTTCATTCCAGAAAGCGAATGCGATATTTTGTAGACCGTGGGTATCTGATACACCGGCAATTCCATCCTCGCCCCAGCGGTATGTTCTCGATCGGGCATGGTCGTGGGTGAAGTCTGAGCACGCCGATCAGCCCCGCGCACGACCACATGTCAAGGAAAAAAGAGAGAGACTTACAGCTCCACGCATCCCCATTCTCACTGATAACTCGTTAGCAATGATACCAAGCAGGATTGACTCTATAAGGGAACATCGAGAAAGTGTCCCAATTATCATCATGGAAGGGATAGAGAAAAATAAAAAGAAAGAGCACTTACGAATAATCCTCTCGGACTGCACCGAGCCGGAAAATGAGGTCATTAGCAAACCAGGCCTGTCTCACAGCGAAAATCCCATCCACCGAGAAGTAGGGAGTAGTAATTGCGTAGGATCGAAAGAGAACTCACCGGTTGCCCATTGTCTCTCTGCAACGTAGGGACCCCATTTCTTCCAGTACTTGTTGCGTTCGCGGTCCTCCTTCAGTCGCTGTTCCTCCTGGGTGAGGTACTCTTGCCTGTCGATCAAAACCATGGTCGGCAATGGACTGGAAGAACAGAATCCAGGACAGGGAACGAAAGTCGGAAAAACGCTAACGGGACCGAGGAGAAGAGGAAGAAGGAGGAGGAGGAGGGAAGAGTGGGAAAAAAAAAGAGAGAGAGCTGGAGAAGGGAGAGCGAGCTGGTCGAATCTTAAAGGAACAACTTCTTTTAGCTCCTAGTTGTTGCAGGCCAGGTCCCTCAGTAGTCAGTCAGTCAGCACCTTACAAGCTCTAGATGTAGGAATAATAGTAGCTAGGATAGAACTTGGTCGTAATATAGTAATATGATTAGTGATTCATGACAATTCTGGCAATGGCTCCTAGCTACCTAGCTGCTATCTAGCATCTACTGTACAGTCTGTACTACTAGTCCCAGGTAGAGATAACAAGATTCACAGTAGCTTACCCACGCTAACTAACTAACTTTTTTTTTTCTGCGCAAATTGCTGCATGTTCTCTTTAGCTTAAGGCAACAACTCAGAGGGACATGACCAACCTAATTTGCCCGATGACCGCAGCGGCTTATCAGACCGTCGAGAGGCCCAAGAGAAACGGGCTTGGGAGGGACAGTTCTCAGTTCTGCACAGTCTGGACTCTTGTTTGGCGGCCGAACTTCCAAGGTTTGCTGGCCATGCAGGTGGAGAGTCTCTGACATCATCGGACAGGAGGCGAAAGTGAAAATCTCTTTAGATCCTTATTATTGACTAAAACGAAGCATGTTGATATGGGAGAGCTTGATAGGTAACTACAGAGAGGGAAGGAGATGCACTAATAATATACTAGGATTTAAAGGGATCGGGTACAGTAACTAGGTATCTATCTAGATGGAGAAAGAGAGTCAACATTTCATGCATGGTCACACTGTGTACTCCGCACCACGGGTTCGGGACCAAGTCTCATCCATAGGACCATAATACAGATACCTAAGTCAACATGGAGACCCCAGCTGAATTCCAGAGACCTTCTGGCTTGAGCAACATTAGGTAAGTAGCCCCATAGAGCTTTAAAGCATTTCCTGATTGGTAGCATCAAATAGTAACCAAAAGTTCAACATATCTTGTAAGTTGTAACTCCTGAGACTCCTAAAATCCTAGGATGCCTTGTCCTGACTCCTGGGATCCTCTAGATCCTGAGATATTGTTACTAAGCCCTGTTGGGATCAGGCTAATAGAAGTACCTAGATTATTATTTATTGGTAAGCTGAGGTAGTGATTACCTAAGTTCTACTGAGCCTAGCTAATTATTTTAGGTGTGTATATAGCTTACTTAAGCTATATATAATTCTTATATAAGCCTTACCCCTAATATATAACCTGTAGGATAATTAGTTAGTATTTTTATCTTATATTACCCCTTTTAAGTCCTATTTACTATATTATAGTCCTGCTGGTAGGTAGGTCTAAATCTAAATTAATATCTTTAATTAATATAGTAAAAGCCTAAAAGAGATGACCTTTAGGCATTCTAAAACTCTTATATAGTTTATACTATTATAATACACCATGGTAGAGTAGCAATTAAAGTTAGTGATTAATATTAGGGGGTTGCCTGCCTGTCTCTCTTCCCTTTGGTTCCTCACTGCTACTTATAATATTTAATACTATCTATCTATCTAATTATGGGGTAGAAAGAGGAATATTAATATATTAATCTAGGTATAGAAGCATTTCATATATAGGTAGGAATATATGATCTATCTTTAGATAAGTTAAATACTATTTATACCTACCTAGAGGAATCTTTTAGTCTTAGTTTAGTAGTTATTTAGATTTAAACTACTATTAGAATCACATCCTCATCTATATAGTTTAAGTATTATCTATAAGACTTTAATATAGTAAGTTTAGTCTATATAGACTATAGGGTACTATAGAATAACCTTATAGTTTTCTATTTTAGATAAATCTATATTATTAGCCTAGAGTTATAGGCCCTTTTATATAGATTTATTAAATAAAGATTAAGATAGTTATTATTAGGGAGATTAGTAAGTAAGTTTTAATATTTATAAATAAAGAACTTATTTTATTATAGGGAGTTTAATATATAATCTTTATCTAAGATAAATAAGTATAAGTTTTGTATTTTAATTTTTAGTCTAATAATTCTATATAGGATAGTGAGGTTTCTTTAGATTTATTAAGGACCTTTTAAATCTTAATTAGGTTTTAGATTAATATTCTAGCATTTTTTAGTTTCTAATTTAGTATTATCAAAGTCTATAATTATTATAGCTTCTCTTTAATAGTTATTTTTACTAGTCTTTATCTATTAATTAAATTCTTTAGAATATAATTATCTAGTTCTTAAAGTATATATATTCTAAATAGATAGACTTTTATAATTTTATATAGCTTATATTACTTACTTTTAAATTTTTATAGGGATTTATTATATATAAGGACTTATTAATCTTTATATAAACTAGTATTCTTAATCTTTAAGTCTTAAATCATTCTTCTCTTTATTATATAGATTAATAATTTCTTATATACTAATACTTAAGTATATAGGACTCTCCTAAATTAATTCTCTTAGTTTGGTAATTTCTTTAAGTATATATTATTATTTAATAATCTTAGTTTTATCCTATATAATAAGTAGAATAGGCTTTAATTAGTCTATATATAGATATAGATATATATAATAAATATAACTAGGTATAAATATTTATCCTATAGCTATATTAGTTTATTTATAGGATATTTTATTAAGATTTTTCTTAATAGGCTATTAAGACTTTTCTAGAGTTGCATACCCGGACCGCAAAAATCAGATCCAACCCTCACTAAACTCACTGCGGTGAGGGTTCGGTCCCTAGTAGGGTCCTTGAAAAGTTGAAAAAAAAAATTATTTTCTTTCTTTCAGAATTTTCTAATGTTTTTTTTTTCTTTTCAGCAGTTGAACCCCCCTAATCTAGTAATAATACTAAGACTTTTTTAACTAATTAGAGCCCCTGAATTTTACTACCCCATAGAATTAGATTAATTAGAATTAGTAGCTAGCAGGTGCCTTATTACCTAGGAAAGCTATATATATACTCTAAGAAATAGTAGTAGATTTCATCTAATAATATTAAAATATATATCTTTATATATAAGAAATTATTAACTTTTACTACTTATCACTACCACTACTATAGGAAATTCATCTTCTAGGTAATAGAATAAAAGTTTAGCTGAATTTATAGCTATTTATAATCTTTACTAATTCAAAGAAGTAGGCTTCTATATAAATTTATATATGAAATTACTTAGAATACTTATAGATACTTATCTCCTAGATTCTATATACCTACTGCACCTACTACCCTAATTTTAATTAAAATTTTAATATAACCTACCTAACTACCTATATATCTTAATATATTAGATTATGAGAATTATAGCATTAAACAAAGATAAATAAGAATATAAATCATTAAATAAGCATCTTTAACTATTAAAAAGTATTAACTTCTAAGATTAATTAGTAATTAGGAATAGCTATCTTCTATAATGCCTACCTCTTTATATATTTTTAATACTAGGAATAGTATTATTTCTCTAAGTATTAAATCTAAAATACTCCCCTTCTTTACCTAAGACTATAGCCACTACTATACTAGATTTATACTATAGCTTTATCTAGATAAAGCTATTCTAGTAGCTTTAAACCACATAGTATCTAAATCTTATATATAATAAATTAATAAATATTTATAGAGAAAGAATTATAAGTCTTAGCATTAATTTATATGGATCTAGCTACTTTCTTCTAGTAGAAGATATATTAGATTAAAGCTTAACTACCTATATAATTTCTATATAAATTAAAGATTAGGTTAAAAAGCTCCTTACTAAGCTAAATAATAGGTAGAAGATATAAAAATTTATTAATTCTCTCTCTATAGATACCCCTTCCATAATAAAAAGAGTATAGATAATTCTATAAGCTAAGTATAAGGATCTATGATCCGCGAGAATTAGAAACTAGTATGAAAGAAGAATGATTACAAATAGATTTAAATATAGGTGTCCTTATTCAAAGAGATTATCACTAAACTCTAAAGTTTAGTAGTTATGGGCAGGGTTTATATCTTTATAGGTTATATAATTATTTATATAACCTCTTATAAGGAACCTTCTTATTATTAGGTTCCTCTATAAAGATAGCTTTAATATAATATATAATAGACCTTTATAATCCTTATAACTACCCCCCCCTTAAAAGACCTTAGCCCCTAAGGTCTGTCTAAGGTTCCTTATTTATAATAGAATATATTAGTAAAAACCTTTATTTAGTAAAAACCCTCTTTTATAGAGAGAAAATTATAAATAATAGAAAAGATTTACTATCCTCTTCTTTTATAAACTTATATTTATTTATCTTCTTATAAAGACTTAGTTATAGATAGACCTCTTTAACTATAATATTTTTATCACTATTAAAATCTTCTTATAATATATTTTAGATTTATATTACTTATTCTTATAATACTCCTATAAATCCCTTAATAGCCTTATTATATAAAATTTCTATAGAGTAGGATTTAGGGTAGTAATAATTTTTATAAAATATATAAGCTCTTCTTTTCTTTATCTTCTATATTTTCTTTAATTTTTATTATAAAAGTTTTAGTAAGGGACCTTCTGTAATTTATAATATTTAGAAAGAGGTAGTTAATATATTATAAGATATTTTATAGAAAAATATCCTTTTATATCTTCTTCTTTATATCTCTACTCTTATCTATCTCCTCTAATCTCTTAGAGGTAAGTAAAGGCTTATAAGTCTATAGTATTCTTACTAATAGTTCTTATAAAAGGAGGAGGAGATAGCCTTTATATTACTACTACTATTTATTATACCTCTCCCTCCTATATCTACTACTACTACTACTACTACTAGGCCTGCTGCTACTACCCCTACTAGGCCTACTACTACTACTACCCCTACTACTACTACTACTACTATTACTACTATTACTATAGCTCCTCCTACCTCTCTTTTC